TTCATTACCCTTCAGACCAGTCTGGAGTTGTAGTTGCTGGATTTGTAGCGCCTACATATGCAGGACTGCATGTAGGCGCTTATTTGAGCTGAAAATTGAATGTATGCGCTCATTTTTAAAAATGTAGGCATGGATTTGTAGCGCCTACATATGCAGGACTGCATGTAGGCGCTTGCAAATAGCGCCTACATTTCATTTTTTGAATGTAGGTGTAACCAAATGACGCGTACATGGGTTTTTTAACATGTAGGCGTCATTTTGGATGGTTTCCAGCGCCTACATAATAAATATAGGCGCTTCTTTGTGGGAAACACTCATGTAGGCGTAATTTGGCCAGCGCCTACATGGTTTTCTTGTGGGCTGCAAATAGCAACGGCCTTACTAACAGGTATCTAGTGACAGCCCAGGAAGTTTCATTTCAAATTTGTTTAGAACATATCACTACGCAACAACTGATAAAAACAATTATGCTCTAAATGTGTACCACAGATTCCAGAAGGAAAATATGCGGGGATGAGTCCAAAGCGAAGAATAGGATTTGAGGGGGATTGGCGCAAATTTCACTTTTAGTCAAATAGGACTGACTCAGTAGGCGGACAGATGAGGCTCACTTGTCGTTAGTCTCCACCGCCTGTGGTTTTTGCGCAGTGTTGCCGCCTGCGTTCTTCTTGTAGAAGTTATTTTTCTTCACGAAGGATCCCGACGTTCCCGAGCCTTCAGCTATTTGAGGATCTTTACCGGGCAACGAAGGGGGGACAGGAAGTTGAGTATTATCAAAACGACCCCAACTCCACAAAAACCAGCTGCTTACCATCTGCATGTTGGCCCTGTGACCTAAACCCTTTGTTTTGGGAGTAGGAGCCCTTCTTCCCAAACGATTTCCTGTTGCCTCCCCCTCGCTTACCGCGTTGGGTCAAAGAACCGGCACCGGTAGATTGAGATTTGTCTGGCTTTGCTTGGACTGAAGTGGACGGATCAATAACAGGTTCGCAACCGGTTGCAAAGTTGAAACCAAACTTGGCTTTACCGGGCGTGTATGGGTTATCTGTATAACCAAGGTCATTTTCCCTCTCCGCATCTTGCCTAGCTGTCTCCTCCACCAAGGGTTGTAGGCCATTAGGGACTTTTAACTTGTCTTTCAAGACCGATTTGCCATTGACTTTCTCTTTAACAAGCTTACGACGTCTAAAGATCACGGTTCGAATAGCCAGATGGTATCTGAGAGCGACCATCCAACTATTATGTTTCTTTTTCAAATTAGATACGATTGATTTGTGTTTCTCGACGTAGTCCGCGCAGTGCGTGTGACCGTGGATTTCCCTTGCATAACGTTCCTCAGGATTGCACATCTCGATAAACTCGCCGTAGGATATTTGTCGTTCTTTGGCTTTTTCAGAGGATTTTGACGAAGCTAATTTGGACTTCTTCCTTTCCTCCTCGTCCTGATCGTGCCATTCTTCAATGGACGATTTAACAAGAGCTTTTTGAAGCCTTTGTCCCAACTAGGGGGCAAATCCGGTAAGTCGGCAGAGGTAAAGTCAACAGCTCCGCACTCGAGTTCTGCTGCGCTGATTGCAGAGGAGTCATCCGTGGTAGGTGACTTGGAGGGGGTGGAGTCGGATGAAGAATCATCTGATTTCTTCGCTTTCCTCTTTTTCTTTGTTAGAACCATAAGCCCCATTGGTTCTTAAGCCCACGGGATGAAGCGTAGGCGGTTCTAGCGGTACCGGGGCACAAGGTGACCACACGCAAAGGCATGTGAAAAATTTTGCCCAGGCAAGAAGTTATCTCACGCCCTGCACAGAACATACGCCTATTCACCTTATTCCTCAACTCAGCTCAATCAAACAGTTACTCAACGCTCATCTCTCTCTCTCAGTTTTTGTGAATTAATTGAGTTTCTTTTCTCAGACCAAATCAAGATGTCAATGGCAGACAGGATATCCGCAGTAAACGCAAATCTGAGACAGACAAGAGGTTCTTTGGCATCACTAGGCGTACAACCAGGTCCGGGGTTAGAGGAACAGAAAAGGAGAAAGAAATCTGGAGCAGCGGAGGACAGGATAGCAGAAAGAGATGAAAGCGGAGGAGGAGTGCAATTGAATGAGGAAGGTGGTGAAGGAGCAGGTGATCAGCAAACTGGTTCTGGAGACCAACAAACGGGTCCTATCAATCACCAGACGGGCGGCGGTAATCAACAAGGAAGACCAGAAGAGCAAGGGGATAGGACGGAGTCGGATGACAAATCATGGAGACCAGGTGCGGATAAAGGGAAAGGCCCAGGAGGTGATGAATCAGAGGAGGATGAGCTATCGGAGGGAGGCAGCGCAAGCTTAGGTAAGAAGTCACTTCCATTGACTCACCTTTTTTGAAGTGGCCACCCCCCCGCCCTAGGCAGCACCGTTTAGAACCGGGAAAACAGAGCGATTGTTTGTGCCAAGAAGATGAAGCTACCGTAGCTTAGCCCAACATGGTTGGAGGGATGAACCCTGAGGTGGTCTTCCTAGAACTCGAGCTTACCCAGCTGGAAGAATAGGGCGCTAGAAGGGGGGGCAGCGTCAGGAGCAGACGGCCTAACGATCCCTGTACGAACAAGATGAATAGAACACTGACGCGTGTGTGATGGGTGTTGCAGCCGAAGGAGATCATTTGTTAATGACTCAGGCCCAAATAGACGAGTTGTATACCTCAGGAGACCCTGACAACGCGAACAAAGCAGCAGCGCTCTTAGCATGCTTCATGGACAGCTTGGTGGAGAAAACACAACGGTCAGCCTCAAGACAACTCACCAGCCAACCACCCAAACGTCGCCAGCAACACCAACGTGAGAATACGGGGATGCGACGAAGGAGTCCGAGTCCATACAATCTCATTCAGGAGAACTTGACGGAGTTGTCAGCCGAGCCAGAAGACACGGGTCGCTATCAAGCGGGGAAGCGCCTTAGACCACCATCCCCAATAGGTGAAGGAGCTGATGACAGAAAGAAGAGAGACCAGAAGGGTCAGTCAAACAAATCAGAAGCAGAACTGGTGGAGGCCTTGCTACTATCAGGCAAAGGAAGGATGGTTCTAGCGAACGGGGATGTTGTCGAGAACGGAAGGATCATAGTCCTAGATGATTCGAAGGAGATGGAAAAATCCCTACCACACCTCTCACCAGTCCTCTTAGTCTATTTGCAGACATTCAAAGCGTATATCCCGTTGTCGGTATTTGACCAAGCCTTTTTGGTCGAAGATGGAAACGCCTGGCAAACGAGGAAAGCCCCCTTGGCTGAGAAAATTATGGAGAATGGTGCAACGGTGAAGGTTTACGGAAACGAACCGCCAATGGAAGAGTTGACGATGCAGTATGAGCAGTGGTTAGATGCGATGACACTCTTCATCAAGTACGTCAGGCAAGAGGGGTGGGAGACTCAAGCAGAGCGGTTCAAAGGTCATACAGTAGTTAAAGTCTACTCTGTGCTACACCTGACTACGGGCGGCCCCGGGGCTGGCCCCGGGCCCAATTGTCAGGCATTTCTGATTTTTATTTTTTTTGGCATGGATTCAAAAAAACCCATGTACAAGGGTCAAGTAGTGGTTGGAAACTTTCTATACCCGCTATACGTGATGTGACTTTGTTACATTGTTTCCTGCTCTTTTTCTTGTCATTTCCTTAAAAATTCTTCTTGATCCTTTTGTTTACTTTATTTTTTTTCTCTACTTGTTTTTGTCTTGGCTTTTGTTAGAATGACCTTGTGAATGAGTGTGAACTTTCAAAATGAGGTTCATGATTGTGTAGGAATTCTTGAAAGTGAACAATAGCCCAAATATACATCATTGGAGGTTGAGAGATTAAAAGTGAGGGCAAACCAATATGGTTTGAGAACATGGTTGGGTTAATGAAGATTAACAAAGAAAGGATGTTATACACTACCATCAGAGTATCAAAAAGCTTCTCAAGGCAACTTGTGATACATATGCAAAGCTTGCATCACACCTGGGTCAAACACTTCTCCCTACAATCTACCCTGCTGGTAAGCCCGTTGGGTCTACCACAGGACCACTGACACATAGCTGGCCCCGGTCTGTGTAAGTCCGCATTGTCACGGACACTTAAGACTATAAGTACCTAGCTTGAGACCTTAAGTACTTGACTTAAGACCTTAAGTACTTGACTTAAGATTGTAAGTACTTGGCTTAAGACCGTAAGTACTTGGCTCAAGAACTTAAGTACTTGGCTTAGGACCTTATGTACCTAACCCAAGGGGCTTAAGTGCCTAGCTTATGCTTGGGCCCAAATGTTGACCATCTAGTGAAAAAAAAAATTATCAATGCCTCAGATGGTCCCAAGGAGATATAGATAGATTACACTTACTCTCCTTAATGTACTTGTCTAGTTATCAACTTAAAAGGTAGTCATTGAGGTAGTCATTTTTGATCTCAAAAACAAGATTTCATTTGGCTGGTTGGAAAGTAGTACAAAGTAGACGTTAACTACTGTAAGGTGGTAGTCATGGAGCTGAGGGAGAAAGTCGGCTGGATGGTGGCGTTGAGGTATTGTGTACGAGTTAGGCAGGGTTTGATGAGGATGACGGTAGATAAGAAGATCTACAACATTACGAAAGTTCAGTTGGTAATCTTGGAGGAGGTGAAGCAAACCTGTGAGAACAACAACGAGCGAGCATACCGGACCAATCCGTATGCACCAGGCGGACCAAAAGCTGACTACAACCCCGAAACGGGACTGCCGAGAACGGACCAAGCATTGAAGAGGGGTAGCACCTCCTACGAAAAAGTGGCCTCCTCATCTTACTCGAGATCTTCAGCTTACGAGAACGCCAAGAAGACAACAGAAGGGTGGCTGCCGGACGATGAGTACCGCGAGAAAAAGGCAGCAGAACGGCGGAACAGGTCAAAACGCGACTACGATAGGAACAATCGAAGGGGTAGACGAAGCCCAGAACGGTTGAATGATAGACGTGATGATTGGAAAGAGCGCCAAGCTAGTCCTAATAGAGGAAACAATCATGGTTATGAGACCAAGCGTAGCAACCACTACGGTAAAAGAAGCTAGGGAGTTTTTACCAACGAGGACATGAAATGAATGCTACGTGTCGATGAGTCTGTCACCAACCCCCAAAAGAAATAGCCCCTTGCTGTTTTTTCTTCCAAGCCGTGAGAGAGTTTGAGTGCCTGATGAGAGTCCGTTTTTCTGAAATTGCCCACAGCCTTGCTGAGATGCCTAGGTTGGAAGTAAGGAACAACATAAGCCCACTGAGCCTACAAATATCCGCCCAGCAGCATAGCACAAGGAAATCAAATTCACCTCAAAGGAGGTGGCCTTCCAAAAGCGGTTGTGGGATGAACCTGGAAGTGTGGAAAAGAGAGCTTAGAGGCGCTGGAATTTTAGAGGAAAATCGAGACATACTTAGGAGGCTGAGAGAAGGTTTCCACCAGGGTATACCTGAAGAGCGAATAGGAAACCTACAATACTACTGCCCGCCGAACCACTCTTCAGCCTTGGAAGCAAGGAAGGAAATCGAAGAGAACTTCAAAAAAGAGCTGGAGGCAGGGTGAATGTACAGACCGTTTCCTAAAGAGGAGGTGTACAATAGACTGGAATTTTTTAGGACAAGCCCGCTAGGTGCAGTGATAAACGGGGATGGAACTCTGCGGCCAATCAACGACCTGTCGTTTCCTAAGAATGATTCAAAGATAAAATCAGTAAACGCTAAAGTGGACAAGGAGGAATTCACAACTTCCTGGGACAATTTAGACAGAGTGGCGGTGTTTCTATTGGAGGTAGACGGACCAGTCCTTTTAGGAATATATGACTGGGCTCACACGTATAGACAAATTCCAACATTGATGAGCCAGTGGCCTTTCTTGATGCTCTTGGACTTTGAGGGCGGAATCCTCCTTGACACAAGGATAACGTTCGGGGGAGTTGCGGGCTGTGGAACCTTTGGGCAAGTGGCAGACGTGTGGAAACAAGTGATGCAGTCGAGGTTCGGATTCCTAAGGGCGTTCAGGTGGGTAGACGACACCCTGTTTGTGAAAAGAGCAGATGGATCAAACAACACCAAGATGACCGATGTGGTGAAGCTCAGCGAAGAAATGGGAGTGGTATCCAACACGAAGAAGTGGAAGGAATTTGACTATGAACAAAAATATTTGGGTATGATTTGGAATGGAATGGAAAAGACAGTACGCTTACCTCAAGACAAGATCGTAAAACAGCTCAGCCAAATACGGGAATTCCGGTCAGAAGGCAGTGTGAACTATAGAGCGGCAGAAAAGATGGTGGGTAGGATATACCACTTAACTTCAATCTACCCACAACTCAGATGCCATTGCATGGCACTATACCACTGGATGGCAGAGTGGAAGAATAGGTTAGCAAAACGCAACATACCAGAGGAGATCCTAGAAGACCTAGAGAGATGGACTAGAACTCTTACTTTGGCAGAACCGCGGCGACTGATACCAAGGAAAGGAGTAGTGAACATCAGTTGGGTAGGAGATGCCTCGACGTCGTATGGGATAGGGGTGATTGTTGGAAAGAAGTGGGCAAGATTCAGGTTGAGGTCAGGCTGGAACGAGAGATTAGAAGACGGCTCCAGAAGAGAAATAGCCTGGGCCGAAACAGCCGCAGTTAGACTAGGGCTGATGATGGTAGTTGACCTGATGGAAACCAACGGACGGGATTTCTTAGTCTTAACAGACAACGTTGTAACGGAAGGTGCCATTCGTAACGGGAAATCAAAAAATCAGTGGGTCAATAGGGAATGGATAATGATCCAAGACGAGTTGTTGAGGTTGAACTGTTGTGTTACACAGAGAAGGGTAGTGTCAAGCAACAATGCGGCCGACCGGCTTTCAAGAGGCCTAGATTGCTCGAAACACGTGAGAGACATGGTACACGTACGAGTTCCAAGAGACCTACGAGATTTGATAAGCCAAGAATGAGAGCCACCCCACCAGAAATTCATCAAAGCAAGCGTTAGGGATGGAAAGCCGGCCTTGAAATCAACAAGGAAGGAACTTACCATGTCATTTCAAAAATGCGAAGAATACAACGAACTCAATTGCAGGTCAACATGCAGCGCTGAGCGGCTGGGCAGAAGGGACGTTGAAGGGGTATTCCAGTGGGATGGCGAAGTTTATCGAGTTTAAGGAGAAGACGGCCAGAGGTTTTGATGAAGATGCTATAATAGAAGATGAAGATGTCTACGCATTCATAGTTTGGGCGGGAGAATCAAAGGTGGAAGTGGAAAACGGTCCAAAGAGGGTGGTGACATTGACGACGATCAAAAAGTATTTAGATGGGATCTGTGCGTGGCACATGGTCAAGCACACTTCGAGACCAACAGCGGATAAAGAAGTGGTGTCGTTAATGTTAACGGCAACAAAACGGAACAAAGAGGAAAAAGCTTTACTAACGAATAAAAAGCCAATCATGATCAGCCAGCTCTTCGAGTTCTTCAAACACGCACAAGGTAAGACACCAGAATTAGAGTTAGCAGCCTCGGTGTCAGTGATAGCGTTCTGGGGTATGGCACGCCTGGGAGAACTCCTCAGGGTGAAAGTTGCAGACGGTGCGCTGTTGAGGAGGCACGTTGAATTTGGCGAGAGGGAAGGAACAAGGTTTGCAAGATTACATTTGAGGAGGGCGAAGACGGCGAGAGGCGGAGAAATTCAAGTTATTCACCTACAACAACAATTCAATGTGTTAGATCCTGTAGCGGCGTTAGAACGAGTACTCAAGGCAGACCAAGGGGTGGACAGAGATGACTTACTGTTCTCATGGACAAATGGATCAAACAGAAAAACATTGTTGAAACCAAGGTTTGTAAGACTTTTAGAAGAAGTGTGGGGGAAAGCGAGTTTAGGAACTTGGTCCGGTCATTCCTTTAGGGTAGGGGGAGCGTCGGTACGGTATAACCTAGGAACGCCAATGAAGAGGATAGCAAATCAAGGAAGATGGAAGTCCTTAACGTACTTGAGATACCTTAAATCTTACACAGAAGAAGAGATCACAGAGACAAGAAGATTCTTGAAGGCGCTAGATGAACGTAGACCAGTAAATAGAGAAGAGTGAAAGACGCAGTGCGGTGTAAATGAAGTTCTCGTCCTCGAAATGAAATCAATCGTGATCCTGAGTGCGCCGATTACGCAGACAAGGGATGAGCGTGAGTTGGATATACAGTTGAGCGCTGATCATGCGAGTGAATGAGCAGGTGGCGTCATTCAAGCGCAAACCTTAATTACAGGGCACCCATAGGGGTCTCGTTGTTTGGGGTGAGCCTGGGTGGCTAGGCGCCGAGCCCGGCTGCCAAGTTTAGGGGACCCGAGGCTTTGACCGAACGACAAGATGGTGTGCTCCTTCAGGGGGGTGGGTGGGACTGTTGGTGCGAGGCCGACTCGAGGAGATTGGTTCAAGAGAACCAACTCGAGGCATGGCTTTGCCACTTGCCCAAACCCGGTCCTTCTGTCTATTGAAGCAAGAAGGGTCAATGGGGGGAGCTCCATAAGATAGAGTACCTGAAAGGTCCGGGTTATCACCAGATCTGAGGAAGGAGACCACTCCTCAGAGTTCTACCGTGGATATCCCTCCTCCGTGGCTGATTGAGGAGTGGGTAGATCTGGAGTGTTTCTTCGGCTTCTTCCGTGGCTCTTCAGCATCCGAGGAATCCGAAGAAGATGGAGGACCCTCGCTGTCTTCCAATGACTTGCGTTTGGACTTGGAGTCCAAGGGTGTGTGTTCCACCACCTGAGCAGAGATTTGTGGCGCCTTGTTCAAGGACTCTGTCACTAGACCCTCATTGGATTTGTTCGAAGTCGCCTGAGCGACTGCTGGTGGAGGGGGACCCGGAATATCCAGATGTACTGTGCATTTCAGTACAGCCTCCACCTTAGCCAGAGCTACGCTAACTTCTTCGGCAGTGCCAAATTCTACCGTGTGGTTCAACTCATCCATGATTGACACACCCTGTTGGGGTGTACCATTGTTCACTTCCGAGGAGGGAACTATTGACAAAAATGCGAACCCGAAGGCAGAACCAGGAACTAAGTCAGTACAGAACTGAACATATTGAATTTCTGGTTCATGAAAAGATAGATGTTGGTGCTGATAGCAGCCCCCCTTACGGGTGTCCTTTCCTAGAGATCGGAATCCGACTCTTTGAGGTGCGCGCGTATATCGCGACCTGAAAAGACCAGTCTTAGACCACATCTCATCTATATATATGAGTTATGTGTTGTCTAAACAGACTCTCAACAAAGAAGGCGCCATAGGCAGCACTTCCTGTGGTCCATACAAAATGAGAGCGCTACTTGCTGCATCTCTGAAGGGAACCCGGGGGAAACCTAATACCGGTGCTGTAGGCAGCCAGAGGCCAGAAGAACGAAGTCTGGAGGCCAAGAAAGAATTCGGGAATAAGATCAACTAACCCTTGATTCGGCTATTCTTTTTGAAGCTAGGAGCTAGTGAGCCATCTTGCAACGCTCTCTTCTTCCTTTTCTTCAAGGCTGAATTGAAATCTCCAGAGACATCTTCCACTTCCGAGGACTCGTTGTCCCCTTCTTCACCATTGGTGATCCCCGATCCTTCTCCCGTACCCGGCTGTTCGATGGGGTCGCCATTGTTATCCGCATTAGTGGTTCCACCAGTTGACATGCCGTCGGGTAGCTGATTAATCGACGAGCTTCCCAGGAATTGGAAGGAATGCGGAGCACGGGAGCCTGCTCGTTTCGCCCTATCCTCAGCTTGGATTCTTTCTTTTTCTGCTTGCATCCTCTTCTTTTCCTCAGCTTCTAGATGCATCTTTAGATACACCAATAAAGGTACGCTTTGGTGGAAGCGTCCACAATGTGTGAAACTGACACGTGAAATACTTATTTACATGTCACCCGCGGGGAGGAGGTCGAGTAAGGAAATACACAACCCTTTTCCTATTTCGACTCACTCATCCCGCTCAGTAGTTTCGTACACAAGTTTGTGGTATCTAATAACTCAGTCTCCTTTTCGATCTCTCTTTAAAGTTCACTTTAAAAACTTTTTCGTAAACATTTCAAACGTATCAAATCAAAGTTTCGAATAAAAAGGAGATATCACAAGAATCGAAAAAAGACAAGAAGTTTTATAGAACATCAAGAAATAACAAAAGAAGAAGAATGTCATTTCAAAATGAGATAATTCAAACAGAAGCAAACTTACATCAAAGATTGACGAGAGCAGCAGCAGCAACTACGGGAATAAGACCAGGAAATCGACTGGTAACTCCAAAACGAGGAGCTAATGCGGCTAGACGCCGAAACGTTGGAAGTCGTGCGTCAATAAGGACACCTTCGAACAATGGAAGTTTAACTGGAAGAAGACCTAGCGGACTTAGAAGAGCGAGAGAGGAGCAAAGGAGAAGAGAGAGAGAGGAATTAGCTAATCAAGGAAGTCAAGGAAGACACGATCAGAACTTAGGAGAAGATGAAGAGTGGGGTGGAATTGAGGGAGTAGAGGAAGAAGAGGAGGGAGGAAGCGAGGGTAGCGAGATACAAGATCAAAACTTACTAGGTGAGCAACACTTATATGATCAGTCTATTAGTCCAGTCATCACCTTCCTTTTCAGGCTCCATCATCACCTCTCTTTTCAAAATCCTTTTTTCATTTCGTCTCATTTATCCCACTACCGAGAAACGTCGTCGAAAAACTGCTTAATTAAGTCGATAAAGAGACTAGTGCATAGGTGGTGTGGTGTACAACACAAAGCATCCTCATTAGCATTAGTCAGTGAAGATGTATAACAGTAAATAAGTAACGCCATAAGGCAGAAAAGTGAAGGGTGTAAAGAGAAATTATGTTTTGTTGTTGTTTTTGTTTTTCTGTCTTCATCCAGTTCCAAGCTAAAGTACGGAAAACTCGGTATAAGGAGAAACATAGCCTGGCCTGGCTCAGAATAGGTGCCCAGCCAGGCCCGGCTTACAGTAGGTGTCCAAAAAAGCCTGGCACGGCTCATAATAGTAGCCCAGCCTGACCCGGCTAACAATAGGCGTTCAAAGGGATATATCCCACACGATCATGGAAGAGAAATACCCCGCCTTTAGTATCTCAACGAGGAAAAGGAAATGGATACTGATTCAATAGAAACGCACCTCTGGTTTGGAAATATCTTAGAGTCGAGAAGAACCACGATAGGCGCATTGATCCAAGAAGCGTACGGTCGAGGCGACGATGTGACGGCAACAGCTTTGTTGAGCCTATTAGACACAGAACCAAATCAGCCAAAGAAGGACACGAATTACGTGTTAGACGAGGAGGAAACAAACTCAAAAGCCTCAGGAGAGACGTCGGTAGCCTTCGTAAGAGAAGTAATCCCACTCCCAAAGGCAAAAGCGGCAGAGAACCTCGTACTACCTTTACCGCCACAACAAGCTACCGCCCAAACAGCTCAACCCGGCCTGACGGACGACACAGCAACCGATAGGTCAACTTGGTTTGAGGGAGCTTCATCGAAAGAGGAATCAGACAAGGCTTACGCGATAATGACCTCAAAGAAAGGAACCTTGGAAATGGAGAATGGAGACATTGTTCATAATGGTCGAATTCTGAAAGGCGGAGACCCTCAGATGAAAGAGTCGTTGGCACCTCTTTCCCCAGGATTGACGATTATTCTAAAAGGACTCACTTCTTATATTCAGTTAACTGTATTCGATGAAGAATGGCTCATAAAAGATCAAAAGGCATGGTCGACAAGAACTACAAAGTCCAATAAGAAAGAGTCAGGAGAGGCGAGAATATACGGAGGAGAAGCACCTGTCGAAGAACTTACAATTGATTTCGAGGTATGGAACGACTGCATGGAACTCTTTTGCGGTCATCTAGTGGCATGCGGATGGAAGCCAATTGCGGAAAAATTCAAAGCACATGTCGCGGTGGTCAAGAAATTACGGAAAGATTTCGGTTGGATGGTAGCGCTAAGGTATTGTCAATTGGTAAGACAAGGGGTAATGCGAGAGACTGTCGACAAATCTATAGGAAATTATGCCGAGCTTCAAGAAACATTGTTAGTAGAAGCAAAGACAGTCGCTGAAAGCTTTAACAAGCGTCATTATAAGACGAACCCGTACGCACCCGGAAGGCCTAAGGCAAACATCTGCCCTTTGACAAACAGACCAAAAACAAACGCAACAAACAATACCTCGACAGTAACCTCTTCAGAAAATTGCTACGCTTCCACGAGCTCATACAGAGGGAATGGAAAAGGAGGTAAAGGAGGAGGTGGTTATAAAGGAAGGTACGACGATGGAAGAAGTCGTAATCATTGGAGGAAGGAAGATCGTTATGGCTCGGACAGGTATGCTAGTCATAGAGACAAAAGCAGAAGCCCTGATCGTCGTGACAAAAATGGAAATCCCGTGAAGGGAAGGAAAGCGTGAGCCAATAAGTCCAAGTGGCGGAATGTTGTGCTGAAATACCTGCAATGAATCCCATGAAACAAGCCCCAAAACAGAGAGAAGTTCAGAACTAACATGCTTGACTGGTTTTGATTTGCCAAAAAGGGAAAGTTCCCCTTTACATGAGTATTATGATCATCCCATGTTAGAAGCCACATTTAGAATGCCCTCACCCTTTATCAAACCTACAGACCCTGAAACCCTGTCATGCCTCGATCCAAATCAGAACTCGCTGTACGTCGAGCCAGATAAGAAAGGCTCACACGAGCGAAGTAATCTAAAGAGAGATGATGTGTCAGCACCACGAGGAAGAGTTTGGCCGACCAGACCTTCTTGCAAGATGAACATACCAATGTGGAAAGAACAATTGTGGAAGTATAGAATCAAACACAAATACAAACATATCATCCGAGGTTTTGAGTTAGGCTTTGACCAGGGGATACGAAACGCAAAAGTGAGAGGAATGAAATACTTCTGCCCGGAAAATCATAAGTCAGCTTTCATGGCAAAAGAGAAGATTGAAGAGAATTTCAGACAAGAAGTAGAGAAGGGGCGGATATTCGGTCCGTGGACCAAGGAAGAAGCTTACGAAAAAGTTGGCTTTTTCAGGACAAACCCTCTAGGCGCCGTAGTAAACGGCGATGGATCCTTTAGACCAATCAGCAATTTATCTTATCCAAAGAACGATCCTGAAATTGAATCGGTGAACTTTTGGGTGGATAAAGACGATTTTGAGACAACGTGGGATGACTTTAGAACAGTGGCTTGGTTTTTCACGACTCATAATGGAAAGGTAGTGCTCGGTGTGTTTGATTGGGCCAAAGCCTATCGACAGATACCGGTAGCGATGGACCAGTGGTGGTTCTTAATGGTACTTGACTTCAATAATCGTGTTTATGTGGACACTCGAGTTCAGTTTGGTGGCGTAGGGGGTTGCGGTACTTTCAGACAAGCGGCTGAAGCTTGGAAAGAGATAATCATGATCAGGTTCAATCTACTTCAAGGATTTAGGTGGGTAGACGATACCTTGTTCGTCAAACCAGCGGACGGATCGAATCCAACGACAATGCGACAAATAGCCGCCGCAAGTGAAGAATTAGGAGTAGAGACCAATGAGAAAAAATGGCGTGAATTTGATTCAGAGCAGAAATATCTCGGTTTTGTATGGAACGGAGAAAATAGGACGGTCAGACTTCCAGAGGAGAAAATTGAACTACGGATGGATCAAATACGAGAATACGCACAACAAGAAAAGCAGTCATTTAAAAACACAGAGGTATTAGTGGGCCGGCTGAATCACATCACCTTTGTCTTTCCGCAAATGAGGGTTTACACATCAGCCATATATAGAATGATGAAAAATTGGGGAAATAAATTTGCCTTGAGACACTTACCAGAGGAGGTCAGAGAAGACCCAAAGATATGGTTATGTACCTTGAGAAAGGCAGATCCGCTGCGGGTAATTCCAAAACCGGAGGTAAGGAACGTTGGATGGGTGGGTGATGCATCAACATCCTATGGAATAGGCGTAATAATTGGGAAAAGATGGACTCAGTTCAAATTAAAAGAAGGGTGGAGAGAAAAAGACAGAAACGGGGACAAACGCAGAATTGCTTGGGCCGAAACGGTAGCCATCCGACTTGGGTTACTAACGATAGAACAATTAGAACAAGTCAAAGGAAGAAATTACCTAGTATTGACAGACAACACGGTAACGGAAAATGTGATTATCAACGGAAAATCAAAAGACTCATTAGTTAACGCAGAATGGAAGAATATCCAAGAAAGGTTACTGACAAAACAGTATGCCATAACGGCAAAACGAGTAGTTTCGGCAGATAATGCTGCAGACGCTCTCTCAAGAGGAAAGATATCTAGAAAGAAGAAGCAAGATAAAATGTGGATAGACCTACCTGCAGATTTGCGGGTGTTCCTAGAGCAAACGTAATGATAATGAACTTTGGTCGCCTTTTTTCCAAGTCTGAGCCCAAAAAAGGGGAAAAGATACGATTGAGTTGCCCTACTTACCGCGTGAGAACCCTGAGATATTCATAAGAAGATGATTGAGCCTTGAGGAGCCCATAAGAAGCGCATATGAGATGTAAAGGAAATGACGGAAGGCGGATTGGAAGGAAGTCCGAACCGTCGCGTGAGTTTCAATTCAGAGGGTGAGCAGCGGAAACTGTTTGCCAATTCTCAAAGCAAACGTTCCAGACCATTAGCACCATCCCAATCTATGCCTCGCGAAAAAACGAATAATCGCAAAGCAACGAGATCACCATATGACGTACCAGGTCATTTCGGGAAAGCGGCTTGAAAGTCAACGCATCCTGGGGCGCATCTAGCGGTTGGAAGCTGGGCAAGAACAACTCTATCGGGTTATTCATCCGGTTTGTCGAAGTACATAGCTTACATTGAATCGACAGGGAAAGAGTTCGACGAAAAACAACCTATAGGAAAGAAAGATATATATGGTTTTATAACATGGGCAGGTAGAACAAAGGTCGACATACCTAATCCACCTAAGAAACCGATTACGGCGAAGACCATCGATAAATACCTCGATGGGATCAACGCCTGGCATATCGTCAAGCATCTCCGCGCAATTCAAGTCGACAGAAATATAATAAAGATGTTGTTACGCGCTACTAAACGAGAGGAAGAAGGAGTTGTGCTGGAATCAAGCAAGAAACCAGTAAAAGTTCAGCAACTGTACCGCCTATTAGTCGAATCATATGGAAAGTCGGACTTACAAGACCTAGCAGTGAACATCGGCTTAATCGCCTTCTGGGGTATGATAAGGTTGGGTGAAATCTTTAGAACAACGAAATTAGAAGGAGCGTTGCTTAATCATCATGTAGAGTTCGGGGTGTCAGAGAAAGGGAGGTGGGCAAGATTACACTTAAGAAAGGGGAAGACGGCAGGTCCGAACGAGATTCAAGTTATTCACCTTCAATCCCAACCGTCGATCCTGGACCCGGTGAAAGCTCTGGATCGAATCATACGCATGAATCCAGAGAAGGGCAGAGAAGCGTTCTTGTTTCAAACAAAGGATGGTATTTTGACGAAAAATTCCTTTATAAAAGGAGTAGAGAAGGTTTGGGGCAAGGCTTCGTTAGAGAAATGGTCCGGCCATTCGTTTCGGGTTGGAGGTGCGTCCCTAAGAGTGAACTTAGGGACTTCAGAAAAGACAATTAAAAAAGTTGGAAGATGGAAATCTGAATCCTTCAGACGTTACGTTAAAGAATTCTCAGACGAAGAAACGAGAATGACAAAGTTGTTTTTAGACGCTATAAGGTTGACAGATTAAACTTTGGAGATGGGGAAGGAATGAATGGGTGATCATGCAGGTTTACAATTAAAGTTTTGCCATTCCATGACCCACGTGCTCATACAGAACACGGATCCTCAAAGATCAAAGAGTACAAGTTAAGCCGGCAAATATCCCGTCATGCCGTTTGGGGGGTTGTCCGCTTGGCCAAGGACGGCATGGTCGTACCATCCCAACCTCGGTTCAGGGGACTCGGACAACCACCCCCCAGAGGAAGAGGAGGTGTGAGTGCTCAAGCTAACAGCAAACGTTGGTTCGGACAAACCAACGTTGGTTGAAATAAACCAAAAAGTTGGTTTCGTGCAACCAAAGATTTGGTTCACGAAAACCAAATTCGAGCTTGGGTAGCGCACTTTCCCAAATAACCCTTACCTCACCACGTGGCAAGGTAAGGGTAAGGATGGTGATAATATAACAACTCAATTTATGAGTAAGTTGATATTTACCATAATGATAATAATATTACTATGTTACGTAGAGTGATCTAAAAGAGTGGATTAGATACACCAATAAAGGTACGCTTTGGTGGAAGTGTCCACGATGTGTGAAACTGACACGTGAAATACTTATTTACATGTCACCCGCGGGGAGGAGGTCGAGTAAGGAAATACACAACCCTTTTCCTATTTCGACTCACTCATCCCGCTCAGTAGTTTCGTACACAAGTTTGTGGTATCTAATAACTCAGTCTCCTTTTTGATCTCTCTTTAAAGTTCACTTTAAAAACTTTTTCCATCCCACCCACCCTACAATGGGATAACCATCCTTTTGATCAGGGTGCTGCTCAAGCTAACAGCAAACGTTGGTTCGGACAAACCAACGTTGGTTGAAATAAACCAAAAAGTTGGTTTCGTGCAACCAAAGATTTGGTTCACGAAAACCAAATTCGAGTTTGGGTAGCGCACTTTCCCAAATAACCCTTACCTCACCACGTGGCAAGGTAAGGGTAAGGATGGTGATAATATAACAACTCAATTTATGAGTAAGTTGATATTTACCATAATGATAATAATATTACTATGTTACGTAGAGTGATCTAAAAGAGTGGAGATGCAATTTATTCTTAGCTGCTACGAGTTTTTCTTTTTGAGTTGACTCCATGATATCAAAGAAATGATGACAAGGAATATCTATAGAAGGATATATAAAGATTCTGAATAGAGAGAGAAGATGTTCGAAATTTTTCTAAGAGCTAGAAGAGTAGAAAAAGGCACAAAAAAGATAAGAAGGTGCTGATGAGGGGGCAGAAGTGAGAGAAGAAGCTGAAGTGGAAGAGGAAGTGAAAAATTTTCTCTTCTGTTTCAGAATAATTCTTCCCATGTTACGGGCCCCGTCTACTGGGACCGTGAGTTGCCCCGCACCTGTTTATCCCGCCCCCTACGTTTACGTAATGGACTCTAGGCCTACCGTCGCAGGCTTAGGGTAAACTAGCAATCTTTGGATCGAGCGGATGTTGAGTTTTCCTTGTACCCTTGAGGTACAACAGTGTCATCTTAATTTTACCTTCACGTTTTGGTGTCGGTACAGTCTTTGAAGGTTTTGGTTGGAGAACAGCTTTTTTGATTGGAGGATTTGGCCAGTTTGTCCAATTCTTTGTAGTTCAGATGTGTACAAGTTCCTCAGCTTGGCAAGAGCTAAAATCAGTAGAGTTGGAGCTTGACAATTGTTGAACAGGTCCGGGAAAAGATAAAGCTGCTGGCAAGGTCACAACGTTTGACATGAATAGGTGGGCTGGAAGTTCATTTGGGTTGGCTGTGTTAGGAATCAGCGGCTGGACAGATTGTTTGGGTGCTTGAAGACTTGAAGAAGCAACAACTTTCAAGGTATTCAAAGATAAAGCTAAAGGTGTCCTTGAACATGCGCTACAATGTATACCTTCAAGATATTTATAAACTACTCCACATAAGTGACAGTATGGAAATTCACAGTTGGTTCCGTTATGAGCTTTGCGCCATTGACAACAACCACAGTTTGGATCTGTCTTAGGTCTCAGTGGGAAGTCGTGTCCACAGTCAGGACATGGTGGTTGGCTGTCCATCGAGGAAAAGGTATTCATTTGAGAGGATGGCTTGTGTCTGAGAATTCCCTTGGATGAGAGTTTGCTCAAGAAGGAAGAGTTTGGGGGTTTAAGAGACGCCTAGGTTCCGGGGACAACACCGCAAGCGCTACGCAACGCAATGGATTTCAACCTATTTCCATTGCGTTGCGCAGTCAGCGCATTATCACGCTACGCAACCACTCCGCAATGGGGTGTTTTTTTTCTAACTTGCCGTTGCGGAGCGGTTGGGCAAATATTGCGGAAAATGCGCAATATTGCCCTATTTCCGCAATATTTGCCCTAAATAACCGTCAAAAACCGACCGCAATTGCGGTGCGGGTTTCTGACCAAGGGGTTTTTTGAACCCGGATTGCGGAGCGCTGGCACCGCACTATATTGTGTTGCTATTGCGGCGCCCAAAAGCGCTACGCAACTGCACCGCAACTGCAACATAGTGCGGTGCTCTTGCGGTATTGCCGGGGAGGGAGGATGGACATATTTCTGCAGGCAGTCATTGAATTTGCATGACAAGGCAAGGGGCAACTACGCGGAGTTCACTGGTATGCTAGGCCTTTGGTACAAAAGAACCATTATAAACCATCTTTAGTAGTGAAGATTTGGCCTACAATAGCCATGATGATCTTTGAGGATGCATTAGATGGGATTATGATTGAACTTTGAGGCAATTGGAAGTGAGTCATGTTTTCACTGGTCACAAACTCATAACTCACAAATCACGAATCACAAAACGTCAAGTTACAAAAAGGGGTGGCGGCGATTTTGCCTCGGGGCCACCATAAAAAGGTGATCCAATCTGCTGAGCGAACCTTTCCAGCTGAAGCATCTCCAAAGATAGGTGAGGGCCAATTGAGCCAAGGTGGAATTTTAGTATGTTTTATAACCCAGCGTATCTTAGAGAGATCTTGTGATGAAAAGTAACAGGTGTCAGATGTTGAGTCAGGGTCAACTTGAATCGGATCATCAATTTCCATGAGAGCATCTTGCAACGAACGCAGGTTGATTCCTGAATCTGAGTCTGGAGGAGAAAACTGTTCATCTGCTCGTAGTTCTTCGTAATGATCTTCGTTGAAGTAGTCTTCAGTTAAAGGTACATTGTATTCTGTGGGTTTCTGGTCCTTGAGCTCCAGAGCAACATCCTTCAGACACCAAACCCGAATTGCATGCCAAGATAACATACCCAATAAAAGATGCATGGGTTCGACTACAGTAAACATTGTTGAATCCCAGTAGCTGAGCTCGTTTAAGATTGACCACCGAACTCCATATGTCTTGATCAACTCACACCACGCGAAAATTAATATTTTCCGGGCCGAAAAGAAATATTCCGGGAATTATATTTTCCGTTGCCTAGTGAATCTCAGTAATTTACGTACTGATATTCTGCAATCATCTGTGCTCATCATGGTTTCAAAATTTTGAGCCTCTACGGCTTGTCATGAACTCGCGCATACAAAAGCAAATGCCGAGATGATGATCCAGTGCTGGAATGATCTTTGAGCTTGCAGCCACACTCACATCCTTTGTGAGCACTTTCTTAGATGTTGTTGTAGTAGAGCATGAGTCATGGAATACAACGCAACGGAAGAACAAAAGAGAAAATATTGCAACAAATGGATTTATCCCGGAGCGACTCAATTCGTAATGATCGCTTGATCACATAGAAGGTACGTCAGTCCCAACATCCTTTGAGACCGACCAAATAAGTCAACAAATTTGAGTTTGAGTATATTGAGATGTGTTATCTGTAGTAGGGATCCGATCTACACCCTTTTCATGATACCAAAACAACCCAAATATGATCCCCACTACAGTGATTTCTTCATCATTCTCCTTTTATTCGTTCATGCATTATTGAAAAAGATGCCCCCTTGAAAATATCTAATCATACTCGAGGGTTCTAGGATGAAAGTTCCTTGATTCTTACAAGTTGGCATCAACGATACATATATATATACATACATAACCGCCTCAGAATTAGTTAGCTTTGGATTCAATCTCAAAAATATTACTTTATTGCCAAAATCATACCCTCCAACATATTTAATCAATTCCTTCCTCTCTCGGAAGACTGTAGTGTCTACAATCCTCATTTTCATTGTCTTGACCGATCTACTGCTTACCCCAAACTTGCAGTAGTCGCACTGGTTATCAAGTTATATCCACATGTGTGTATAAGCTATCTGATTCTGTGCTCTTCAATACGCTCGCATATCAACTTATCCCTCTGTTGCTACCCTTATAGATCCTTCAAGATTTTCCTCCGATCTAAGATGTCAGGCAATTCTCGTAAAAATCCAGGTTCAGCGGTCCCTAAACTCAAGCTCAGCGCATCCGGAACCGCTAAGGAAGGAAAGCCGAACGTTAATGTAATGCCAGCTCAAGGTGAGATCACCTCGCCACCAGGAAACTCTTCCCGCCGCGCATCTGGACCAGAATCACCTACCCAACGATTCAACAATAATGCGACCAACCCCTCGAAAGGCTCTGATCTCAGAGACCATCCATTATATCACAAAGTCCAAACACTCCCGAACGAATTGAAACCATTCTTGTGTCATGATTGGAAGAAGAACAGAAAATACAATCTCACGAAGCTCAAATATTATTCAATCTTGTATCATTTCAACACCGCAACAACTGCACGTCCAAATATTAAGAAAGAACTATTGGAGAATCAGTTCAAGACCAAGTTACTACCCCAATTACAACCATTCTGTACGCCACCTCCATCAAACGACGAAATGGACACTGACGATGATCAGGAGGATTTTGATCCACTTCACCGGAGCACGACTATTGCCATGCTTGTGAATACTATCCATAGCATAAACCCCACCGTCAACGTCTCTTCGGTCGCACTCAAGGACAAGGTGCTTGTTCTTTACAAGCATTATGTCAATCCGGATCTCCCATTCCATCAAAACTCTAGCTACACGGCCATACCACGCACTGTCAAGTCGAAATTTGTATCGAAACTTAGCACCCAGGCCATTTGACATGCCCTCCAATGCCGACACCCCGAATTGTTCCTGAACACTCCAGTCTTGCGACTATCACATTACATTAGTCTATACAGATTATTCATAATAGAGGAAGACCGAAAAACAGACGAAGAAGCCTTGGTTGAGGGCTATCACTATTGGATCATCAAGGACTTGCTTCCAGAGCCTACCAAGCGTACGTGAGAGAGGATCAATGGCTTGTACGTTTGATTTCCCTTGGATAGTACCTCAAGTAAGCAGCTACTAATTGTCACAAAAACCAGATTCTCTTTCTTTAGGTGTCTCAGCAATTTATGACACGTCAACTTCTTTACCCTCAATTATCCAAATTACCGAGCGTATTCAATTTACACATATAGGAATGATTCTTGTTTTCAAGAAAGCTCTTGCCCAATTGTCTTGGATGTTACCAATCCGGGACGGACAAAGGTTTCTCTTCCTTTTATTGTACTTTTATGTGTTCTATCCCTGTATAAGCTCTACCTACAAAAAACCTGTGAAAAAATGGAATGTAATTTGGTAAGTCCTGTTGTTTGTTGCAGGATAGGCTTTTGATCAACCTCATTATAAGATTATGTCCCAAGAATGTCGCTGTCTTGTTGGTTTATCATAAAATATTAAGGATTCTATGTCTTCTCACATAACACCTTCAATCGAACCCAAATCTATCAATTACATTCATATCTTGTTACAACATTCAATCAATAGTCACTCAAATCTGAAGAATGTATCTCGTTTTGACTTGTAATTCCTTTTCTTTCTTTCTCAATCGGTATCACATTCAGCGGAGATTATATGTACACATTGTCATCTACATTCATCACTTGATTCTCCTGACCCCGTTTATCACGACTGAAGCGAGATGAGACAACAATATGTGTTGTAATAATGAACTGATTTGAGAACATCACTCAAGTCATTGCTATTTACCTTGGGTTAAGCTAAATATATTTGAAGCCACATATATCGAACATAGAACAGGGGTTCTACACATATGCTCAAGCATGACATTGAGTCATGTATTCGTATCTAGTTCATGACCAGCCTAAATAACCAATCTAATTAAACACAAAGGCTTTTGATCGGCGATAGAAGTGATCAAGTCAGAAATCGAAGTCAAGAGACTGATTACTGATCTACTGGACCGGAAGCTCAAGTAGAATCCAGTATATATATAGTGACATATGTTGAAACCATTTTAACATCACCCCCATATTTCTCTGATCGATCAAAATGCCAAAGAGTCCTAAAATATTTGATCCGGATGCGCCAGGAATCAACAAGCAGGCGATGCTCGATTGGATGCACATAAATCACCCGATGACTCCTATCAAGTCCGGTTCTAGTCAAGATGAGGTTGCAAAGAAGGTGAAAGAGGTTCAGCCTCAATGTATGTCATCGAACTCTTTCTCTCACCATGCATCTGTCTTGTCTCTTCATGTCTATTCTTTCAAAGGCCTGATTTGTTACATTTAATTTTCAACTTGTTTCCTTTTCTATCCGATAATCTTTCACCTTATCTTTGATCCAAAGACTTTGCTGTTCCGGGTGGAATTATTGGGCAACGTGGGAGTGGGACCCCAAACCAAACGATCGAATCCCAGGTTGAGTCTTCGACCTCTCGTCGGAATGTGGTCAGTCTTTCAGATATCTTATATCGTGATCCACATCTTATGAGGCTCAATTGCGGGCTATCCTCTTCAAACAGAGCTCCTCCGTCAGAAAGCGGAGTCCTTCTCCAGTCGATAACAAAGTGGCCCCACCAAAGAAACGCTCAGTGTCAGCAAAGCTGACCTTATCCAAAAACTCGACTCGGCCTGTAACAAAGAAAAAGGTAGGCAATTCTAAATCTTCAAAAATCAATAAATCAAGTTTGTTTAAGTCTATCATAACTTTGACCGTATACTTTTCAAGAGTGTGCATTTTCACAATACTCAACTCGCTGGGTCACAAGAAGGACATCACGGTCAATCAGCGACGCAAAATGGCGTTCTCAAGCTCCCCCTTTCTCCCTCGGTTGAACCAAAAAATCTCACGCTAGCAGTAAGTTGATGTCTCCTCGTGTACGGCTTATCCTTCTCTTTGTATCGTCAGTCTTAACATTGTATTTTCTCTACACAGTCCGATGCTCAAGTGCATTACCATCATCCACTCGCTTTTGATGAGGCTCTTCAAAGCAATCAGACCCGCAAAGATCAAAAACCTCGACTTCTATCAAATACTCAAGCAGCTGGATCATTCGTGTCTTCTCTCTCTGCAGATTTATTGCCGCCAAAAATCACTCCAATCAAAGTCAAAACCGAGAAAGATGTGACACTTGCATCAGAGGACCACATCTCGCCTGAAGGAAAACTTACCAGTACACATGAAGAGGATCTCATAGTCTTTACAGACAAGGATTGGTTGGAAGCTGATAATATTGGTTTGTAGTTGTCTCTTATTCCAAGACCCCTCCCGCAAACCTTCTGATCATGGTCATGAATCTTAGTGAACGGCCGAGATATTGCGCCCATATTACCAGATCGTTCAACATCAGTGTTTTCATCAACTGAAAAGAAAAGGACTGGAGTCGAAGTCTTCCAAGATGAAAGACGACAAGTTGATCAAAGTAGGTACCTGAATAAATCACTCAACATCCAATTTGAATGAATCAGCTGACATGGTTGTATGTAGTTTCTGCAATTGAAGAGCGTATAAACGGTATCGAGGTCATAACAAATGACTGGAAGAGTCTTCAAGACAATATGGAAAATTATAAAAACAAGGTTGATGTGCGCATCAAAGCCCTTGAAGATGCATTTCAAGACTTCAAATCATCGGTGGACAGTGAGGTAAAGAAGCTTAAATATGCTTTGAAGAAGGCTAATGAGGATATCGAGGCTCATGATACAGTCTTGCAACGCATGCTTTCCGAGGGAAATGACGATGATGGACATTCCGAATATGCAGAGAATGATCAAGAGGAAGATGAATCGAGCTGTGAAAGTGAAGACTTTTCTAGGATTTGACTACCTCATATATCTTCATGATTTGTAAATACCATCAACGTAGTGATAATTTTTTATAAGATTAAGCGCTATAGTTACAGAAAGCTGGTGATGGTTTAATTGTGTGCAAAAATTGTTCTCCACAATTTTCAAATTCTGATGTGTTAAAGCCAGATCAGAAAGTCAACTTTTATGGCTCCCTTGTGACGTGAGTGAGATGACTTCATTGTTGAATTCTTCATATGATTCGACTTATTTGAGCCCTGTTCTCTTTGAATGGCCCCCAGCCTATGTTCAGAATGAAACAACAGTCATCTTTTGTAAGAGCGACGGTAACACTTACCACCATTTGTACAAATGACAGACAATCACTACAAGACTCGTGTCATCTTTTGTAGCTGATCAGGCAAAAGCTAATGGACATTAGATTCAAGAGATGTTGATACATCTCTTGAAAAGGTTAACGAGTACTGGCAAGCATGGGCAATTTGAATTACTTTCTGATTTATTCTCAAACCAATTTGTAGTCACTGAAATATTGATTATGTATCATGAAAGCTGGGTTGTGTACTGATATATCCTTCCTTGACCACTGTTTGCCAATTCCAAAAATGAAACAATCACAAAAAAGAGGGAGAAACACAAGTTGCAATAACATGAGAGATTGAAGCGTAATCTCGTTCTATCAGTAGTGCTTGATGTCTCTTCCAGCAGTCTTCAAAGAGTGTGCGCTGAAAAATTGGATACAATCTTGACTATAGTATGTTATGAGATGATCTTGTGGTCAACTTATCTGGCCAACAGAGAAGAGCAGAGAGAGCAGTCAGATCAAGTTCATTTCTGTAAACTCAATGATACAAGGAGTCAAGTTGACAAATTCCCTGTTCATAAAGCCCGAGAGAACAAAATATGGTACTCAGCAACAAGACTTACTATGTGATAAAAGAAGCAGAGTCGCAGGAAACACAGAGGAAAAACAAACCTTAAATATTGTATCAATTCATTGTATCGTATTCTTGATTAAGCACTCGTATTTCCACCACTTGGGATTCTTTCTGCCTCATCTGATGAATCGTGGGGGTTGAATTGGCCATTCGCATTGGTTTTATTTCTAGAATTTGATAAACAAATTCAAAATCAGCATATAAAGATAAAAAATAGATGAAAAGCAATAATTGATGCCGGAGAACTCACTGATGATAATTGCCCAATGCAGTAAGAAATGCAACATCCTGGATAGATCGTTCAAACATCTTCTGACGGCATTGCAAAGTGATGGTTGCCGCTTTGAGCTTGACCTCGAGGTCTTGGAAGTGATTGGCAGATATATCGGCTTCCCGCATAAGAAGTTGTATACCTTCAATCGACGCATGAGCTTGCTGAAGGTAGATGACATGGCTGTGGAGTGTGTCTTCGGCGTGATCTTGAGCACCCAAGATATTAGAGTACTCGTCTTTGGTGAGATACTTGTAAATCTCCAAAAATTTGATGAGGTTTTCGGAAGCTAGATGGTACTGGCCGTGCCTGAGAGCCGTGAGACAAGAACAGGTGAACATGAGGGTACGATCCGAATTGAAGTCGGCTGCACAAGTAATTGTCTGCTCAGAGTCTTGAGGTCTGAAGATAGGAGCTTTGAACACTGCTGAGAAGTATTCGACTGAAGGCTTGCAGTCCTTGGGGATGAGTACATGATTGGAGAGCTGGTGGGCCGCTTGTCCACGAAATATCGTTTCTAGGAGCTGACGATCGTTCTTTGCATTCTCGTTGAACTTTAGATTTGGACAGAAAATATGAATTACTTCTAATAGTCTGGATGTACTAGCTTCCGTTAAAAAGAGATCTGTATCAATCTTTGAAGGAGATATGTCACGAACGTATTGAAGAAGATAAATGGGTAGGAAAATGTGAGTCTGCATTTGGTGTGACATGTATGAGCAGCTAATTTTTGTGGATGTGTGAGTCTTGAATTTGAAAGATGATTGGACAAGGACAAGAATAGCGCTGATTGACTGAAGAATAGTATTGATCTTATACTAACTGAAGATCGCCAAAACCTTGGAGAAGATTTCGTGATCAATGTTCTTCTTGTTTGAATGGCTTGAATTTGTATGTGTATAACTCACACCCTTCAACGCTTAATTAATCTGTGTTTGTGAGGATTGAGAGGTGGAACACGCTCTACACCCAACTCAATCTCTCTTGGATCATTCTCAAGTACATACATTAAAGAATGATTGAGAAACAAAACTCAAATGGTAAGCTGATCAAGCCGTTGCGCGCTTACAAAAGAAAACCTATCCCATTGATCACACAAGGAGAAATGAAACTCTGTATCTACCAAGGACACCAAGATGCCGAAAAGAAGACCGGAATTGTCAAAGCCCAAGGCTATGATTATCCTTTGATGGTTGACACAGAAACACACCTTTGACGCTTGTAAGTTGAAAAGGGTATCCATTCTCACTCGTCTCATGGAAGTCCAATCTGATTACTTGTATCAATCTGTAACCAAATCATTCTACATTATGAATATAGGTGACGTGCCGTCCGGATCAGACAAAGAACGCATGCATCCAATATGGTTTGGCATCATCCCATCCGAAAGGAACATAAGATGAGCTCCCCTTCTTTCTCTATTTCTCTTGTCTCAAAACCCTCCATTACATTCTATCATCTTAACATCCTGTCTTTTTTATTTTGATTTGACACTTGTCCAAATTGTGATTGGCTTTTGCTCAGCTTTCTTTCATTTCTGTTTCTAAATTCTTGTGTATCCCATTGTCAAATCAGTGTTTAAGTTTTTGCCAATCCTAGAGCCGGTCTCTGAGTTAAGGCATGGCTGACAATCAATCAACCACTGATCAACCTACTCGTCACATCCGTCAGCCCCGTCGCAGCCTACGTACAACCAATGCCGAAACTCCGCCTTTATCCAAAGGAACCCCAAGCATTGTCTCAAATGCAGTAGGTGACACCACGGTTAAGCAGAAGAAACGGAAGAAGCAAAGCAAATCAGAATCAGGTAACACTCACTCATCTTTCATCCCCAATCTATCATTCCACAAATTGCTGACGGAACTGCTTGTAAACACATAACAGATGAAGACCCTAGCGTTCCGGTTGGCAAAACTACTTCCCGCGAAAGATTGCTTGACTTACTGAACCGGCGATTCCAGCCTAAAAAACCTCGCCTATCAGCCGCCAGCGATAAAAAGACAACTCGGGCCAAAAAAGCTTCACAAACCACCCGAGCAAAGGCCACTGATGGCATCATTACCACCCGTCCTAGTCTTCCACCTCACAGTTTACCGACCGATCTAGACATTTCGAAAAGCCACGAAATTAACTACTCTTTGTTTCACGATTCTCAACTGCTAGAACTGCTTCACAACATTGGCCTAGATACGACGGGGATGACTAAAGAAGAACTGATCAAAAACTGCAAGTTGCATCAAGATCTAGGTACGTTTGTCAAAGGTCTCATCAAGCATGAACATGAACAAGTTTTTGAAATTGATCAATAAACACTTCGTATGCAGTTGTTTTACCGGGTTTTTCTGTAACAGCACCTCAAGCTGGACCTTCGACACCGGCTGAAGGTAAGTTCATTTTTTTGGGTACTTTTAGTGAAAATACCTTTATTGTGTTGAGCTAATATGTAATATAGGAATGGAAACAGATGCTGCTGACGATACAACTTTACCCGAAATCATGGAGCACCCACAAACACCTATTCCTCCCCTGCAATCCACTTCGAAATCGGATCCAGCACCTCGACCAAAACGTACAAAAGGGAAGGGAAAGCAAGTCTCTAATCAAGCGAACGACAATCTTTCTCGAATTGAAGAACTCTCTGCAGCCTCTGAGCAAGAGGATTTTCACCCCCAACAATCCACTTCGAGGAAAAAATCTTCAAAAAACTGCAACTTACCTACTGATGATAGTGATCCAACAAATTTAGATTCTTTGAAAGGTATTATTGCAGAGCATAAAGACACTATCATCAAGCTGAACACAGTCTTTACAGAAACAAATAAGAGGGTTCAAGATCTTGAAGACGAAGTTCGCACACTATCGGCTGTTGTTAAGAAGTTGGTTGGAGAGAATGTTAACAGTCCCTCAGATTCAAAAACACGCGGTGGTCGTATAGCAGTAAGTAATGAAATTTGAAATCTCATCCACTGGATCCGTACTGACAATGCATTCGTGAAACAGGCTCGTGTGAGATTTCACGTTGAAACACTTCTAGGGCAACGAACTTGCGAGAGGATCCTTCCAAAACCTGCCAGTGCGGAAGAGAAGCAAGCTTGGATGTCTCAGGAATCTCTCGATCTATTTGAGTTTAACGTTGAACATGATCTGCTGCCCTCAGTTCCTGAAGACGGCGATCCCACCTTCCCGTATAAGGATGGCCCAGGTCATACAAAATCTACCCCGCAACAGCTTTCTGTGATGTGGCAGATGATGCAGGCAGTCGGAGTATCGAGTTTTCGGCCCGACTTCTCTCGAACCCAATCCTCCAAGGATAACAAGTGGCTTTGGGATCTTGGATTAAAGATTTTTATTAAACTTGTCGAGTGTGGGGAGTACAGCGGTGTTCCTCTTGGTGTTGACGGGATTGCTGCTATCAAAAAAAGTCTGAAATCACATATTCAAACACTCATGAAAAGGTTTGTCTCTTGTCAATTTTTGCTTTTGGATCCGACAGGACTATACATCCCACAAACTGCTCATGTCTCATATTTATCATCACAGGTACTCTCAAGAGAAATGGGATGCCGCACAAAAAGAGGCAGCAGCAAATGAAGTTAGACGAGCTACAAGGGCGCGACATGTAAGTGTATCTATACTTACCTAACATCATTTGGTATACTGATTTGGGGCCTCGGAAATCTAGTTGAAATCCCAACGGGACCGTATAATTCTTGCAAACCCGGGCTTGTGGTCTCTTTCATCAATACTCGAAAGTGCTTGTAGCGACGATGAGACCGATGACGATGGCCACTTGGCCACCGGATCCCCACGCTCCACAAGGCCATTGCGCGTGCAAAGGCTTGAGTGGCGCAGCTCTCAATTAGAACTGATCTTCACTCGTATTGATGACCTCAAAGACCAAAATGACGCCAGCATACCTGGTATCTCACCTGGTCAAAGGGGTCGCCCTCCTCAAATGCGTATTCGAAGTGATGATAGACCTCCAAGTTCGATAGAAGCACCAGTGGGATTACCTGTCGATTGTTACTCGTCAGACTGGTTATCCTCATTATCAGGCCTTGATCGCTGTCAGCTTGAGATTAATGAAATCCCACAATTGAGCACATGCCTTACAGCTCTTGACGCATTGATTTTTTGAAAAATTGGGTCTAGATTGAACAAGATAGTAAAGTTTGTACTCATTAGCTGATCACAATGTATTGCTATTTTGTTTCTTTACCATGCAAAGAATACAATACACAATTGATAGAAAGCTTGACAATGAGGCAAGAACATTTGTGAGAGGAATACGAGTGATTACAGCTGAATTACGTTCATCAAAAATGGGCTCAAATTGACATACAAATCAAGTGATTGAGATCAAACCAAACCGTTCAAAAGTGTACCCGACAAAGTACTCATAGCCTACAATACATGACACAAATGAGAGAAGGATTCATAGCCTATATGACATGGATGATAGTCATCGCTCCATTGATACAAGAGCAACAGTTGCTATAGTCAAACTCTTGTGCAATTCACAAGGCTTATACATGATCCACAAGCAATGTGATATCACATCTTTCACATTGATTACAATATTCTCAGTTGGGCCCCAAGCACGAAGATATACTTGCACATCTGGCGCATTTATCTGCAACATTGGATTGTACATGTGTGCGGGGACCAGTGGGAAGTGTTGTACATGTAACCAAGTGTCTACAATGTTTTCAGAAGGTGTTGGCGATCGACGATGGACAAATATTGAAAAGATTCGGCCAAATGTACGGGTTTTATTGGGAGTGGAATTGAAAGTGATGAAGCTATTATTTGGATTCGAAGTAAATGATGCGAAGTGGACGTCCAAGTGTTCAATTTGCTTGTAGAAGAATGCGCGTGGAGTGATTGGTATCAAATCACTGGTATCCTTCTTTGATTTCTGACACCTTTGATCTGGAAGGACCCAAGTGCGTCTGTCTGTTGTGTCTTCATTTAATTGCTCTAACAAAAGCGCAAGAGTCGAATTTGCGATGGGTTCGAGCTTTGAGTTGGATAGTTTCTTTTTAGCTGCAGGAGGTGGATCATAGAGTGATTCCAGGCGTGTCGCATACGGCTTGAGGGTCTCAGGAAGTTGATCGTCTTTGATAAGGGCAGAAAGATTCCCAGCGCGACAGAAATTCTTCATGAAAGTGATTTCGAGTTCGCCTGCAAACATATTTCATTTACTGCATTAGCAGGTGCTTGCAAATCAGGATGAATCTCTTCAGTGAATTCTTGAAGACTTACCAATATGGTTATTGTGGCAGCCTTTCAGAATTTGCCCCATCAAACGCTCAAAAGGAAAAGACCACCAGGCCCGTACCGGACCAAAGCGCTCAAGACAGTCTGCCAGGTGAATTGCCATGTGATGGTTCGGCGCAAGATTACAATGTTGGAATAGGACAATAGAACCTTTGAGATACTCCTGGATGTGATGCCAATACCGATCAATCTTCTTTTCATTCATCACCCGCTTCAAGGCCAAGTTAACCAGAGAGACCAGATGACAAAAGTTTCGAAGGAGTGCAGTCTTCACATGATCATGCCCGCTCCATATCGGAATTAAAGTCAAAGGTAGTTGGATTGTGAAGAGATTTCTCCACTCGTCTGCTTTCAACTTGCCAAAAGATGCCTTTCCAACGACAGGGATCGCACGTTTTATCCAGGTAGGTATATGGATTCTTGGAAGTAGAGAATTGATAGCCTGTAGCATTGTTTTGTCGAAGATGACCTCACCAAGTGGCGGCGAAATCCACTCAGAGTCCCACCCAGGATCACCTAGCGGATCAAACTCGCTCTCGCTGCTCAGATCAGGCGAAGGAATATCGTGGATGGTCCCACCATTGTTGTCAGCAACATTCTCTTGATCAGGAACTATACTTTGATGTTGTTCAAAATTGGAATTCTCGTCAAAAAGTTCCAGCAGCTCTTTTTTAGTGACAGGCGGTAGCTCATCTTCGTCGTTCTTCATGTCTGTCATTGACCAAAACCTTCGTAAGTGCCATGAAAGGAGGCCGAGGAGTAGGTTATGCATTGAATCAACTACATGAAAATCTACTATATTCCAATACTCTAAGTCATTCAATACAGAATAGCGGACTCCATGTGTTTTGAATATAATTTTTCTTTCCTTGACAGTCGTCGCATCACGGGCTTGATATGCCCATATTTTATGCTGAGAGCATGTGCGGATGGGCCACGTGGCTTGGTCGAAGTTCTGGATGTCCTTCTTTTCGAGTAGGCAAAATGAGCAGAAGTGGTTATTGGTAGCACTTGGAAATCCAAGTGATCGTCTGAGAGCCGGGATATCTGCGATGAATACTAATAATGCCGCATGAATGACTCGGCCGTCTTTGTACTGATGAGTTTTAGACAAGAGCAACCCTGGCTCCCATAGTGCTTGGAGCTGTGCAACAATCGGCTTGAGTATCCAGTTGATCTGTTCGAGTGCCGGCTCTCGAGGACCTGGTGCAATTCCAACAAGGAATATGTTTTCTGGCCGATTTCGAACTCGGATGGGTAAAGTGAGGCAGATGAGAACTATAAATGTGATTGAATCATGATGTCCACTCTGCTTGTTTCCAAACGGGTTGATGCCATCGATAAACATTCCAAAAACTAAATTTCCACTAGTTGCCGTGAATTGTTGACCGTCTGGTCCACAGAATTCTTTCCAGACCCGTGATCCATGGATGTCATACACATCTTCATTCGGATTGAAAGGTCGTCTCGATTCGACCAAAGACTCATCAAGCCATTCCTCGAAGAGAGGTCGAGAGTATAAACGAGCAATCCATTCACTTAGATCTTGAAAAGCGTAACGCCGGACCGGTACTTGCTCACTTCGGAAGAACCGTAGTAGAGGCCCTCCGCAGGTCTCTTCTTCGAAATCTTGATCACACACAGATGATTGCTCCTCAGCTTCCGCAGTAATTTCAATGTTGGCCTCGATTGAGTGATCTGGTGGTCCTCCAGGAATGCTTGCAATTCGATGATTACACCATGTCGGTGTTTTAGATAAAGGATACAGCGCAAAGCAGCCCTTACAACAATTCATGTATATCAGCCGTGGATCTATCTTCAACCATCCGATTGCCGTGGTGATGGTACGAGGAAATCTCTTCAAAGTTGGGATTTCTGTAAGATTCAATGGAGTCGAAGTTTTTCTTGGAACTAGGCCATGAGTTATCGAGAGTTCCACAGATACACGCATCATGTCCATCAGCCAAGCAGAAGTTGACATCGTCGCATGATCGAATATACTCATAACAGCTGCTGTGAGTGCAACATGAAGACACGTAGGGTTGAAAGATGATAATGTAAACGCGTGGAAGAGGCCTACAAAAGCAAAAAAAGGTTAATACATATTCAACTGCTCAGCGTCGAGATCAAAAAGCGAGATATTCAACGTACTTGTGTCATATTCTCGTAGCCCATTTTGTCTAGCTGAATCTGTAGCTTTGCAAACATCAGGATCCGTAGGCTGTGTTTCGTTCTCCAAGAGAGCCAGCTCATGATTGCGATCAGATGGAACACCGGTTGCTGAAGAACTTCCTTCCGCTTCTTCTTCTGGTTCTCTCGATCGGTCAGCAACGGAAGCACGCAATGAGTCGAAATTCGTATAAGGAGCTGAGACACTTCTACTATTCATTCGAGTAGCCCGATCACTCGAATTCCTGGATGGATCAAGACCCAATCGTGCTAGAGGGCCTGAGAGCTGATCTTGTTCGTCTGTCGGTGCTGGTCGATTCAAGTTTGAATTATCTTGGTTAGCTGAAAGAGATGTTGACATGATTTGGTATCGCAGGTCAGCACGGGCGTGTGATTCCTTCGTGGCGGGAATGACCTCTATGCCTTGTTGTTTGATTCCGCTGGCATCAAGATAGAAACCTTTGTAGCATTCATGACTTTGACACTTGCAGACAACTCGTCGGGCATCGGTCTTGAACTTTGGCGAAAGCATTCTTGTGAATAGTATGTGAGAGAGTTGGATTCAAAAGTTGAGAGAGATGTGATTGACGTAAGTGTTGATCGATGGTTATCTATGAACCAGTGCTCAAGTCGCACTTGTAGACAGTTTAAGAAGAGACCAGCGTGGAGGCGGAACTCCTGGGATTGCGTTGGCTAATGCTTCTCACTCTGTGTTAAGTTGAACATAGTCTTGAATTAGAAGACTTTGGATGAATTCACTTGGTTTTATTTATTTTGTTTGTTCTCGATTCCTCTTGAATATCACATTTGATGAACATTGGTTGCTTCATAGTCACCATCAGATTGAGCGAAGAAGGTACAGGAAGTATATACAACTTGTGGAAGGCACGATGAACACAGAATACGAGAGGGATTGGAGTCATAAATTATTGAGGTTCGGAAGGCAGCGGAAAATATAATTCCCGGAATTTTTCTTTTCGGCCCGGAAAATATTAATTTTCGCGTAGTGTCATCTTGTTGTGCGTGTGTTGTTGCGGCTTCCCAAGCCTTGGATTTGGTTTGATGGCCTTCAAATGTTCTTGGCTTCCATGTTGTGAAATCGAGGTTGTGATTTTGTGACTGAGGGAGGTAGCAGAATGAACAAAACATCTCTGCGCTATGAGAGGCATAGCCTATCAATTTTTGGATGGCTGGTAAATCACAGACAGCTACAATCAAAGCCGCCTTAACAAGGAGTCCATTGGGGTGTGTTCGAGTAGGGACTGTAATTCCAGAAACCCACAATTGTTTCAGCTCATAGACTAATGAATATAGGACGTTGTTCATTTGTAGTACAGATGGTTCCGAGGGTCCAGGCGTTATACCAGCAAAGAACAGATTTTGAAGCTTATATCTATGGCTAGCAGGAATTGAGAGACAAAATGAAATGATGACCCCAACACTATTATGCTTTCCCAATATCTTGTTCCCTTGAGGATTGAACCAATCGATGTAGATTCCAAAAGAAATGTTACCTAAGCGCTTGTGAAAAGGCTCACCATTCAAATCCTTGAATGTAGACAAGATAGAGCCATCCCAGATACATCGACGGAAACTAGAATCATTAGATGAGTTTGAGTGATTGATTGACTGTTGTAATAAATCTTCAGTGCCTTCACGTTGGACAAATTTGACAAGCCACTCCCAAAAACTTTGGGTGGAATATTGTTTCAATGGTTTATTATTAAGATTGAAAAGTTTTGTGTTACATATCCGGCTACGTAATGTTTCTTGGTGATCACAGTATTCTAATTTGAGACTTGCTTGAAAAATCTTGAAACATCCAGGACAGCATATTGTACGGTAAATAGATGGTTCAATTTTCAACCAGTTTATTGCTGTTTGGACATCAATTGGAAATGTTGAAAGAGTCTCAATATTGATCTTTTTGTCAAAGCCATGGAGAATTGATTTGAGGGTAACCAGAGTAATGTTTGAATCACTTCGAGATAGTCCAGAGATGATGTGTAGATGTGCCACTAAGACAAGCAAGAGGAGCAACCACTCATTCAAATTGCTTGGAGCTGGATCTGATATTGAAAAAAGGGTCTTTATAATTAGCGCATATGAAGGCTATGGTGATGATGGGAAGTGGCAAAGGGTACTTGCCAGTTTCTTTATCCTGCCTAATCACAGGGGGCTTACTTCCTCCAAATAATCGAATCAATTCATTGGTTGAAGGAACTGCCGCGGCTTTCTGTTGCTTTTGAAGATGGCTGGTGATAGTACGTGGGGTGACAAGAGGCCCTTCCCCGTGGAACCTGACCTTGCAGGTATTGCAAGGACAAGTACAAAGAGACATTTGTTGCTGAGGATGATGGTTGGGAGTGTAGTGGAGTCAGTCAAAGCTGAGATTACCTTTGATTAAAAATACTTGCAGTTGGTGAGATCATGTGTCAACTCATTATGTGTGTTATGGCATAAAGATGTAGAATTAAACGGAGAGACTTGTGACATTATTATGTACCTGCCATATGACTTGAGTGGTCATATCCTAACATGTATGCACCAAAGGAACAAAACCAATTTAGTTTTCTCAGGTTATGACTGGCTTTAAGCCTGAATAAAGGCTGTTTTGGACTTTCTTGGCAGTGCTTCTATACATACATGTTACTGGTATGAGAAGCAACGGTATGGACCATGAACACCTGTCATGTAAGTGTGACATGACCCTGGGTGCGGGGATTTTTTCTGTTGTTCACAGGACCATGCAACCTGTATGCACTACATGACCCGGGTTTGCCCGGGGTGTCTACATGACAAGATTAAGTGTTCTCAATAATGGCAAATAGCAAGAGCACCAAGGCATCCCACTGATGATTGAGACTTGTGCTGATATATAGGAGTTCAATTGTTGGGATGATAGAATACAGAACGAGACCGTGGTTGTCAATGGTCATCTTTGTTAGCTTGGGCTTTCGATATGAGCGTGGCATAGATAAAAACAAAGGTATGCAAAGTTTACAGAAATAAGAAAACCCCAGTTTACCGCAAACGGGGCCCTGCGGCTCTAGCCTTTGTTGAATGGAGAAAATGGATGTTGATGGTATCTCTTTTTGGGATCGTCCGATATCTGCGTCGTGTGGTAGAGACCCGCACAGTTGTGAGAGGTGGTCGACCTAACCCGGATGATTCACTACCACGGGGGATCGGAACGGATTGGTGAGGACATAGAGTGAAAGAAAGATGATGGTCTAGGGATATGACCTGTCACTATATACCTTCTTTTTTCGCCCTCTCCCTCTTGCGCGGTTACCTCGATTTCGAATAGGACGAGTACGAGTATTGGTGGCATCGATCGAAGGTCTTTGACCTCTCCACTTCCGGCTCTTAGCTAAACGAAGCAGGGATTGGTTATGGCGAGATATATCAAAAACATCGGCATCGCATAATGTCAAAAACTTACTTTGTTCTGGAGCAGAGTCGTCTTCATCTTCATCATCTAGCTCTTCCTGTTCCGTGAGGTCACTTTCCATGCCGTCCTCGTTGGCTATAGCGTCTTCAAGACAACTGTCCCCTTCGTTCACTGAGTTTGTGATGCTCCCACTTCTTAGTGATTTGATATGGTCTCGAGGATGTTTGACAGAAAGCGGGCCGGGTGAAGAAATCGGCGAAGGGTTGTTGTCGAGCCTACGTTGATCAACAAAGGGTAGGAAAGAAAGTTCGGATGGAGTTGTGGGATGTATCGGAAGCTGAAATTCATAAAATCGTTCGCCAGCTAGATCCTTGGTTGTAAGGGACGGGTCGGAATCGTCGATCACATCGGGATCCTAAATTAACCAATAAACCGAAATCAGAGTGGTAAAAACCTAGTTCTGGGAGGAGAGAAAAAAAAGGAAAATCTAAACACCCTTTCGTTGAGGAGATCAAGGTTGTAAGAGGTACGAAGAAGATCCCAGACTTCCTCGGTAGAAACAAAAGTGTTGAGTTCACGTTCTAAATCCTTGCACATCGCAATCACAGCAAAATGTCGGTGACTTCCTCTAGGACGGTATCTAATCACTGCTCGAAAGAACGCAGTTTCCCCATGAGTGGTAGCCAGCACGCCTTGAGGTCCAGACATTGTTTCTTCAGGCCGGAAGAGGAATGATTGAGATCGATGTGTTGGAGTTTATAAGTGGTCCTGGGCCCTCTCGGTCGCCGAGCCCTTCAGCTGCCCGGGACCCCGACAGCTCCTCGGTACTTCCGAGACCCAAATTCTGACTGAGAGAGGGGCTTACAGTCATCTAAGAAAAGCTTGCCCCAAATTCGCTCGAGTTTTGCGGGCAATTGAGGGCAAGCTTTTCTTAAATGACTGCATATCTTATCAACGAAATTTGGCACAGGAGCCCAAAATTTTTGGCTGGAGACTTTCTCCACCCACTATATCTCATTACCTTACAAATAAATATCCTCTTGTACAAAGAAGAGTCTTGTTCATCTGCTTCTTCTACACATGCCCATCTGATTCTTTTTGGTTTTCCTTTATTGCTGCAGATGTAATAGGCTTCAAACTCTTGAAAATCTCACAGATTTTTGACCCAGCTGTCAAATTTAGCTGTCAGTGGCTTGCAGCGGGCCAGTCTGGAATGTTACAGAGAAATGTTTATTTCAAGTCTCTTTATTAAAACTTTCCCAAATGAAATGCAAGAATTGAAAGGTACCATCATGTGTAGAAAAAGTGGATGAGCAAAACTTTTCTTAGCGCCACAGGATATTCATTTGTAAGATATTGAGATATAGCGGTTGGAAAAAGTCTCCAACCAAAAGTTTTGGGCTCCTGTGCCAAATTTTGTGGATATGATATAAGTCCCTCTCTCGCAAGCTTGCTTGCCCGAGAGGGACTTAGTTGGGTTAGAGTCAGAATGTGCATTCACCTACAGCCGTTGTTAGAACTATTTGTAACTTTTGAGGCGATGGGTGTTGCCAAGTTTTAAATAGAGTTTAATTTTTGGTCCAAAACTCTGTTTTTTATGTCACAGGCCTAAACCTTGTTTTGGCTCCTGCAATATACTTTTATCTCACAGTACGCATGGTCAAAAAGGAGTTTTCTTAGTTTTTGCCAGTTTTGGATTAAATGTTGACACAACACAAAATGAAAAAAGTTACCGTTAGTTCTCACAACGGCTGTAAGGTGAATGCACAACTTGACACTGCGTGAATTAATTAGTTCAAAACCCAATTGAACCAAATTGTGGTGTCCGGGTTTGAAATTTCCTCAATTTGTGAATTTTGTTCACAACTTGTTTGCAATAGGTTTGCCAATTGCCCTCAAGTGGTACCCTGTTGGCCCCGCATATGTATGTGCAGCTACATCATCAGGGATGCCACTTTGAGTCAAACTCAACTTATGCTGGACTCACAGCCCCGAGAGGCCGGTGAATACAGTACTCAGGTACTGGTGGCAAAATGAGTTGTTGACTCAAAGCCACCGTTGCCAATTGAGTTTTGTTTTGAGTACAAGACTCAACCAAGAAAAAAAACTGAGTTGTACTCAGTTTAATGTACTCGTAAAGTAAAGTGGGATGAGTCTCACAAGTTTGTAGAGTACTTGACCCAATTCCAGTAGATTAAAGACGATTCTCAAGATTTATGTATGTACATAGCAGCTTCACCTTTATATTATGGGGGATGGAGTTAAGGGAGTTGCTCCACATCACCAGAGGTCATATAAGAAAAATAAACAATATTATATAAAATTCAAGGGAGACTTGCTTTGATACAACAAACATTGATATCTGCAGCTCGTTTGGCTGTTAGATTTTTTGGAGAGCTGGTACAATCTCACTGTGTTCAAGGGAAGATAATTCAGCTTCCCGGAGGCCTTATAACTACAGACTAAATGGCTGTGTTCTTTGCTTGTATCTAGCTAACAAGGTACTAGGGAAAAAATGAAATGTTATGAATAACAACAGACATTGATTGCTTCCCTTTATATAACCAGATACTAAGATAAAAGGAACGATTGGAATCAGGAGACATGTACCGAGTCACATTTCTTTTACCTCAAGATAAAGTTGCAGACTATTGCTGATCATCAATATTGATTGTGGATTGATCGTTTGTTAGCCAGTGTCTAATAAGGACAAGCATACAGATTGTTTGGGTGGTCAAGCACCCTCTTGAGGGTGTTGTGATATCTCCCGAGATCAAAAACACCCTCTCAACCGAGGCGGTAGAGGCTGGGATTGTCAAATGCTCCAGGGCAATTCTGGAGAGTATTGGTAATGTCCCGGTTTCAGACATTCTCTGTTGAGTCAATCATTGAGTCAGTACATATGTATAAATCAGAGTTATCATACAAGAATGAAGCAATGAGGTGCTTACATGCCAATACTGACCGATGGACTTGTGAGGCATCATGGTATCCTGTTGAGAAAGATATCGATCAATTTCATCAATGACCTTATCTTGTTCGATTGGGTGTTGAACTGCGCTTGAGCCCAAGATCGAGTACAAGTCATCCAGGCTTTTGAGAGTCTTTGCAGATTTCTTTTTTTGAGTGGTTTCATCACATTGAGCCGGAGTTGTAGGTGGAGGGTTGGGAGCCCAGTGATTGTATTCTGCTTGTAGAGCTCGTCTAGCCGCCACTTCAACTCCTATGGGTGCATTGATTTTTCAAAAGATTGATCCACGATGAACCGGTTCCAAGATGGTGGCAATCAGAGTTTGAGGGTTCTCTTGCACTCTTTGCGTATGTACTTGACTAAATTGTCTTCAGCTTGTTTACAAGCTACACTCCAAGCTCCAAGTACTTCTGGAAGCTTGATGTTTCTTGAGAACCTGCTGAAGAGCTGAGAGGACCGGGAGTACATGTTGTTTGCGTGCTGCGTTGGCCTGAAAAATCTGTGTGGCTGATTTGAACATCTTCAAGATGGGTTTTGTGAAGTCGATTGCAGCCCAGTCGTATGCGGTGAGGGCAAATTTAGATCGCTTGCTGTCTTCAGTATACCAAACAATACTTTTTTTCAACCTGATAGTGCAGAGAATCTACAATACATTCATATCCAGCTTGGTTAATTGAAAGAAAGGTATAGCCCAAGTGAAACAAAAGGAATATGCCACGTACCACATAATAAAAATAATTTCACCGAGTTGAGGGACAATTGATGGGAAGGACTGGGTCGTTGTGAACAGAGTCTCTGATCTTGATGAAACACTCTAGCTCTTGAGGTCTCTTTCGTATATTGTTGCATAGGGCACGGATTCTTCCAACTATGGTTGATTTTGCTCTTTCACGTAGCTCAGCAACAATGTTGGATCTGTGTAGAATTGGAGTGGATGTATCAGCCTGAAGAAGTTGACTATTGGATTGAGACAATAGATCAGTGTCCATTAGAGTGGGATTGTTGTTGAGAGAGTCTGCTTGAACACTTGAATTGTAAGAGATTTTGCCACCAATCACATTTGGAGGCTCATGCGGCTCAAACAAAGCTAAGAGCGCAGGCATGCCTGAGACTTCAAATCTTTTCTTTTCTTCATCGGTAAGTTCCCCCATTCCAGCTAGGAATTCTTGAGCCACAAGGTTGATTACATGGCACATACAGCCATGAAACCTTTGTCCTCCTGGCCAATAGATGCCTACACAACCATATATCTCACCCAAGATACAAACCATGGCTCCGTTTGTTGAGGCATTGTTGCCGGCAACCAAAAAGTGACGCTGTAAGATTCCTTGTTCTTGCAGGATGTCCCATGACACATCAGCAAGCTTCTCCGCAGTATGACGATCTTCTAGAGCCTATAAAATAGATGTCAGATTGAAAAAAAGAAGAAAGATCATTAAACAGATTGAACAAAAGGAGTGAAGGATATAAAATGAATAGAAAACTTAAACACAATGAAAGTCAGAAGCTACTTACTTTAAAACCCAGTAATCGACGACAAAAGGAAAATTTTGAATCGAAGTAAAACCCATTGATTGCCATGTAGGTATGTTGGAAGTTGGGAGAGGTCCAGCAGTCAGTGGCAGTTGAGATGCTCCCCAGAACTGCTGCAAGCTTGTCCATGAGCTTATGTTCCAAGTCTTGATATAAGATTCCAGCATTTTTTTCATCGTTGTGCGACCAGGCCAGTGGAAAGAAGGGCAGATCAATCGCAAAGCACATTGAATTTCTTCACCCTCAAAGACCAAGAACAATAAGTTTTTTGAAATGATTGCTCCAACAAGCAAGCTTTGGAGATTCTTCTTTTGAGTGGCCATGTCAGCAGGGTCTGAATCCGGTGGAATTGCACTGGGCACTCCATTGATGTAAGCTTCCTTCAATCCCGGGCATTGTTTTCGGTGTTTGTGCAGGTTAGAGTTGGGAAGCGAGTTTGAACCTGGGTTTGGACTTATCAAGAGAGCTGAGCTGAGTTCACATGGTTACGTTGATCAGTATTGGCATAAAAACTGATGAACATGATTGAAGAGACTTACATGCAGTGGAGGCAGTGATATGTGACAGGAATAGGGCCATCATGAGGTACTTCGACATTAATGATGGTAACCTCAGGCTCCTGTAAGAAAAAAATCATCAGTGAAAATCAAAACTTTATGCAATGGACTAAACACAAAATCAATGCACATCAAAATAATAATAGATATCTGATTGTATTTTGCCGTCCTTTGATACCAAGTTGTTCCCTCCATCTTTAGCTTCACTGTGAGCAGTGGTTGATTGCTTCAAGGTATGGATAGCCTGACGTGAGGATCCAGGCCCTAATGTGACCCTGCGAGCATATGGGGAGATCCTATTTTCCAAACGTGAAGCACTAGCAGTGGTTGGAGATTTACCCATGATGTGATTAAGGGAAGTAGATAGTGTTAGAGAGGGAATTGATTGTGTGAGTCACAAGAAAGCCAAGGTAGTAAGCGTAGATATTGATCACAAGAGAAATTTGACAAAGTTCTGGGAAAAAGATCTTTTTGAGAGATAAGAAAGATAAATATGCTTACTTATACATGTTTCAATTCTGCCAAAATTTACTTCAAGCACACACCATGGGATGTTGGCCCACGTCATCTAGATCTGGCGGAGTTGAGCCACACCCAAAGCAATATCCAGGTTGTCCAGTGTTCATAGTTGATTGAATCAGTGGGCAAATTGAGGGGAATCCAAAAGAGGTCAGTTTGGATAATGATGACTTGAAGTGGATGGTGTTGATGACAAGACAAGAAGAAAAGTACGTAGTCCTACCCTCTCAAGTTTGACTGTTTGGTTATTTGATCTTGGTGATAGCTCTCTTGGGCTTCAGCTTTGGTTATGGGTTGTTTGGATGAGTAATACTCATACAAGCAAGGCCAAACTCGGGCAGAGAGTATGAGTACAACTGCCTTTGTGTAAAGTTCAAAGGGAGTCCATGCACTTCATCCTCATTCTGTATGAGAGTACAATAGTCATGTGGTACTCTTGGTTGAAGTACCTGTATGAGTACAGGTATCCGCATGGGTCAACAAGAACCAGTACTCACAAGTCTAAGTAGAGTCCAATGATACTCAAAGTGGCATCCCTGTACATCATACAACAACAACCCCATTTCCAACCATTGAGCCATCTTTGCTTTGTCGTGCATCCTCTGTCTTGATGCTCTGTACATTGGTGAATTTGTGGTGACTAATGTTGAAAGGTGTTATTGTTGTATGATGTAGCTGTACATACATGGGGCGAGCAGAGTACGCTTGAGGGAAATCGGCAAACATATTGCAAACGAGTTGTGCAAGATTCACGATTTGGTGAAACTTTGAACCCGGACACCAAAATTTGGCTCACCCGGGTTTTGAACTCATTAATTTTTGGTGTGTGAGTTCTGAAATTGCTAAATTTCAAAAACCTTCAAGTCTGAATCAAAAAACAGAGTTCTGGATGTCTGATACAGACAAGTTGTCAACATGGGGTGCTCATGAACCCTGCCTTGATTGACTTCCTTAGTCACCAAAAGGTGCTATGTCTTTGATGCATTGGCTGATTGCCTCAGCCCCTTGATCAACAGCTCAAGTGAGGTATTGGCTCAAGGATAAATTATGATCATCATTTTTTTTTGGCAAAATTTGATGTAAACCAACCCGCTGGACAAGATTGAGGGCATTGAGAGAAGGACAAATTGACCAAAAACTGTCAAGACCACAGTCAAATACATGCAAAACCATGAAAGAAACCATGAAAAGTGGATTCTCGGAAAGAGGCCAAAACCACAACAATTTGTGGTTTTTTAGGCAATGAAACCATGGTCTTTGGCCGGTGCTCAAGCTACCAAAATATCCTTTAGTGCGTGGTTTTTTTACTAAAGACAAAAAACCATGGTTGAATGTCCTGCTGACTGGGGCCTTCTCAAGAGATCAAAGCAACAATGTGATCAATGCTTGGTCAGCGTGTGATTTGTCAAGGTGACTGATCCTGTCCTGATTTTGTCGGACATTTTGGTTATGTTCATGTGATCATTTTTGGTTATGTTTTCTTAAGTGTTGTTATGCTATTCTTTCTAAAAATCTTGATGTGACATCATGACCTGTTAACCGTTGTGATTTTACTTACATAGGGGTCTATTTTTGTCTTTCTTCTTTTCTCTTTTCCTTCATCAAATCTTTCTGTTTCTGTTCTCTTAGCAACACGTAGTAATACACATTTTTTGTCTTTTTGTTGTTCTAAAAGAAAAGAAAAGAAAAGACAGTTGTTACTATCTTATCTTTGAAATACTTCCCGTTGAAGTTTTCCTATCTCTGAACTTAGTTAGTTCCGGATGGAGTATGTATAAGGCTATTCACTACAAACAAGCCTTGTGTGTCAGGTGAAGGAAAAGACTGCACCATACCACCGAGTACAGTGGTGAACATTCAACAAGGCTGCAAAATCATATTCTTGGGTGATTGAGGTATCTGCATCATGATCAGATTCATTCCAACATGAACTTTCACAAGATATGCTTCGTGCTTCATTTGAAAAAATTGATTGGCAGATTGCCACTAGTGACCCTGGAGTGTCAACCAACGTAAGAGTCACGTAAGCTGTATCAGACACTTCCTGGTCGTGTTCCAAAAAACACGATCCACCAGCCAAATAAAGTCCCACCGTAGGTCAGCTGTGCCACTTTATCAGTCAACCGCTCCAGGCCTCTCGGCATACACCCGTAGATTCTTCGTGGACGTCTGGAATGCTTTTGCTTAAGCTTTGAGCAACCGTGTAACACAATTTTGTCCAATGCATCCATTGCATGCCTGTATTTACCTTATTTTCATTCTATACGTAGATTATTTATGTGCTTTGGAAATAGCTGGCAGGCGTAAGATTGCAGAGCAGGATCCCAGACTGTTCCAGAGTGCCGGTGCTAGGTGCTCTTCCTGAATGGAAAATACAACAAGGCAGATGTCTAATATACTACGCTGTATGACCGCTCGCGGTCCTGGACTGGTGGCGATGGTCTAGGAATGCACTGATCCAAGAAAGGTTCGTGAAAGGTTCCTCAAAATACTCTTTAGATTGGAGCCTGCAATTTAAGAATCGGACACCTGAATGGGAATTTATGTTCTTCAAAAATCCAGCCAACATGTTAGACTATACCTCTCTGAATGCACGGTGCTTACGGCCTTCTCAGAGGTGAGGGGTCAAACCTCGGGAATAAGTTTGAGCTCGGCCAATTTCCAAGCTGAAAAACCCACACGGCAAGATTTTGTGTAGTTGATATGTACCTTATTCCAGAAATAAGTAATTGCTATTCACGATGGCCGATGATCGACCTGGTAAAGCAATTCATCTGAGATGCTTGGGGAAAGGGATCATTATGGATTCGATTTCAGTTTGACTACTTGCATTGAGCCCCAGCATTTCCCTCAGTCCACAGCGATTGATGTTGAACTTCATACTGTAGCATAAGAAAGTGAGACGAGCATGATTGAGGAAGATATACAACATATCCCCGAGCGAGTTCATGCTATGGGTTCATGGGGATAACTGTTGATATGATTCAAAGCATAAGTATAAATAAAGGTTTTCAGCGTCCTCACAGTTGTTGTACACACACCGTTCACTGGACTACAGACTACATGTATTATTCAGTGTGAGTGAGTCCTAAAATGGTACTGTTCGGTGGTGGTGGTACCGATCGCCAGGACAGTGAGGTGTTGGTGGTGTACGAGTATCAATGGTCATTAACGGTGAGATAACGAATTTCGACTTTGAAGGTCAAGAATCCCAACTTAAACTGTTTGGGTTGCTTCTGATCTCTTTCCCTTTCCCCTTCTCCTTAGCTACTTCTGTTCCTTTCCTTTACCTTTAACTTCAAGGCAACTAAATCAATCAAAACACTAGCAGACTTTGACATCTATCCTCACTACTCATCGTAAAATACCCTACACCAACAGTTTTCCTCCTTTAGATTATCGTAATCTAGGTCAAACTTCCATCACCTCCACATCTCTTGATTGCCCTTCGATCGCCATGTCTGTCGAGGTCAATCCATCCCAACTCGGTTTTCAACGTTCGTCTCCCTCTCTTCTCTTATTCTCTTTTCTTATGCTACTTTCGATCTCCGCCTTTCATTCATTTCAGCTTACAGACTTACTTTCCTTTGTCTTCTATCACTCAGGTCCTCTCACTCAGTTGGTCAAACGTACCCTTACCGTCTCCAATCCTAATGCGCAACCTATCGCCTTCAAAGTCAAAACCACTGCTCCGAAGCAGTATTGTGTACGTCCCAACAGTGGAAGAATTGAGCCGGGGGAGCGAGTAGAAGTTTCGGGTGAGTTGGAATACCTTACTATCTCCTTTCTTTGATTGGCTTTTCCTTTGTTGGGTGGCGGGCCGGCTCATTCTTCCTGTGTTCTCAGTTCTCCTTCAGCCCATGAAAGAAGATCCAGAGGCTGGAGCAAAATGCCGTGATAAGTTTTTAGTTCAGAGCACGATCATCACCCCCGAGCGAGAATCTCGCCCATTTGCTGAGCTGGTACGAACCGTCGCCTCGTTCTCGAACCCTTCAATCATATTGACCCTGTGGACCTTGTGCTTTCAAATTCGGGCATGTATAGTGGTCGTCCGTGGAAAAAGAAGATAAGAGCTCGATCTCTGAACACAAGATCCGTTGCACTTATCTCCCCCCTGCCGATGAGCTTAACGGTGCTCCCCAAACCAACGAATTTGGCGTTCATAAAAATGGTAATGGTCCCGCAGGCCTTGGCGCTATACCGCACACCACTAACCGAGATGATGATGATGTCAGTCTTAATCTGCGACTCCATATGATGTGTTTTGAGAGCTCAAAATTTGTATATTCTTATCCCACCAGGATCCACGATTCAATTCCGTCCGCAGTAGTAATATCGGTACATATCATCAGGCTCCATCAGGGTCTCCGCCAAATCGCTTCGAGCTCGATCAGCCGGATACTACCGTCTACGTCGCCGCTCAAGATGAGTCCTTTACAGGTCGCCAAAGGATCAATTCGTCGACCTCTCCCATTCACACCCTCAAACATCGTGCTTCAGGCCAAACTTCTCTCTCGGCAACCGAAGATGGAAAAGGGGGCCCGCCTGCACCTTCTGCACCATCCAGATCTTCGCCTTCTATGAATGGTATCAGCCACAAGTCATCCAACCCTCTTCCCCCTGTGACTCTTGAAGAGGTTCATAAGTTGACAGCTCAACTGTCAGCAGCTCAAAAAGAAATTGAAAGGCTGAAAACATCACTCAAACAAGGAGAAGAAGGTTTACGAAAAAGAAACAGTCATGCAGGCGCCAACTCGCATGTGAGTGGAGCCGACATGATGACATTGGGTACACATGGTCTCAAGGGGCCATCCGGTCTCGTTCCGGTCCAAACCGTCGTCTTAATCTCCATTGGCGTATTTGCCTTTACCTGGTGGGTTCTCTTCATCTGATCCTCTCACAAAGAACGCTCTGTTTGCTGATATTGCGTATGACCCTCAGGTTATTCTTTTAATATGATCGAACAGGGTATCAAGCCCATGCTCAGCCTCCCTACACTGATCATTTAACTCTCATGCCCAACCTTGAAAGACTGACGTGGAGATATTGACTCGACCCGAGTCATCCCGATCAACCTATTCGCATTTTCAACATCTCGATAATTTTTTCACTAATCTAATATTGTGACTAGCGATTTATCACACTATTTCATGTTCACCACATTGTCGACGGACGCGAGATGCTTCTCTTATCTTATTATCGGCTTCTTCCTTTTCTATCGAGCATCCAGATCAGTTGATCTGGAGAAGTCATACGCCTGTCTCCCTTTGTTCCTGCAGGGGCTTGTTCCAGTCATGCCTCATATTTTTCCTACATGACTTGTGCCCTTTCCATGCCATCTTTCTTTATTGGTTTTTATTGTTGGATATCATTTTGGGTAGACAGGAGTATGTGCCTTTGTTGTGATTATATAAATATACATATTTTTGACGTGCTTACCACTCATTGTAGGCGTGTTTCTTCATTGCCCTTTATATATTGACAATCATCCCAGACATGTTCTACTTGCCCTGCGATCTTTCCCTCAAGTTTTCAGTGTCTGAATGCCGACTTGATGGATATCATAGGGTGATGAGGGTGGTGATAGAAACTCCACGCCTCATTGTTCTCAAAATATGCTGAAAGATTAGAGGGGCTGGGCAGAAATTTGGTTCCCTATCAACAGTATCATTCTGACATTTTGAGACCAGCAAAATGGATACAACACCAAAATCACACATTAGAACAAATGAGGCTGGGAACATTGTCGAGAATTCAATGTTTTAGATTATGAATGAACAACTACAATACCCTCTTTCTTGGTCACGCATTGATGGTTTCTTCCTCTAGCCTATGCCTTCAAAAGTTTCTCCTAAAGGATCAACTTTTAAGCAAACAAATTATGCCAGAGACTTGCATGCTTGATCTTCATTTTTGTTGTCTACTCTCCAAAGAGGTTATGTATGACTTATTTTGAATGCGTACTTTTGAGTTGTCACCACAATCTAGGTTAAAAATCTCTCTTGGCTCAAATTCCTCAGACATAGGGCTGTTTATTCAATTGTGAGAACATTATTGATCTATCAAGAGCAGATTTATTTGAAAACTGCCGGGAAGCAGGATTGAAGTGATTTCATCTCCAGATTTCTAACCTTTGAAATCACCCACCTAGGCAGAAAAGGCTTGAGCTGCTTGAGTTCTTTTACAAAGGCAATTGCTAGATGATATCAATGGTATACAAACCATAAAACCACAGGTTGGATTCAGTTCTGGTCCCACAGATGCATGTTTTGTCCCCACATGTTTTGACCCCATATCTTTTGGCTGTGCAAAGGCAGTGTGGGGTTTTGTAAATTGGGGAATGTCAGCCCCTAATTAGCAACCAAATAATGTCCACAAAAGGGTTGTGTATCATAATTCCACATGGCCAAAGCAATTTTCAAAGAACCATGTGAGATTTATTTTAATTTGATTCAGTATGTGCAGAACTTTCAGTCTTGAGTATCAGAGATGGTCTAGCCAGAGATGCTCAGAGATGTGTAAGGAGGTCAAGGGCTTCAAAAAACATGATGTAGCTTTTAGGTTGTTGAACATCTTATGCAGATTAAGTATCCTTCTGCTATAATTTTTCTCCACTATGCTTATGGTCTTGTCATACCACTCCTCCACATGACAATTCTTGGGTGTAGTAGCTGTGCATGTTTTGGATTCAACAAATGTGAAGTTTTGTGTGATGTCTGTCCTCTGCTTTAGGTTCTATGTCATCTTGAATAGATCTTAGTGAGATTTTTTTTTGACCATACAATTTGACCTCAGCAAGTCTATCCAAATCAAGACTTCATACATATATTTGACAGATATTGTGTGAATGAGAGCAGCTCCTGTACACGCGGCCATAAGAACATTCAAAATATCCCCGGCCTGGATTAGGCTTCTCAGGGCATTCCAAAGTCGCAGTACAAACAGGGGAGGCACGTGAGTGATCTAGACAATGTAAATGAGGAGCAAGTCAATCTAGAATCATCTCAGGGCTTAGTTGACTGGCTCACTTTTGACTCATTCTCCAGACGATACTCCAAACACAAAAGAAATCATTCAAGACATAGTTGCATCATAGAGAAATTTATTGAAATCATGGGCAAATCAATTACGACAAATGAAGGAGAAATAGATGGGTTTTTTACTCATTTGGAATGATAAAGTGTTAGCAAGTAAGGTGAATGCGAGATGAACAACAGCCGAATTGAAAAGAAAACTATTGAACACACTAACAGCATATGAGATTTAAGGATCAAATTCAAATAATTGCTCCAAGAATAACTCATAATCAAATTCATTTGGATCCACATCTGGTTCAGATGTAGGAGGATCTGTTCCAGTGACTGAATTGTGTTCACGTTTTTCACCCGGTTGATATCGAGGCATTGCTTCCAAAAGATAGTCTATTGCAGATTGAGGTACTAGAGCATGTCGCAAATCTACTTCTGTCACAAATGCCTAATTTTTGATGCATGTCAGTAAAAGTTCAAAATTTGATGTGATTTGATATAACTTACTTTGTCACCTGCGATGCCCCTGAAGGATTCCCTAACTTGATCAGGTGATGTAGTATCTTCTGTGATCTGGACTAGAAAACCAACGAAGGCTTCGAATGTGACCATACCATCCCGGCCAGCGATTTGCATGTGAATGAGCTCGGTATCCGAATCCTTAAGAATTGAGAAAAAGACTTAATAGACGCACTCTCAGACAAGTGAGAAAATTGTTCAAAGACTTACCGAGTAAACAATCCCCAAACTTGCCAATGCAGCACTGAACTCTGGTAAAGCCAATTTATTCTCCTCATCTCGGTCGAAATAACGAAATGTGGTCTCGAATTCTTCGATTTGTGCAGGTGTCAATTTCGTCATCCCGGCAGAAACAATCTATGAAAGATTAAAAAACATTTTAGAAGTGTGATGCAAGTGATGAAAGAGCCGTTTTGTATACCTGATTTTCCACAAAGGCTATCTTCCTAGCAGCCGCTTTCCGCACTTCTTCTGTTTCGAATTCCAGATCGTCAGCCGTGTAAACAGTGTGATCATTCTCTTCGACGTTTGCGTTAATGCAGTCCTGTTCAGCCTGCCGGACTTGTGTCAGAGAGTGAGAAACTGATTCGCCAAGACCGCTTTGGATTTCTTTGACCCGTGAAAGTTGTTCCTGGAAGATCCGCGCCAAGTATTAGTGTGACTCAGATGCATAGATCGGCAATAAGGAACGTACATCGAGGGGGCCAGCCAACGCAACCAACTCTAAAGAGAGGGAATGTAGCTGCCCTTCGAAGTTATTGGCAAGATCGGCAAATCTGATACGTAGGTCTTCTTTGATCCTGAGCAAAGCTCGAAAAGAAATCAATGTTGTACAGTAGACAATACACCGATCTCTAGAATACTTACTGTTGTATCCTTGCGTTGATAGACCGAGAGCGTTTTGCCTCTGTGGCGAGGAGCTCTTGCCAAAATGCTTCGAGGTCCTGAACATGGTGGAATCAGAATGTCAAAAAGGCATTGATATGATGCAAAAGACATAAGTAGACTCACTTCAAGCTTCAGACCATCAGGGGGTACATAAGTCCTCAAATTGTAAGTTTTCAGTTTGGTCACGATGTTTCCCAAAAGTCCAGCCACTTCACTCTTCTGTGCCACCCAATCGCGCTTGATAGTTTGTTTATATTTCTGGAAATCAGCCGCCTGTTCCTTGACCAAAGAATAAGTTGAAGGCAAGGCGGGTGTAAGTCGAGTGGCTATGGTGTGTCGGATTTCGTCCATAAGTTCGGTGACTCTCCGTTCATAATCATTCATCGAAGTCCATATAGATTTAAGATTTTCAACAAAGTTTGCAACACGTCTAGCCTCGACCTCGGCTTTGTCTAAACATTGAAATATGAGAATCAGGCGCTATTGCGATGATTGGACGAACAATCAAGATGACATTACCCATTGAAGAGAATGCGTGGAAATATTGTGCAATATAGGTCATGACCGAACGTTCATCGGGTCGGACAGAATCGCAAAGATCCGATATTTCAAGAAGTTGCTACAAAGGACAAAAAATGAGAGTCATGTCAATATCTATCGAGAATCACATGATGGTAGGTGATCGAGCCCGCACGGGTATACCTAGGCTCTTGGCCGCTATGTCAAAGGCCGTTCGAGTACAGGCATGTCGATCTGAGTGAGGTAGTGAATCCCAATCCAGCAGATCTGGACGATGATGATGGATCAATGCGCACCTGCAGAAGATATGATAGTAAATATTTCAATCCGTGGATGCAGAGGAAATGAAGGTTAACATACAAAGCCAGACCATCTTGCCAACTGTCGCTGAAATTTTGAACATTCACCTGCGCATAATCACGCGTTTTGCGTTGACACCACAAAAGAAGACCTGTAATCGCGTTGATTGACATCAGAAAAGGCAAGATAGAGAGACTGGCTTGATTGAAAACTGACCTTCTTTGGCGTTCACACCCTCCTCACTAATGTCCGCAATGGTGAATCGGACTATGGAAACCAATCAAGATAGTGGTGAGACTCGTGGCTAGCCTGCTACTCCTGCACAGTTGCTATTTCATTCAGATAACGTCACTCACGAATCAATGTCCAGATCAAACCCAGAATTAATTTTAAATTGCCGTCTACAACATCTATAGATGTATATAAGGGCGATATTTGAAGAATATCAGTAGACGGTTCATGGCACTACTGGTGATGAAATGACTAGTACCTTCTGGTCCGATATTTGTAAGAGTGACCCCACGACTTTGAATGAATTGTAGTGCTTTATTGACGTTTTCTGCTTTTTGAACTCGCATACGGGGTTGACGGTTGTAGCGTCCCAGAGAGGCATCCCCCATTACTTCCTGCAAATAGTGTAAAGATCAAATGCAATCGACTTTAATTCTGATTTTCTAGCTACGCCAAAACTTGAGCATTTGAGGGGGGAAATATCTAACCATAAGTCGAATGAGATTGGTGCCGTCTGATAGATCCCGAGTCAGATCAGACATCGGGGGTACTTGAATGACGTCGAGCTTCGCATTAAGCCTAAGAAATGATAGTATAGATATTGGTCATCTGAGGGATAAGGAAAGTGAGGTGACCAAATCTTCTGACCATTTACAAAAAGTCCGAGCCTATTGCAAAATAAAAGGTGTCAAAAGGGTGTTTCAAATATTAACATGAATGTAGTTGTATAACTTACCTGTACGTCTTCAAACTCAGTTGTCTCCCTTCCTCCAGTCGTAGGTGGTTTATAGCTAGATGTTGCGACTGATGAGCCAGCATTGGCTGGAAAAGGTCGATCGATAAAAGGTACATGAGATGATGGTCCTGCTGGTAATGCTGAAGTGCTTAGACTAGATCGATGTCCCAAGTTCATTTTCGCAGGTTTCAGATTCTTTGTGCCCACCTATGAATCGTATATTTGATTAGTTGTATGAGCGATGATGATGAGGAGACCACAAGCAGCAAATTGAAGGAGTTATAAATAGCAAAGTCAAAAATGTGAACTCCAATCGAAAGTTGAAACAGTTCAAATCTGGTTTGCTCAAAGTGGTTTCGGATAACCCGTTCCTCAATCTTCAACTGAATACCCTGACCCGCGCAACTATAAAGACCGGTTAACAGAAATTTGGGTATACCACACTCCTGTGATTTACCGAATGGATGACATTCCTCACTGCAACTTATGTGTGTATCTGATAAGTTTTTCGACGGTCAATGAGGCACGGCCATACAACTGGTCTCACCAAGGAGTACAAAGACGCCGCTGCGGCCACACCAGTGATAGTATGACGTACCCAAGATAGAAAAAGGAAATGTGATAGAAATGACGACTATTCTGCTCACCGATTTGGCTTTAGGTCGTTGGTAATATTGAGGTAGCAGTTTTGGACCTGCGCTGGGCAACTGGACAAGAGGTGATACGCTGGATGGTACGCTCGGTGGCTCACTGGTGCCAAGTGGTTCGTCATTGGAGACTTTCTTTACAGTTTCAGCTTCTGCTTGACCTCCTGAGGCTAGCCGCGTTCGCCAGAAAAACATTGCGCTTGTTGAGTGACTTGAACTGCTTTACTTGGTTGAATTCGCTTCGGCGAGAGACTGATTGATGAACAGGTCGACGTGCCACGTCTGTGTGGATATTGAAATTAAGGGATTGGCGACGATGATGGTGGTCCTTGAGTCAAATCGAATGAAAAATGTATGGTACGAAAGATTGACACGAGAGCAAATTAATGATTAGGGGATAAAAGCGGCGGCGTACAACCTTCGAGGGTCAACGTCACGATACCTTGTTCCTTAAGTCAGGGTCTCGTGGTGATCACATAGCGCTCGTTTACCACCGATGACGGCAATGATGAATTCATAGTGCGTGTTGAGGTGATATAGTCATATACCAAAGTAGTATCAACCAAGGGTCACAACAAGCGATGACAACCGGTCAGAAACCACGCCCTCAGTTAATCTTCTCCTTATATTCGTGCTTTGATCGTTGCCTAGGTCAAGGCAAGTTTTTTGAACCCCTTCAGATTCACTAAGGCGATATATACATACGTCAACTCTCGATCCCTGCGAAGGGTCAAGATCATGTTTTACTGCTTCCGGCAGCTTTACCCCAGGTTTTGATCGATACGTCTCCTTGAACTGTATCGACTCTCCGAAACGAGTTGTTTACCTCAACGAGTTTGAAGAGATGGACATTGGCAATTGCACAACGGGGCGATTCGAGGTTAATTGTAAGACCTCGGACAGAGCAGATTGAGGGTCAGGGGTTGTGAGTCCGCCAAAGAGACTGAGTGAGGAGTTAAGGAAACAATAGATGAGGGTATCGCGGATTGGGATCATTTCCGTAAGTATACGGGAACGAAATGGGATAAGTTGAAGACAATTCTTCACAGCATTGACAAGATCATGAAATCAAGGCTGAAGTTTTCAATTTTTTTATAACCCGATCTTTGGTGGTCCAGGACCCGAATGAGCAACAGGAAACAAATTTTAGATCGTAGACAATCTGGTCTGAGTCATGATGGAACTTGAAGTCGCGCAAGAGAGCCTTAACGAAAATAAAGGAATCGCAATCAGATGCTGGATATGCCCATTTCTGGCTTTGGTGTATCTCCTTCAACTTATCACATGATCGTTCGGATTTATGATCAAGGTGAAGTGCCACTTTAGAGAATAGTTGTCAGAGTAACAAGTCAATCATAATTGCTCCTTCACCTCAAAATGAAATGTCTCACCATTTTTTATCGTACTCTGTGATACGATGAGAAGGGGAAACAAATATATGTCACTGCCACTGAGGTTATCAAGATCGAAATGATGCGTCTTCATGGGAAAGTATTCAGAATCAAAGTCTGAACGGGATCATTCCGAAATAAACCAATCAGTGGATCGGGAAGGCATTTTCTGTTGCTCAGCCTCCTGATTCATCGTCCATAACTTTCATCAAAATCATCCAACCTCGTCAAATTTCTTGAGCTCATTATCACTTTTGCAAAGGATGGAGTCCCGAATGATTGCAGATCGAATTTCAAGCTCGTCTCTAGTCGACCCCATCGTTCAAATCTCCAAGAACCTGGCATCTCATCAACGCCACCTCATACAACTTTATTCATCCCTTGGGTACTCTCAACCAACACTTCTCGTGGAAAGAAAATTTTCTGAATTATATCAAGTTATCCTCATGACTATCAAGGATCAAGCGAATGAAGTGAAAGAAGAAGTCGAAGCCGTCACTAGAGAAATTCAAGATCTCAACGACGACATTCAGTACCTCCGGGTATATCTTGATGACCATCGACTGAAACCTTGGGATCTTGAAGCACTTTTGGATCATGAAGTCACTATCTCACGTCTTAAACAACTTCAAAAGATCAAGCGAGATCTTCTACATCTGAAATATGAAAGAGAATCTGAAGGTAAAAATTTGCTTCGATATATGATCAAATTCTGAACTCATCCTCATCCATGGTGAAGCTGATAGATTTGATCATTATTTCTCCAGATATCAGATTTAGCAACTCAGGTCCTGATATCAATCTAGGATACCTCCAGAAACTAGAGAAGCACTACATAGAATGTGATCAAGAAGCTGTGAGTTGATTTCCTTGTCAAATTCAACAAGTGACAGGTAATTAAGTGATGTGTGATCATCATTTACCCATGCGTATTCACGTCCTCAGTCAGAACCCTCCTCGTCATTTTCTGTAACTCAAGACTACGATCAAGCTCGGTTTGATTCTGAGTTACCTGGTCATCTAGGAAGTAACGGAATTTCTGAATTTACTGATAGTGGATTTGGTCATCAGAGAATAATTTCAATGCCTGTCACACATGAGAACCCGACTCACGCTCAGAATAGAATTTTGCGGCTAAAAAATGAAGCTTTAAGCCGTTCGAGGGAGACTCCGAATTATTACAGTAAAGATGTTGGATGTTGGGACTCCGTGAGTTCTATTCCGTCATCCCAATGGCAATAGCTTACTTCGACTGACATGATCATATATTTGCATCTTGCTCCAGTCACTTCAGTATGACAGGAAACGAGATGAGCGCCTATCAAGCAATTTGGGGGCGATTTTCAATTATGAGAGATCTTCGCAGTTAAGACTTACCTATATGCTGAATAGCCAAGAGAAAGTCAAGGTGATACGGCAGGAATGGGTACGAAAATCACAGGGATCCATGAGGCCATATTCAGATAATCAAAGGAATGGGTTATGAGAAAACAGGGAGTTCATTAAGTGAAGCTGAATGGTATAAGGGCTCTAACACTCTTAAGGTGTTGTAGGATATATATATTGTTGGTGAGGGAGAGGGGATAAAACAAGGATTGTAATGTCATTGATTCATGATCCCTTATAGCTGGAAATGAAATAATATCTACACCCCAATGAAGGTCAGACTGCCAGCTTGATTGCGTTAAGGTGCAGATGAGAGAAATCGAGTTCAACTTACCGCCCAAGGCATGATGGCCACGCAACAACTGGATATCATGAGTGATTTGTATTGCACATATAGTGATCGAGATTAATTCAGCGTGGAGTTTTTTCAAGAACTAGGGTTTTGTTTTTACCATCTCACATTGTTCTTTCTAAAAAACTGATTATCAGGAACTGCACAACAAAGCTCTCCTGACCACAAACTGGGCAGGTCTCATCAAATCGCCGCGAATGAAGACTTTCTGTGACGTTATGTATCAAAGATAACTATCCGATTTCGCCAAAATTTACATTTTGTATTTCATTCAGAGATCAAATCGGGGGAATAATTGGTAGGAATCTTACCAATGACTGGCAGTGGCCCCAAAGAGACCTGACTTACTCAGATTAAGCACACGAGACCAGAGTCTGGAGAGCGCCGCTGATTGCTGATGAGACAACAATTGTCCGTCTTATTTTACGAAACGCAATCCAGGGCCCGGGAGATGATTTGTATGTGCACTGTTTAATGTTTGACTGCGAAAGGATACGTGCCACACTCGTGATGAAAGACAGGCAAATGATGATATAGGGTCCCTCAGGTTCCAAGATGGCCGAGCCACCTAGTTTTCAAAGCACACGAAGCCTGCAATCGGTATTGGTAATATGATTCTTTCATTCAAGCTGAGATATGACAAGATTTTAGCCCTTGCAAAGTTTCACTTTCGATCAATTGCGCATGGAGTCACCATCGATTTTTTTGATAAGGTCATTTACCTTACCAGAGAGACCAACGCAAGAAAGAGGAGCTCTGGTCCCATTGGACAGAGCTCTTGAGACTGTGAGGTTGTCGCTCACTCAGTATGGACGGTACGGTTGGAATGAAGTCATGCCAAAGCAGACAGACTACTTTTAGGGACGCCAGCGTGTTTGGAAAAGGCGGAATGACAAGAACAAGCCTTCTCAGACAAAAAGAAACCATGTGACTGGTATCATGAATGCAATTCTTTCCAGTTTGGCCTAGAAAGAGGGCACCATAATGTTCCTGATCCTCGTCCCTAGCTCGTAATTGCCCTCAGCCTCAATGTACCTCGCTGCTTAGGTTTTGGAAACATCCAATTGAATATTTACCCCATCATCCTCATCACCTACTCTTCCATCGTGCAAGTCTAGTTTCTGTCAGCGTTACAAAACAACTTCAGCGTTTCTATCTTGCATGACACGCTTTTTTGAGTTCTCTCCCCTCCGTTCAATCATGAATTCGGAGACTTCGTCATCCTTGTCCGATGCCTCCCTGCCGATTATCAACAAAACTCTTCCACCGATGTACTTCACTGGAATGTCCTCCAGGAACCCTTTGTTGAATAGCCATCCGGTCGCGGGAGGTGAGTTTGGTCTTCCTTCACATCATGTCTGCGTTTACTTTGACCGCTCTACTCACTTTGATTTCCTTGGTAGAATCACTTCCATCTGAAGTCAAGGAAGCTTCTAGCGTTCTCCCTTTGGAGTTGATAGCATCGCGATCTGAAGCTGTCATCTCGATCCCTCACCATACCCAAATGGCTAGCGACATAATTATCAAGAAACCAGAGAGACTTAATGAAAACATCACTTCAATCAATGCATCAACAATTCATAAATTTGATCCCTTTGAAGATCGGCCCAGTTACCACCCACGAAGCTCAGTTCTCACTTCTGCTCGACCTACAGGAGATCATGATGACGAAGAAGCACCATCTGGTAGAGCAAAACCCCGTAGCTCTCGCACTTTTGAGGATACCCGCAACGTCGATCCATTATCAGAATCATATCTACCGCCTTTCCCACCTCCTCAGACTACGAACGATGGGAGGCGTGATATCTTGATAGGCACATCGACTTTCCCACCCATCCTAGGATTCACGGGCACCAATATTATATACGCAGACTATAGACTCAGTCCTCCGATGATGTGTCACGATGTAGGAAGGTTTCATCAAGAATCTGACCGTTCCGAAGCTCAACATACACTTTATACTCCCGACATTGGAACGAGCTCTAGGACATCGACTCGCGATTCCAATGTAGACCATCCTGGATGTGAAAGCTCGGATTCAGATAGCATTGATGACAAGATGATCGGGATTGCGGGGGAGTCAAAGGCTGTAACAAAAGACGAGGTATCATTGTTTTCGTCCGATAAAGTGCCTCAAAAAGCAATTCCATCATCAAAGGCAATCTGGAAATCTTCGAGCACCTACAAAGATTTGGACGTTTCAGAAGGAGAGGAAGCCGATGTAGATGAGCCTAGTTCATCACACAATCGATTTATCAAGAAGCGAAAATGCTCAGATTCACTTGTGACGTTGATGTCAAGATTATCAAATACGACACTGAGCATTCGTCCAACCATGGTGGTTTACGACTCTAAAGTAAAGCGGTCATCATTAGCTAGAATGCGCTTGTCAGTAAAACGACCTGTATCGGATGAAAAGTCTGATGAGTTTGTCAAAAGGGTTAGATTGGTGAATGGCTTAAATCACAAGAAATGACACAGATTGATACAAATACCACATTCTCTCCACTTTTACTCTGCTCGACTTCCTTCCTCTTATCCTGATCTTTATGAACTTACATTCTACAAGTAACATTTCGTGTTCTGCTGTTATTTTGTCATCTCAATCCAATTCTTGTATATCTTTTTAAGTACATCAGTTTGTGTTCAGTTTGTCACCTCAAGATCTCCTTAATGGAAGTCATGCAGCGCGAATGATGAAGTACCGCCTTTTCTTTCCTCAGAGCAACCATGCTAATAAAACATCCATGAAGTGACTCGATCTTGTCTACGTATGTACAAAAATGACAAAATGGTCCCAATCCTCCCAATGGCCTGATCTTTTGCCATAATTTAGGCTTCCTCTTCTGCCTTGTCCAAGCTTTCCCGCAAAACTCGAGGAAATTGGCGCGGTATTTTGGTCAAGCTTTATGAACAGCTTTGATCATAAATCCATTTCCAACAGATCCACTGATATGCATTTCAATGAGCTTACTCTGTAATAAGGCTAAGTCAAAGCAAAATACCCAAAGAATCATGATAATTATGATCTCCATCGATGGCCAAGGCAAATCAAATTTTAGTTCACTCCATTCCTTTTCAGATGATTATGATGAGTTTAGAAGAGTTTATAGAAATCTTTCAACCCCGGACATCCATATAGGCAAGGTGTGGATAGCAAATAAGGGTGTGTTTGTGCAACAGGTATCATGTCCAAGAGGTTATCTGACTCTCATGAAGAAGGGTCCCTGATAGTCCATTCTCAAAGATGATAGTTGTAATGATATGTAAAAATTGGATCATTCAGAAAGATGCACAAAGGCAAAATCAAATGACCATAAAGTAATACAAGTGCGTTCACCATTTCATCTCCATCTCACTCGCTCCTTCAAAGAAATCAACAACGGGATGTACATATCGTCAAGTGATCCATATCGTAAATCTGCTAATAATCCGAAATTTGAATCCTACTTGAAATCGTCTTCAACCTAATTTAAATCATTTAGAAGCTTTAAATGAACTAATCTCAGATGATAATGGACAGTCTGAAATATGAGAACGCAACTGCCATCAATATCACCAAGGGATGGGAAATGGGACAGCGCTACCAGGAACAATATACACAAGACATTCACTTGAATGGAAAGAGCACTGCGTAATTTACACATTACGTTCAGCATAAAATCTCTGATCAAATTGATAGAAACTCGTCAGTCTATCTCATCAGATGAACTCCTGGATATGAGCTTCACATACCTCTAGCCAAGCTTTAGAGTGCGTCTGCTCATCTTTGAGTTGTTCTAGTAACTCCTTGCAGCACTCCATTGCTTCATCCTCCGTTAAAGTTCCTTCACCATTAGCTTTTTTACGATTACCATAATGCTCTATTCCAAAATCAAAAGCAAAGACAGCTCAGTGGTATGTAAAACTGACGATGATGGAAAGAGTAAAGAAATGATTGCTCACGCATTTTTTCACACGAAGCTTTTACTTTATTCAATCCGAGTGCGGCGGATGATCCTTTAAGGAAATGACCTTTACGTGATAGGGTGATTAGGTCACCACTCAAACTATTGACAACCGATCAGTGATGTGAAATAGAGATGATTCAGCGAGTACGACCTACACCGCTGCGTCCATTTCTTTGAAAGTCGTAACAGCCTGGCAAGATGATAAGAGGGACAATCAAACGAGAAATTTATGAGATGACTGGCGATTTGAAGGAGATATGTCTTTGTTATAATTCAATACACACTTGATCGAAATAATCCCATGTTAAAGATTTGCTGAATGTATGCTCTTCATCATCATCCATCTCGAGTAGTTGACCAAAAGTTTCCATATCTACTAAAGAATCGCCTTCCGTATTGGCAACATCAGATTCATTTTGCTGTTCTGTAACCGTTGTAGATCCTGGCTTTGACGATGTCCCCTTCGAGGCATCTGATGCTTGGGTACCCGCTGTTTTAGTGGAATCTCCAGGCTTTTTGGGTACCTCTTCAGATGCCCTTTCAGTCTGAGATGGTTTGGATGAAGACCTAGGTGCCTGTAGAAAGATATTCCAAAGTTACATCATGTTTTCAAGATAGTTGAAGTAAGGTAAGGTAAACCTTTTTCGAGGATTCTTCACTATGAGTCGATGGCATTTCAATACTGAAATGCAGGGATCCGATACACCAATTGAGGACGATCAGACGAGACGAGACCTCGAATCGGAGCACCACATTGCATGATTAGTCATGACGATGATGGTGGGTTATCGAGTGAGGATAGAGAAGGGAATGTCAGTTTGAACTACTGTGGCACAATTGGGAAGACAGAAGGGTGAGGGAACACCTGATTTTATTTATGGACATACCAAATGGGTTTTGAGTATACCGATCAGACAAGGTTGAGAATGGTGGCTTTTTACTGTGCTTGGTGGCTGATAGTGATTGAAGTGAGTGTGAACTGTGAAGTGAGGAACTTCAAGGAAGACTTCAGGGCTCTTGGCTTATCAGGGCAATCGTCGATCGCAAAATTATCCGGATTATCCTTGAACCTAATGCCAGTCCACCGGCGGACTCATCCTTCCCATAGAAAGCCCTGCTTCAATTGAACCGTCGACTGAAACGGTGAAGTCCGATCCGCTGGTCCGGATGCGCTAATCCTCTCTTGATTTGTTTGGGCAGTGACAGATCTTTGAAGATTTCGAGTGGGTCTGTCATTTGTGTGATGAGACTAATCGAGCGTGCCATGATCATCAGATGCTATCCACACAGGTATGGTCTGTGGTGGCAGTGCTACTATGTATGTATAGGGAAGTTAAAAAATCCCGTCTGAGAGATGAGCCTACAGTCGTCTCTCCAATAACCCATACCGTTTTATGGACACCAAAAAGTATGGGTTTTGATGGAGTATGTCCTATGGGGATCTCTCTGATAACCCATAAATCTTATTTTGGGGGTAAAATATGGGTTAGGAGAGAGATTTTTTTTTAAAAAACAATTTTTATTTCAAAGCAAAGTAAATAGTGAAGTAGAACAAAAAGCGGGAAGATTTAAGGATTGGATGAGAAGTAGTGCTTCAAATTTGATTGGTTCATTTTCTTTGAACGTGCTGAACTAAACTGCCGCAACGCTCGGCGAAGGGTTTTTCCGCAAGCCCTCGCTTCCTTGCATTCTTCATGCCTGAGGTATGCCATTACAACATCACTTGATTTCAGTAAGTCAGAATATGATGGTTGTGGAGGTACTTCAACTTCAATGTGCTCGGGTTGAGGGAGATCTTCATGACTGTCACGTTCCTGAATTGATTCAAAGATTTCCTCGGGTGTCCAGGTTTCAAGGCCGCTTGCATGCTCACCGTGAAGATTTAAGAGCTCGCTAATAGACATCATGTTTGATTTGTGAACAACTCGTAAGGAGATCAATTCTTGAAGGTCTTGCTCAAGATCCTGATGAGCAACATCATCAATCAAAGGCTCCGTGTTGAGACTCGCATCCGCTGAGTTTGGATCCTGCAGCAAAGATCCATCGGGATTTCGAGGGGAAATGATACCCGCCTTCCTATAACAGTTTGAAATTGTATCTTGAGTCACTTCATTCCAAGAGTTTTCAGCTCGCTCCATAGCGTCGATTTGATTGATTTTGAAGATTGTTCCAATGGGGACTTCATTTTCATAGCGATTGATCACATATGTAATGTATTCAGATCTATATCGACATTTCCATGATGTGATTATGCCAGCATCCAGCGGTTGAACATGTGATGTAAGGTTTGGAGAAAAGAACTCGAGGCAAATACTGGTAAGTTTGTACTCGGAAGGCTCCTTATGACCAGAAAAATTGTCAACTAAGAGTAATATAGAACGACCTTCTGCCGATAACTTGATGTCCCAGTCTATAATCCACTCTGAAAACAGCTCAAATGTCATCCATGCCTTTGCATTGCTCCGATAGTAGTATCCAAGATTTTCGCCGGACTTTTTGTGGAAGCAGGCTGGACGCTTTGCTTTTCCGATGATGAACGGTTTGAGCTTGTCTGTTCCATCTGCATTACATGTGAGTGCAAAGGTCAAGCGTCGCTTATCACCTTTAACACCTGATTGTTTGTCTTTAGACAAGGCTCGGTCTGGTGGCATTCTACAGTACGTGTTGAGAAATCGAGGCTTGTTAGTAAAGATCAAAAGTATGTTACAGTACAAATGTTCTCACGCATAGAACAATCCTGTTTCATCCATGTTATAGATGTCTCTAGGATGGTAGGACTTGGTGATATCCTGGATTCATTTTCGTTCTGCAACGACCTTATCCGGAGTAGCTGAGCCCGCCTCGCCGTGTCTGACTCTTTGTCTAAGACCGTTACGTAATTTAAACTTGGTCAGCCAGCCTTCACTGAGCTTAAGCCACTCTGCTTGAGGCACTTTGAAAAGTGTTGCGAAGTGACGCCACTTGGCTCGTATCACATCTCCGGTAAGTGGAAGTCCGGCAATGTCAGCCTGTTGAACCCAAGTCTGTAGGGCTTCTGTTACTTGAGGATGTTCAGTCTCATTTCTCCGCTTAATGCCAAGTCCTACACCAGACTCGTAACTATCTTGTAACTTCGATTCATTATGTACCCAACTCGAGACTAGAGGTTGTGTTATGATAACACCAGGAAAACTATTTTCAAAATGTTTTGCTGTCTTGACCTGAACTCGACCATTTTATTGTGCCAGTCTAACACTAATATACGCTGAGCCAGAGTGGCATTAGTACGAGCAGACTTTGATCGGGTTTTTTTAGAAGAACTCGAGTTTGGTTGATTGGAAGATTCAACACAAGGATCGTCTCGATTTCGCTTCTTGGGACCTGGGTGTTGAACAATACATAGGGATCAGATTTCACCATACATATTGGATGCTTTAGAAGTGTTTGCAAAGAGATATTCACGAGGTTTAGCTACAGATGGGTCCACAAAAACCTTGTGCTCAAACTTATAAATCAAGACCTCTAATGTCTTCAGCTCATCTTTGCTGAAGGTCTTAGCAGCATCAGAGACATTGTTGCTATTTTTTATTTTCTCGAGGACAAGAGCCTCATCAACCATATTTCCAGCGTTATCGATAAAATCTTCGTCTGCCTTTGAAAGCGCCTTCCCTTGGCTCAAAAGGTCTCGTAGTGGACCCATACGTCGATCATTTTCAGATTTCAGCCGATCAAAACCTTCTTGAATATTCGCGAGGGTGAACTTTGTTAGGTCTTTAGGAATCATCTTTATGCGGTGGAGTTTGTGTGTTGATTTGTGTGTTTGTGGGTGTATTGCTGACAAAAGTAAGTTGTACAGTAAGGAATTTCAAACTCTTGTTCACCAGTCTGAATCTACATCACCCAAAAGTATGGGTTTTTCATCGCTGGTTGGCCTCAAAAAAGTATGGTTTATGGGGAATGATGGAGATATGGATTTTCTGTCAATTTCCCCCGCCCATAAAAAATATGGACGGAAAAAAGCATGGGATATGCGAGAGTATGGCTTATTGGGTATATGGATTTTTGGAGAGACGACTGTATATTCGACAACGTAAATTAAAAGGCATTCATGGTTTGGAATACAAAAGATAAAAGTTGTGCTATAGAACATGAAAGTGAAATAAGAGGATAGGGTGTGAACTAGGTGAAGTCACCGGTAGAAAAAGATGATATCATGACTCTAGCAAGGAGCGCAAAAAAAAAATTCAATGACCAGTCTTCACCGGTTTGTATGGAAGAAATCATGAGTCAGCTGCATTCAACAGACATACACCATGTTCTTATTGAACCAGGCTGAATGGATCACCATAAAGATGCCAAAGCAAAAGTATCAAAAACTCAGAATCTAAAGTTTGGTCAAGCAAGGATTTTACTCCTGAGGGAAATTCAATTTTTTATAAGATGTGTGCTTCAGAGCTTCTCCGCTTCAATCAAAGTGAGAGCATGCTCAACATACACCACGGGGCGACTTTGAACTGGGACCACGTGAAATGTAAGTTGGGTATGACCACACTGAGTGGTTGTGTAGAACAGGTGGTAGCAGTGTGAGGGCGGCTACGTGGCCTTCACCCATGGCCTTTCACGTATCTTACACGTGGAGAGAAAGACCACGTTGGCGTGGCGTGACTTACCAGCCAATGAGTGGGTGAGCTGGGTCATACGAGCGCAACCTGCCAGCCAGGTGCTCAGCATGCAAATGAGCTCATCCAAGCTCACATCGAGTGCTGATCATGCGGCTATTCTCCTTTGAAAAGCATCCACTTCTTGACAAAATCAAAAGGACTTGTCCACAAATAAATTTACTTTGAAGCCCGCCCTTTTGAAAATCAGGCTGTACCACATCTTGGTGTCATTCTCAAAACCAAGATTTGGGTAAAGGTATGATGATCACTGTCAAGTCTGACATCACAGGTACGGTACATGTCACAGGAACCACAGTCAAAGAACCACAGTCATTCACAGTCCTCTTTGTTCATCGTCTTTCATCATCCGACTCCTGAACTTTAAACTATAAAAAAAAGATAACACTATTACCCTTATAAGAGTTTAACAGAGAAAAAACTCGATAACACTTTAAAATAACACTAACAAAAAGACTCAAAGATCGACACACACCCTCCCGGACCCCTTCTTCAACTCTTCAACTCACTCTTCTTATACCTTCCACCTCAATCTCAACCTCGTATTTCCTCTTATTCCAATCCTTCAAATCTGATCGATTACGTCACTCAATCTTGGATCGATCCTGTTCTATCTTTGCATCTAACGTAAGTCCTTTCTATTTTCTAACTCTTTTGATTATTCAATCCTAATCCATCATTTCATACACTTATTGGTTCTTTTTAGTTCTTCTTTCATCTTCAAATATTGATTCTAATGTTCTTTTAGCTTTCAGATCGATCGATTTTGAAATCCAATTTGTAAGTTCTTTGTTTGTTTTTCTTCTTTTAGTTTGATCATTCATATACTAACTAATCACTTGTTCTTGTTCTATCTTCTAATTTGAATTCTAGCTTTCCTAAATTGATAAATCAATCTGATTTCAAAGTTCAATCTGTAGGTTCTTCAATTTTCTTTCAATTCAAGTCTTTCATAGACTAAGTGATCATTTAATCTTCTTTTATCTTTTTATGTGTCTTCTTTGATTCTTTAGCTTCTTCTCTTACTTTCTTTTGATCGATTCAAGTCTAAGTTCAAATTTGTAAGTTCTTCTTTTTTTATTATATCTTCTTTCTTTTAGTTCGATCTACAGCCATTCCAATATTGCTTGTCGCACCTGTTTGAAAAAGAAAAAGTTTGTGAGCTTGAAACCTAAGTTTTAACCGGCTAAAACCTGGAATTTGGCTGTATTGCCTTGAATTACAGCCAAGTTTGAAGTTTTATTGAGTAAAAACAGGTAAAAACTTAGGTTTCACTTTTTCTTTTTCAAACCGGAGCGACAAGCAATATCGGAATGGCTGTATCTATAAACTAATTAATCATTTGTTCTTCTTTCCTCATTTGAAATCTAGGTTTGTATTCTTTATTTTTTTAGATTGATCGATTTCATACTATCAAGGAACACATTAAAGAATAAATAAAAAATTGTTTCTTAGAGTGAGATCTAAATTGATTTCCACACCGCTCATTGGATTAGTCATTTCACACTGTTATGATGTGAGATGACTCACCCAATGGACAGGTGAGCCACCACGCTTTAGCTGCTCACCCTGGCTGTCATGTGTAGCTCACAACGGGTATCGCACTGTGGACAGCGCGTGATTTATTGGCAGAGAACTATTTCACGTGAATCTCACGTGCCAGCTGCCCCGTGGTGTATGTCTGCTAAGTTTGGCCTTTCCCAAACCATGGGTAAACTGCTCTGGCATGAAGTCACGACCCACGAAACAATAATTCACACAGGCGGCAAGCAGTGCGATGTGAATGTGTGATCGCCATACGGCACATCGTATCTCACTATCTACATAAGTGGGAAGCAGCGCAATTCCGCGTGTTGAGTCGCTTGAGCTTCAGCTTACCGCGCCTATCTGAACGTCTTTTGATGAGGCATCAGAAGGCGGGCATACGAGATTGATATTTCATTCCAGGTACAAATACAAAACAAGCGAGTGAAGAAAGCATATGATGGATAAAGTCATGTGTCAACAATACAAAAAAGTTTTGGATCAGTAATACATTTGTCAAGTTACGCTGACCAAGCATGATATGGAGTTTTGTGAAGCTCTACACCAAAGAAAGCTAAAGCAAAGCAGCGAAACAGTAGCAGTGAGAGCACCCGTTAGAAAAAACGGTGCCTGTGGTTGCCAGTCTGCCAGAATCCCACCAATGGATCCGACGAGGATGCCCAAACCACCACATAGAGAATAGACGCCAGCAATAGCCCCGCTGATGTCGGATTGATTCTGGATTACGTCTTGCGTTGACTGATTAGCTGTACAAGGCTCATCAGATGGTGCGACTGGTGGTAAAGATGCCTTTTTCCTAGTGAAGATAGCGTTTTGAATGCGAGAGCGCCCACTGGCGCATAGAGATAAAGATACAACAATCCCTGATATTTGTGCAACACCCAGCGCAACGCATATGGGCCACATCAACCAATGTCGGGGATTTGGCAGTAGTCCCATGGTCAAAAATCCAATCGCGCCAACTGCATTGGAGAATGCAAGCAAGGCGGGCTGGGACCGATGGGATGCGAGCCATCCGACGAGGGGAGCCAGAAGCAAGGCAGACAGCTTGATGATATGGACAAGATGATTCAGCTTGCCGATGATCGAGAGACATTTTGAGCAACTTACCTGGACCGTGCCTGTCAAAGCACTTGCTAATGCGAATGCAGCGTGACAGCCTTTTTTCACCTCATCGGAAGGGACGTTTGGCCTGTCTAGTTGACATTGGCCACTGGCGATGTAGTATTGATTTACGAGGACGGGAATGAATGCCGAGACCGCGATAGTAGTGGCACGCGCCTGAAGATATATCGGACAAGTCGAGTCAATGACCTCGAGTGTGGAGATCTCGTGTAAAATCGACTCACAGAAAATCCTGCTGCATAGGCTACTACGAGATAAGGATCCTCTAGGCAAAGATCGAACCCATAAGCAAGGGGACGCAAAGAGCTCCACCAACCAGTTCTGGTGGAAGTTGATCGATTTTTAGAAATCAACGAGTATCCTTCGTTTCTCCGACGAAGTCCGACAATCAAAGACAACCCAACTAAGAGGGCGAGGACCGATGTTATATAAAAAGAAGTTTTGATAGCCTCCTTGAGCGCATCTCGTGGCGATAGCGTAGGAAATCTGTTGACTATGAGCGGGGGAAGTCTGAGAAGGCAAAATACTAAGGCAAATTTTCAATTGGAGCTGAGTGGTCTCGAAGTGTAGGCAAGTTTTTGCAAAGAACTCAGGAATCAGACGTACCGGCGAAAAGGGCACCTAAGCCACTGCTAAAACCAATGATACCTGAAAGCTTAGCCGAGCGTTGGTCTTCTAGATGCTTGCATTCCGACACTACGGGCGATGACGACAATAGCAGCGGGGTCGTCTCGGTTTGTTCATCAGAGGATGAAGGCACCGTGTTCACGGCTATGGAAGTTGATAGGGATCCTAAGGTGGCACTGAGCATAGTTGTAAGAGCGGCGAAGCCAATCTGCAATAAAAACCGACATGAGTCAAGCATATCAATATGACCGAGATGTGACGTCACTAACCGAAACTAGGACACGAGCAAAGCACAATTCAAGAGTTGATCTAGCTTGGACAAATATACTCAAGGCGATAGCTATGAGTACAGACAAATCATCAGCTATCAGACATTGGCATAGAGTCGTACAGTGGAGCGAAGGACTGTACTCACCGACTAGAACGTGGCCTACGACGCTCACAAACCGAAAGCCATATAGGTCAGCGCATCTACCCCAGACCAGTACAGCCGGCAGTGCTACGAGTTCATCCAACAGAACCAGGGATCTGAAAAGCATAGCGGATAGGTAGGATGATCAAATTTTGGAGGTCTGTGTGAAGCAAAGAAAGTCTGAAACTCACCCACTCACACGACCCAGATGATCAAGTGGTAAACGGACAACTGCCGTCAAGACGAAACTGGTTGATGCATTCAAGAAAACAAGACATGCTACTGACAAAAAAGACGACAGGAGATATGCCATCACATTTACTGGTCTGACATCGGCAGCTAGACCGAGCCATTGTAGACTAGAACGATTCATGTGGATATGGATTGCGCAGATGTAGATAGATGAGTCCAAAGTTGACTCAAGTGAAGATCAGAAAGCCTGCAAGCCTGCGGAATAGTCAGAATCGGATAATCCAAAGAGTCGGGTCAAGCTGCCAAGCATTCACCGGGTCAGGGTTGAGAATCGAGACCACATCCGGACCCGAGGTACACAATCGGATAGATGAATGATACTCGGGTACTAATCGTAGCATGCAAGCCTATCCAAGCGTGGGTGTGCCTTTGGATGAGTCTGAACCACCACCAACCGTTGATCGAAGGCTAGGATGGATGCGACCGAAGCGCGAAAAAGACCTCGATCAGGATCCGACACAGTCGAAGAACCCAATCCAGCGATCCCTGAACCGCAAAGTGAGGATGAAGACATTGGCCCCCTACCAGCTCCCGACGAGGGCCCAGCACCAAAAGCGCATGTCAAGAACAAACGAAGAGGTCAGTGGCCGTTGTTTTGTATAGGCTAGCAAACTACGCGAACTCATTCCATTGGCCCTCTCTTCACTTGGCTCGCGACAACTCTTAGTTGCTCATCAGAACGCTCTTCTACATCTCAAGCATCTTCCATCGGCCGAGCGATATCATCGCAGTTTCATGCATCGTGATGTTGTCTCCTGGGTTACTGTGACTCGGTAAATAATTAAGACAGAATATCAGTGATTTCCCATCCAATTGCCGCAATGTTTTAATCGCCTTTGAATGACTTCAGGACACACTTCATCATCACGGCATCAGTCGACGGGCATATCAAATTTTGGGGCAAAAAAGGCCCCAAGGATGGTCCAGGGATCGAGTAGGCCTTTCGCAATTGATGAGGACAAATTTGAATTATCAGGACGTTCTTCTCACTCAAAAAAACCCTGTGGCTGCAACAGATTCGTGAAGCATTACCGAGCCCATCTTAGCTCAATTGTATCTGTATCAGCTTCGGCCGATGGCTTGATGTACGCGAGTGTCTCTGCAGATGGGCAGGAAGGTAGTGTGAAGATATTTGACGTTCAAAATTTTGGTATGCATCTCTTTGATTTATTTTGAAAGGTATAGCACACATGTTTCAACTAAAATTTGAGCTGACGCTCAGACAAATAGATATGATCAACATGATGAAAGTCCCTTTTGTACCCAAAGCATGCTGCTGGGTTCACGCAATTGGCCAGGCAGCCACACTTCTCGCCGTGTGAGTCGACATCATTCTGTCAGCTGAGACATATGGCTGATATGTATCAATTCAGCTCAGATGCGAATACCCCAACAATAAACATATACGATGGGAGGGGTACGGGTCAGCCGGTTATGTCTATCGGGAGTCTGCATCACTCACCTGTGCATCTGATGTCGGTGGGTCATCCTTTCATGCCCTGATTGGAGAGTTTGTTCGCGTAAATGTGACTTACGAGCGGGTTTTTTAGTTTAACACCGTTTTCGACTGCGTCATATCTGTTGATACGTCGGGTATGCTGGAGTATTGGGAACCAAACGAAAGTTTCAGTTTGCCTGAAGGAATAAAGTGGTCCATGAAAAGTCAAACAGATCTTTACCATTTCAAAAAGGTAAGCAACCTATCTCGTGAATTCTCCGAACGAATTATCACTCACTCCAATTTACGTTAGTCGAAATCAGTGCCTACTTCTTTAACTATATCACCCAATGGACTCCATTTCGCTACAACCACTCTCAATTCCCAAGACCACAGCATTTGTGTTTTCAATTTCTGCACCGGAAAGCTGATGCGAAAATATGACGAAAGTATCACTGCTATCAGTGAGATGCAACAAGCGGGTACCACAGCTTACAGGCTAGATGATATGGAGTTTGGACGTCGGCTTGCGGTTGAAAGAGAACTGGGAAAGACAGCCGAAAGTGGCTTATCACCTGGTGCCTGCGGCAGTGCTATATTTGATCCAAGTGGCAATTTTCTGATGTATCCATCTTTACTCGGCATCAAAAGTAAATATTTGAACATCAATCCCTTCACTTAAAATAAGTGTAGCTGATACTTTACCATTTTGCATTCCACAGTTGTTGATATACATCTGAATCAAATGGCTAGAATCTTGGGCAAAGACGAAAACCACCGATTTTTGCAGGTGGCTTTTCTTCCTGGGTTTGATGGTAACCAAGGAATTACTACACTCGTGCGTCTCAGTATTTTCAAGTACATCATAACAACAGTTCCTAATCCTCGGCATATCGCAACTCAAGGCTATGGCAGTGTCAAACAACCCATTGTTGGCCGACAAAGGTCAAGCTGACCCCAGCTTGTTCTGTACGGCGTTTAAGCGGCCTAGATTCTATATCTTCAATCAGACAGAACCTGAGTCGTACGTGTTATTAAATCATATTTGCGTGTCATAGCTGACAATCTTTCTTTGATATACAGCGATTCAGGTACCAAAAACGCTGATCGCGACATCTTCAACGAGAAACCTACACGAGAGGAGCAAGCAGTCGCAGCCGTTGCACCAGCTTCGAAAGTCCAACTTGGCAGCTCTGCAGTCATCCATACAACCCGTGGAGATATACATTGTCGACTTCATCCAGAGCTTGTTCCCAAGACTGTAGAAAATTTTGTTGGACATGCACGAAGCGGATATTATGATGGAGTCATCTTTCATCGTATCATCAAGAAATTTGTGAGGTCATTCAAACTGCAAGATCTAAATAGCGTTCTCCATCTGACCACAGGATTATACTTCTCTTTCTTCCAAGATGATCCAAACTGGTGACCCACTAGGAGATGGTACAGGTGAGTCATTATTTGCCTTTTCTTTTGTGATCGTGGTTCTGACGAATTCCATTCTCAGGGGGTGAATCTATTTGGGGTGGCAATTTCGAGGATGAGATTGTTCCAAATTTGAAACATGACAAACCCTATTGTCTAAGCATGGCCAATGCTGGTCCCGGTACTAATGGCGTAAGTGGATGTTAATATTGTTTTGGATACCATTCCGTCACTCATCGTTTATTCTTCCAGTCGCAATTCTTCATCACGACTGTGCCTACTCCTTGGTTAGATAACAAACATACGTGAGTTCTCAAATCCGTTTTGAGGGTTTTCTTCGGATCATATCAGAATCTATCTGCAAATGACTGATCAACCGTCCTTGTTCACCATGTTAGCATCTTCGGACGTTGCGTTTCTGGGTTTGACGTTATTCATGAGATTGAAAATGTCAGATGTGATAAGACAGATAAGGTAAATGCTACTGATTGATTCCCATAAATTCTGAATATTTTGTCTGACGTATTTGAACAACAGCCGCTCCCTGATTACGAGGTAAAAATCAGCAGCATAACAGTTGAATAGAATCCTCGAGTCACAAAAATGAAATTATCGGAAATAACTGCTTCAATCTGTCGTCCTCTCTCGAGCATCTTCAATTGGTGGTATACTTGCAATAGAATGATCAGAGATCCCCGCTGTTTATCCCGGAATTTGTCATATAGCATGAAATTCTGGAAACATGCTGCATTTCTCATCACGCGCCAACACGTTGAAGAAGGTTCCATGTAGTTATGGGTTGCCAAGACCGATCCTTGAGTTTGACAAAACTTTCCGCCTGAACCGTTTTTCATCAACACCCAATCCTCAGAACACGCTAGACCTCGCAGATCAATGGGTCCAAAAGCTACACAAGAGCAGCCCTCCAGGTGTAACTTCACCGCTTCAAGCTTCACTGTGGAAGCCTCAGAAAACGAGGAGTGTACTGGGTACTATCAAAGCATCTTGCCGGAGGACTTTCAAGTTTCCACTTTGAGATGGATTGTGCATAGTGATCTATAATTGTACGAAACCACGAAATGTGATGCATTTTAGTAACTCAACTGATATTAATTCTATGAGTAAAACACCATCAGAACATTGTTTTTCCTTTTTTACTTTCTTTGCTGAAACTTTGAGCTCTGAGAGTCATGCAGACATTTCTATTTAAGCAGATATATGTGGAAATACGAGAGAGACAATCAAGGTGGAGGGAAGATCCAACTATGATGGATCTTGATAGACCTGATAATTCGAACTAGCTGGATTTGAGGGTGCAGGGACTGGCAGTCTGGGACTCAGTGGGAGGCATGAGGACCAGCTCAGTGAGGCTCAGTTTTACGTCGAGCTCAGGAGTGCTGATTCCTGAGCAGGCATCCTTCGTTTCATGTTTTAAGAAGGCTGGACTGATTTGCTATTAGCATATGGAGCTTGTTGTTGAGTGTCATATGTAACATTACATGTGAAGGGGTAAATTGGATCGGTGCAATCCTCAACAAAGGCTGATTGGTTTCACTTCACTTCGATTATCTCATCTCATTTGTCATGGCTCAACTTGCGAATAAGAAAAGACAATTTAGTTCCGAACCTCCTGCCGAAGCGTTCGATGAGCCGACATCCCGATTTGATTCGAGTCCTGCTGGTAATCGTTTCTTGGAGGTCAGTGACAAGTTTGAATTTGCACGACTCCTTGGTATTGAATCTTGGTGTCTTTGCTGCAGCTCAAACCTCATCGTGATGCTGAGCGTGTGCGCGCTGTCGATCTCGGATTAATTCCCGACCCACTCAAACCACGGCGACTGGACGAAGCTTTACCTTTTTTTGGAACATGTACACAAATGTGCCCCGAATTCGAACGCCATGAGCGAGAATATCAAAATAATACAGACAGGTGGGAACGGGTCAGCTCAGCACGCTCTGAAACTTCTAACCACTCGGCTCTAGAGTATATTTGATCTTTTTACTCACAAGATCTCTTATTTTGACAGTTTCCAGGAACGATGCGGATTGACCCTTTGAAGGCTGTCAAAGCATTCCATCGCCCCGCCGCCGGAAATGATCAGCCTTTACCTTCTGACGTGCGGCCACCTCATATCCTGAAGGTACATGTTATCCCGTCTTTGGCAGTCTCATCGCTGTGTTTGCGTTCGATAGATAGACTAAGAAGGTCTATCAGGCAACTCTCGACTACCTTTTCAATGATCTTTTGCCCCAAGAATCGCTATTTGAAACCCATGGATTTATTCGAGATCGTACTCGATCAATCAGACAAGACTTCACTTTGCAGAATGAGCGCGGCTCTATGGCGATCGAGTGTCATGAACGTATAGCACGTTATCACATCATGTGTCTGCACTTTTTACGTGACAAAGAGGGTGTTGGAAGCTATCAGGAACAACAAGAGTTGGAGCAGGTCCGCAAAGGTAGGTTCTGTGTCTACGCCTTCCGCACTCATTGATCTGACAATCTTGATCTGCAGTTCTACAGTCCTTAAACGAATTCTACGACGATTTCCGAGGATCTAATCAGTTATGGCCCCACGAAGCTGAATTCCGAGCTTATTATCTTCTTACTCATCTTCGTGATGCGGATGCCGCACGCACCACAGAACGACTCCCTCAAGTTATCTTCCTTGATCCCCGACTCCAATCCGCTTTGAAGCTACATGCTCTGGCGCAGTGTAGTAATCTGACAAAAGTGCCTTCTGGTCGAAGACCCACCAGCTCCCCAGCTACGCTTAACGGCTTCTCTCGCCTTTTCAAACAAATCGGTAGCCTTCAAACATCCTTTCTAGCTGCTTGTCTACTTGAGACGCATTTTCGCGATATCCGCATTGCAGCACTGAAGGCTATACGTTCCGCCCAGTCTCGCATGTATGGTGCAAAGCTACCTCTGAAAGCGTTGGCAAGAGCATGTGCTATGCCAGTACTTCAAGAATGTCTAGATTTTTGTGTGGCTTGTGGGCTCAAGATCACCCGGACAGCAGATCTCAATGACTGTACAGTAGAGCTGCACAATCATGTCATGTTTGACGGTGAGTTTTCGGCGACAGCATAAAATCTTGTCTCACCTAGCTAATTTCTTGTCACGACAGAGCACTCGATTACATTCCGGATGCCCAAGTCGTCGATGGTGACTGAGAAAGGCGTGAATATATCCATTTCTGACCTCATCAATGGTGTACACGCCACCGCCAAGGTATCGACTGCAATCAGAACTGTCTCACCACTCACTTCTCGATCTGTCCAGCAAAAGAAGACGAGTCGGGTTGAGATGGTACCAGCAACTTCCCTTCCTCAAAAGGCACTCAGAGACCAGAAGGTACCTCTGGATAACAGTACCACAGCTAAACTAGCCACCCACGCCAACACTCATCCTTCTGACAAAACGGATGACAAATCCACGCCTCGTCGAATCAGCGCAATCTCACAGCTCACGCCAGGCTTGTCAAGATCTCATGCAGTGGTCCAAACATCGCAAATCTCCCCAGCCTCTCCGAAATTTGCTACTCTAACCTCGACCAAACGGGAAACCCCATCTAGACCATCTATTTCTTCGAGTTCGCCGATGAGTCAACCCCCCAAATTGCCAGCTCGCAAACGATCTTCTGTCCTCTCCGCATCATGCTCAAAAACGATACAAGTGTCTGCTCGATCATCCGCCCAGAAACAACTCATAAGTAGTCTTTGCAGTGATGTGATGTGTAGTCTCATTGGACCTATCGCATCCCGAGTGGCATCTCTAGCGCTAAGGAACAAAGTGGAATGCTCTTTGGCTGAACAAACCCAAACTAATAAATATCACATTGAATATCTTTCTGAAGGCTTGCAGGAGCAATTTGTTTCTGAGCTCAATTCGGCGTTTGCATTTGAGATTGCCTCCGATTTGATCTTCGAGCAATATAACGACAAGCGTGAACGTCGACTCATGGGTGCCACTTTTCACAAATGGTGTGAAAGTACTCGATCTCTTCGACCAAATCCAGCCAAAAGGCACAGAACCGCAACTGATCCTCGTGCAGAGGTAATTTGGGATTCACCCTCAATCAGCAGTCATTTGGCATACTGATCAGTTAACTCTCGTTCTCTTAGGGCGTGTCAGCTGATCTAGGCTCTTCCCTTTGGCGACCCGGGGGTCTCAAGGACTGTGTATGCACTTTCTTAAACCAAATATTACTTGGGTCGAATGAAGCTACAGTGGAGGTAGTAATTGTTGTACCCACAAAGGCGTCGTTAGTGTACACGTGGCTGTGTTGCAAATTTGGCATGGACAGCAGGCATCTGAGTGATCAATTAATTATACAAGAGAATGGTTGGAGAATCTCCATCAACTTTGTCGAAGAAGAGCATACAATGCCGCCAGAGGTTTGTACCTCGACATGACTGACCTCTTGACATCCATGATATGCTAGCTAACGCAATCAACATAAAATAATCCAGGGGTTATCGCGAGTTGCTCTTGTACTTCTCTGGTATGATGCTACATGTGAACCTACCGCATCTATGTGCGTTCCTCGCTTTCATACGCTCTGAACAGACCAGATCACTTACCACAAGGCCCTTGGTAGAAATCACACGCGCTGGGTCAAATCAGTCGAGCTCTTGTCCTTCTATCGCGTAACCTCGCTAGGAATCTCATGGCCTACCTCACAAAGCGCATCAACTTCCGCCAAAGTTCCTTCAGGCTTAGAAATCATACGTCTTTCGATGGATAATCCAGAGCGTGAGATGGAAGAAGCTTTACAACATCGACTTCATCTCCTGGAAAGTTCAACCAATACCTTGGCTAACCTCGAAGGTGAGCTTGCTTCTTCATTCTCCATTTTTTCGTGAATTGAGAGTGATGCTCATCCTTTGTGTGTAGAACGTCTTTCGCCTTATCTATCCACTTGGCAAGACTGGCAACAAAAAGCTCTTACGAGGCTGAGTCGCCCCTCCACAGCTTCGCAGAAAGCCCATAGACATGGGTCTACTGCTGTCCAACATTTAGACCCGGACATCGATCTTTTGAACATGGTCCATTTATTTACCTTTGTCTCCACCACAATCGACATGATGGTCACCACGATAGGATCCCTAATCGGTCCACCAGACAAGGCTGTCAAGATTGACATCACGTCTCTTCGGTTGGATATGATATCCACAATGTCAGTCAGCCATCTAAGGGAATATGACAATAATCCAAAGACTAATTAATTCTTTCTGCAACTTATATGTCCATGGTGATTAGGACATGTGAGAATTTTTATCGGACTCTACAGGACTATCAATGCAGTCTTCCCATCAATTACTATTCAATCAACCTGCGCGCTTTGTTGTGCGCCCAACCACCCTTGTCGCTTGGTGCGTTCTCTTGCATTTTCTTTTAGGGCTCACCTGACTCTAAATGTTCAAATACTGGTTGCATTTTGGAATCAAGTCAGCTGAAAATATTGCCACACATTTTGATCGCTTTTTAGTCCAATTCTTTCGTCTCTTTTGTCGACATCTTGCTTCAGCAATCTTGGAGATTGTGCAAAAAACTGCTGAATCAACTGGACATCCTCATTGCTTAGCACAGCGTCATGAAAAACTCAAGTCACATGCTATTAGTCTTTTGCCTGAGTTTGAACTCCAGTTACAAGCATTGATTCAGGATCTCCCACAGAAACCCACTAATCAATTATTGCCCACCTCTAGAGACAGTCAGGATGGGTAAGTGTCTTTATCAAGTTTTGCAAATTCATTCTTCCCGAGAAATGATAATTGATATGATTTAAATAATGATCGAACGTCACACTACTTTAGGCTTAATCTCACAAATGGACAAGAAACAAGGATTGAAGAAGATATGACATTCAATGAAGAAAACTTGGAATCGAACAGTCCATCACCGTCCATCACCCCACCTTTCAACAATCATGACTTGAAGAAAAAACCTAGTCGAGCTCAACTTGTATCTGAATTACGAAAACTTATTCAATCTACTAAAACTAATCAGTAATAAGACTTCTATGTATGCGATTTTTTACCGCACTTTAAAAGAAGGAAATCACATTCTTGTATCTTGAAATGCCCAGTTGAGGGTTTTTCCACCTGTTTGACAACTTGTAAAACATTTTACCCTTTTCAGTGTTTTTATTGGAGATGCATGTTCAATTTTTTTTGTTCCTTCAAGGGAGGTGGGAAGAAACCATGTGTTGGAAAAATTTGCACACCCTTGAAGTTGCTGGAGCCAGCTTTTTGAGATGTTGGCCAAACACTCGAGGCCTGCAGCCTGCTGAGGATCAAGGGACTTGATTTAAGTTTGGTGCACTTGGCTGCACAGAAAGCACGTGTTGATTGCTGCGCATCGAATATTTCGGGGTGCTGCAGTCCGTACCTATCATGGCAGTGTCGACGGGCGCGTCCGACTCTTGTCTCTCTTTCAGCACCTTCATCGGACAATCCATCGCGCCTCCGATCCATCGCATTCGTCAAATCAGATGGCTTTCCAAAAGTATCCAGCTGACATCAAAGCCGTGGCCGTTTATTGGAAGCTTAAAGGCATCCCCATTCACACTATTTGCCGGCGTCTTCGTCGGTCGATCTCTCAGAAATCGTTTACGCGATGGATCAAGCTCTACCATCACACCCAGGCCATCATTCGTGATCCATACCATTGCAAGAAGCCTGGTCGACGTGGAACTCTGAGTGAATCAAATCGGCGATTCATGGAAGCGTTATTTCAAAATTATCCCACATTATTTTGGGATGAGATCAGCGGACAACTTCACAATATTCAAGGCGAGATACCCACCATCAGTGCCCTCCAACTTGGACTTCACCAGCGACTTCTAATTAACATCAAAAAGGGGGAAGTTAATTACAAACCAAAGAATTTGGTAGCCAAATTCCGCTGGATGGACGAGATGAGCGGAATTCCACCCAACTTTATAGTATTTGCTGGTCAGCGTTTATTTGAATGATATATGTCTGAATCTGTCTGAAGTTCACGATTTAACGGATGTGGCTAACACTCGCCTTTCATTGCAGGCGAGAGTACAGTTTGCAGTGGCGGTATCGAGTATTCAATTCTTCCTGCCATAGGATACTATGACATGGTAGCTCTTTCCGTAAAGGAAGGTCCCATCACCTCTGAGCGCTTCGAGCGATTTCTGAAGTACCGCTTGGTACGTTCCTTTTTAGTCACACAAGTATTCTGATTGCCTAATGTTCTTTTTCTCTCTTTCAGCTGCCTAGGATGAAACGTTATCCCGACCGCAACAGTGTTCTCGTACTTGAAAAAGCGTCGATCCATGAAGGTGAGAATGTTGAGAAGCTCTGTAGGAAGAAAGGTGATTCTGATTCTGTGTATCGCCTCTGAAGATCGCTAAACTCATGTGATCTTGATACTATTTTAGGCATCCTTCTGAAATACCTGCCTCGTCACTGCCCGGAATTGAGTCCGATTGAATTGGGGTTTGGCGTCCTCCAGACGCGTCTCCGTCGAACTGAAGTTTTGGATTCTCATACCGATCCAAAGGAGGAGATCACGGAGGCAGTATCTCAGGTCTTGGGGGCAGAGTCATTGAATTTAGAACCATTATACCATCTGTGTGGATATCAAATGCCTAATGGACTTGCCGCCTGAGTTGATATATCATGTTTATATGTAATGTGGTTTACTTTTCTCTTCAATTCTAAATGTCGTGTGCAATGCTCAATGTTGTAATATAGTTTCTACCAAAGATTGGAAGCTTCCCATCAGGCTCTCCCCAATACCTAGGAGACTGTGCTCTCTCGAAGTCCGCCTTTGGAGTTTAGGGGGATGGGTCAGCATTGGCAGATCAACGGCCTTTTTTCCTGTGTATCTTGAGAGCAGTCTGATTTCTCTTCTCTTCTCTTCTGGCATAACTGATTGATAGATTACTAGTGTGAATATTCCATCTTGAGGAAGTGGTGTTGGTTATTGGTTATTACTTGCTACGAATAAAGTTGTCTTCTCTTTTTCTATCCTCATTTCAAATAAACATGCTGTTCTCTCAAATACACTTTCTCATACAATTGCTCATCTCTATACGTGTCTTTTTCAAATATGTTCTTATTTGATATGTTTCCTGGCTACAGTCTCTCACTTTATTCTAGTCTGCGTTTTCTCTTTTTAACTCTTTGCTGTCTGTGTGTCCGTCCTATAAAGAGCCACCTATGAGTCGAAGAAGTTTGATCCTCATCTGTTTCAAAACTTCTTCGTATTAACACTTGGAGCAAAACACTAATCCCTTACGGCGTATTTTTGCTTTCGTGTGAATGACTCATAAGTGGCAGAACAAATGAGACTTTGCGTTTTGAGAAGAGGAATGGGAATCAGTCGTTCTCAAAAGTTACCCAGAGAGCCAGCAATGGAATCCACTCCTGAACCCTCAAAATGTGGAACACTAAGATAAATATACTCTGTGGGACCCTTCCCTGGCTTTGGGGGTATCACCATAAGACGAGTCAAAGAGTCTGAAACGAGCTCAGCTGACTAAAGAGCTGGCACATATCTGCATTACAATGATAGCACTGAGCAGCCAACTACATACAAAGAATACTTACCAGTGAATCTAAGTCTTTATCAACACTTTAAACTTAGAATTAGCGTATTGGCAGAGGTTGAAATGGGTGATTGTGGAACAGCTTCAAGCTGACTATAGTGGGATGGTGTGATGATCATACTGAAGCTGATGAGCATATTTAACAATGTCAATCATTACTGGTTGTGTTCATTGGTGAATTTGGAAGCAAGTGCAAAATGGGTCATGATTTTACAACAGATCAACAATCAGCAGCAGCAGCAGCTGAGTTGAAGAAAGTGTTGAGTGGAAGAGAGGAAAGTGCGGTCACAAGGTGGATAGGGTATTGAGGCACTTGGCTATGATGTGATCATCAGTGGCTGTCTTGATGGCAACTTTGGGATGAGATGATTGGGAGTTTGTTATATGAGATGTAGAATGAAGAGTTGGCAAGAGAAGCTGTTGTTGGATATGGCACTCACCTGGTGGGCCCACCCCCACAATAGTCTCTGTGAGGGATCTGGTAGTGTTTCTGCTCCTACACCACGGGGCAGTCGCGGCGTGAATTCCATGTTGCCATTTGGCTCTATAGTGGTTCACGTAGCATTCACGAGAGGCGAGTCACGTCGTGACTGCAATCCATGAACGACATCTAGCTTAACACAAGCCCCCCACTGCCTGCGTCCCCCGGAGCCTGCGCAGGGGGGCTTGCGGCTTATACGCAAATACCCGCGTGATTAGATTTGAAGTTGGCAGGGAATATCTCCGTTCTCCCTTTCCACCACCTTACACATTACAAATCTTTGAAGAAAAAAGACGAAATGAAAGATCAGCTTCCTACAAATCTTTTGCCCTACTCAGATACTTCTGAGCTGCTCCTGAACTTGAGATTCAAAAGGACTTCTTATTTTGTAAATTGAAATTTCAAACCTCACATCTGCTGCGACTACAGTAAATTTTACATATGAATGACTTAAAGGATAAATCTATTAAAGACTTTCTCTGTGCGAACCCATGCGGTGATTGGAGCAGGAGCTCCTCAGCCAATTATCGTTCTGCTCATCGTATTTGCTTTATTTCTTCATTGAATTCCCTCTTGTGAGATTCATCTATCGCCATAAAGAACCAAACACAATGGGCAGTTCTGATGAATCAGAGGACGATTTTGTCTTGGATCCTTTGCTTAATGTTCCGGAAATACCGAAGTCAGTAGATACAATTGATCCAATTGAAATGATCTGTCAATTTATGACAAAGCACCAGACCAACACAAAAAAATTCCTTATTGCACACCTGCGATCTACCAATGAAAGCATTGTCCGACGTAAAAAACAGTGGGGATCTGTGAAAAGAGGGTGGCAGACTACTGAGGAAGTTCTAGACGCAGTTGACGAGCTGGTTAATCAAAAGCCAGAATGCCGACAAAAGTGGAATGACTGGGTTCTTAAAAAGGTGTGAATCAAGCGCACCTTGCTATGAGCGGCTATATGAATCACTGATCAGATACATACTTGATTTCAGGCCAAAGTCATTGTAGCATCACAGTCTACGCCACCACAAAGTCTGTTTATCAACACGAACAAGATCGACACTGGTCTCTTTGATCACGATTCAGATATAAAACGAGAGACAGCAGTGGTTGCAGGCATGGGCTTCCTGCACAGCTTAATCACGCACAAGTTGGAACATGAATATAACTCTTCCAGAGCAAGCCGTAACCGATCCGGACGCCAAACCGTGATTTATGAAGGCTCAAACCCTGAATTGGACTCAGAATCGGATGTAGATAGTGATTTTGACACGTCTTGCAATAGTGGTGCTCATGAATCTCATGCCATTGCGAGTAGACAGCAAACAGTAGGAGATTATGTTTATCATAAATCAAAGGACAGAGTTGAAAATATCAAGAACCGATTCAAGACGGTGAGGGTCTTCATTTCAAAACACACCCTGTAATTAACATTTGACTGATGCTTCAAGTCGAGTCATTTGATCATAGATTGCGCTGACAGCGATTCAAATGATTGCTTATGGTTGTAATCGGCGTTGTAACGCACTTCAAGTTGAAAATTCACTTGCGCTACTAGCGTGCGGGGTCTCTGAGCGAGTCAATCAATATCTACATCAGATAGGCCTTAGTGCATGTCGAAAATCAGCGCTTCGTGGACTTTTAACACTAGCAAAGGCAAAATCGGTCACGATCAAGAAAAAAATTAAAGCTGCTGGGGCTTTCGGGGTTTTTCTGTGTATTGATAATCTTGACATGATGGAATGTGTTCATAGTCGTAGAATTGATGCTACTAGCAAGACATATCATGGTACTTGGGGTTACGTTCACTTTGTGAACCCTGAGCTCCTGACCGGGCTTGATCCAAGCCTCTGTACTCTTCCTGTGCTTCAGAAAATTCTCAAGGATGACTGTGAACGACCAGTTGATTCGGGTGAATTACTTCGTAGTAAAGGTGAGCAAGAGTGTTGGGTAGCCACTTTGAAAAACCAAGTGGCTGTGGTGCTTCTGCGATATATGATCAAGCCCAAGAAGTACAAGGACATGAAAATCTTGAATCTTGCTGTTATTGACCAAATCAAGCCAGAAAAGCCCGATATCGATATGCTCAAGTTGATGGACTCTTCCGACAATGGCTCAGATGGAATAGCCTCATTATACAATGACCTAATTAAACAGACTGGCCTTTCACCCGAGGATTTCTCAGAACACCCTCAGATCATTGAAGGCGATTTGGGAACTTGTCTGAACTTCCATGGCTTGCAGAGACAACGGAAACCTTCGGCTTTTTCCGACGAGAGTCTTGCGCATCTGGTCATGATTCCAGGTGCTGGTCATACACTATGGAACATTTCTCAAGCGCTTTTATTACATCACTGGGGGAATCCAGATGATAAGACCGATTTGGGAGCTTGGAGGACAGCAGTTGAACTCGGTGCAAAGAAGGATAGACCTACAGCAAAAAAAGATTTCACATCAATGATACGATTGATTGAACAAATACACGAGGCTACAATCACTTACTGTATCTTGTATGTACCAGTCTGGTCAATACAATTTTGAAATATGTATTCGATTTCTGATCATTTTTGTTTGGCCCAACAAATCTATTAATTGTTAGTGAAATACTGGGACTTCCTACAGAGACCGTTGAAAATCCTATCGATCTCTCTGTTGAGGAATTTCAGAATGCGGTCAACAAGGTCTTTGTCACCTACTTTTCTGGCCGAGCCCTCCGCAAAGCACGCCAAGAACTGGATGGTAACCGAGAACGTCTTTTACTTAGGATTCGAGACTTCGCAACAATTGTGGAGGCCAATCGGGCTATGTCAGATGGTGACATTGGACGATTACTTCTGGTATGGAAGCAGTGGAGTGTCATGACTCAGGGGATCAAAGGCCTATGTCATTATTCACAATATCTCCCTCGCCTCATTCGGCTACTCACGATTGTACTCCCAAAACCGCTGGCCAAGGTTATCCTCCACTCCCTTCTGATCTCACCAACTGGACGACCAGGTCACTTTGTGGCCAAAGATTTTTATCTGGAGGTCAAAAATTGGTGGCTGAAGTTCTTCTACAACCACGCGGTATGTATCTGTTCATAATTGATGATGCGAGTTCCATTTTACACATGTTCAGCTCACTCGGGCATTGGCAAAAATTATTCAGGGCCCTGGAACAGACATTCAGCGTCTCAAAGAACAGTATTCCCTCACAGTTGGAGTGGTAAGTAAATTTTAAACTGAGAAATACATTGTCATCATACTAATTTATACTATATAAACAGCTTTCAGAATCGGTCGATAAAATGAAAGGTAGAGCTGGTGTCAATCTGACACGACAGTCACATAAAAATAAATCAACTGCATCATCAATGATGCGCTTTTTGAATATGGCGAAAAGCGAGCAAATCACTAAGCCCAAATTAAGCCCAAAGAAACGAAGCCCAATCACAGACATCCATCGCCTTGGTATCAAGAAGCTTCGAGAAGACTTTTCTCGTGGTCGCCTTGAACGCTTCCACTGGCCTCTTGTATCGAACTACAGTCGCGAAATGGAGAATGATGAAGATCAGGATGATGAAGTCCGTGATGGTTTTGGAGATCTTGATGAAGAGTTTGTGAAATGGGTAAGCGAAGGTTAAAACTCACTTTTGGTAAGCCAATTCCATTTCATCCAGTTGGTTTTCTGGTACTTTATCTTTCAACCACTTCAAGCAACGTTTGTTGTATTCTTTTTTGAGTGTTGCTGCCTTGTTATCTGCTAGAACCTGAGCTGATGTTCTCCTTGTTTTCTTCTGTCTTGATATACCAGGTGTAGGCACAATTACACGGTCTGGCTGGTTTGAAGTCTTATTTAATTCCTTTGATGACTGTATTTCTTCTTCTGCTATCATTTCCAATGTGATCTGCTTCCTCCGATGTTTGTATTCCATCCCAATATCTCGAGTCTTCCAATCAGATATGTAGTTAAACACTGTATCTACACCTCCAACAAGTAAATCTCCTCCCATCAATTTTTTAACATCAGACGCACATGTAATATTATCAAGTGACTGTACTATTCCTTTGGCTTCATCAAGACCAAAGTAGTCTGTACTTTCGCAGTAATCGTCCTCCCCGAATATATCTTGGTAATGAAGATCAAAGATGTAAACCAACTCATCTGCAAGCTCCTCCAGAGCAGGGTCCAAGAGTGCTCCTCGCTTTTTTTTTACACTCTTACTACCACTTCCTTTGCCATCGTCTGCTGAAACCTTCGTGCCTTCTTTTTCTTTCGGATATGTGAAACCTTCAACATTAAACAAATCTTTCATCGCTTGCTTATAATTCCCTTTGCACAATCTTGGTAAATTATGGACAAGATAATCAGCGGCTTCCGAGTCGCAGTTTGAACATTTGCACGAGGGAAAACCTTCTTTCAACTCTCGCATCTGTTCAGTTAAGACACGAGGATCCTCCTTGCTGCCGGGAATCACACCAATACTGGGTTTCCGTATCATGATACACATGTAAGTTTCAGTCACTCTTATGACATGATAAACAACGTACTCACGTATTTCCCAAGGAGAGAGCAACTCGCAAACAGATATGTGTAAAAGCAAACGAGTCCATTAAAACATCATCTGACATTTCATGTTTATCGTTCACATCGTCAACACTATTGGCACCTTTCACCCGATTACTTTCAACAAAATGAAGAGCAAGACCTGGATGTTTCCCTCGGCCACATCTTCCAAACAGTTGCGCTAGTTCTGCAATTTCTGTACGTCCTATGACCACCACTTCCATCACTGATGGCCAATCCTGACCTAGTCCAAGAGCATTAGTACAAGACATGATTGGAAATTTGTCTTGGGTGTATGCTTCAATATCTCGGAGCTTCTGCTTCTGTCCAGTGCAAGAATGATATCTTCGGATTAAAGAACTATCGGGGTTGTCTTCCTCTCTGGCTGTTCCTCGGAATTTGTTAACGGCTTCTAAGATGGTGTATGTTCCATTTCTTGAACTAGAATAAATGAGGGTCTTGAGGAGTTGATCATCAGGGAGTACATCCTTTTTAGCATAGATTGTTGCAAGAGCTGAGGCAGGTGCAACCCCGTACTTTATCGGAATGCGAATGATTCTGATGTTTGACCGACTGAGTTCCCCTCTCAGAATCGTGAGATCGCTTTCCTGGATGCTTAAGTTGTTCAGGATGGCGGCAAAAGGTCGAGGTGCACATGTTGCTGACATTAATAGCAGTGGAATCTTGTTCGTAGCTAGCAGACAAATGAAGAGATCACCGTACGATGGTCGAAATTGACCTCCATCTTGTTGGCGCATGAAGGCATTAGAATGCTTTGCTTGTCCTCCTTGTACCATCCCCCACCAGTAAATCATATGTGCTTCATCGATTACTTTGAGAACCAAGCAATCCTGAAACCACTCACTAAAATACATCTTTTCAAACAGTTTATTATTCAAAAAGATCTCCGGGCTCTTTGAGCGGAAAAGACAGATTTGTATATCAGGGACCCGATATCTTGTTACTTTTCACCCTTAAAGAGTAATTCTCACCACATAGATTACACTGTATGCCCCAGCAATAATGTCCAAGACTACTTCTTCCGTGAATTTGTCCTTGGTCAAGTTTACAGAGTTAATTTTCCAATTCTTCTTCTCGGCAACCTACAAATACAACCAGAGGCAACATTCAATTTTGAACCGATTAAAAGACTCTGTCCACATACCTGATTATCACCCAAGGCGTCTAGCGGATTTATGACAATTTCTAAAGCTTTCGAATGTTTAGGAAATAGAGCTAGAACCATCTCCGCAATCCTTGTTTTTCCATAACCCGTTCCAGCCAACAAGAAGGTGTCGCGTCCTCTGACCAATGCAATGACGGCTTTGACTTGTAAAGGTTTCGCTTCGGTTTTATATTTCTTCATATGATTCTCCTTGATCAAATCAGATAACATATCATCTGTAAGAGCCAATATCTCCTCAGGAATCACAACTTTTAATCTTGTTTGCTTCGGCACTGAACTCGCAGGCGCGCGTGCAAGGTTCTCAATTGCTCTTCGATTCTTTTTAGGTGTTTCTTGATCCTTATCCGAACTTTGAAGGTTTCGTGTCGAGGAGATGACTGTAGACGCCATGACCAACAGATAATCAAAAAATCTATCAACTTCTTAATAGTGAAATCCGCGCTGGGCCTTTCGAGTTGAAGGTTTTTTTTTATTTGAGAGTTGTTCCTTGTGTCTATCTACCCAGTCTCTCCGTTTCTCCCATTCTCTCTTCAGTATCTCTGTTGTCGCTCTCTCTCTCTTCAATCTCTCTCTCTTGCTTGTCCAAAACGTATTGGACAAGACAACAAGATGTAACATTCGCCGCAGTGGTCTGAATGAGCATCCGAAACGTTACATAGTTTCCAATTCAGCTGGCCTCAAAATTTTATAACCAACTGATGTGATGGTTCTTAATCGACTATGTACAAGAAGCACGAAAATGTTTTGGCCAACTCAGAATTTTGGAGGGGTTGATCATAGAAGATGTACAGTGGAAGTAGTCAAAAATGGCCGAAAAAGTGAGATTTTGAAATCTAATCACGCGAAGAAGTGTGTATAAGTCGTAAGTCCCTCCTCCGTCGGTCTCGCGCGGAGGACGGACTTTGTTAAGTTAGGAACAACATGGGTTTCACAGTACCGTCCACGTGGTAGTGCTGTGAAACCTACAGCGCTTCACTGCGTCGACTGTTTACAACTGGCGATGTGGCCATTTGCTTCATGGCATTCACCACCCATTCTGGTGACGACCAGATCGTCACCAGGTCACATTGGTGTGAAGCCCTTTTGAATATACTGCTAGATCTCACCAGGTGAATGTGACATGGAGAGCCACCGCCTAGCCTTCACATGGGCTTCGCGTGATTGCGACATCGCTCAGCTTATGATAAAATCCAAAAAAAAACCTGCTGATTGATCCGATTTGGATCAATACAGGAGCAGGGAGTGGATCGTTCTTGAACCAGGCTCAGAGAATCAAGAAAAACTGAAAATACATATATTTAAATTTCATTCGCCTCCAGCGAAAAGATAAGACTGTGTCTGATACAACTATCAATACAAGAGCGGAAGGAATAAATTGTTACAAATGCGTGAAGACACTCATGCTGCTAAGCTCTTATGGAATTCAGGAACTTCAGATGGGGAAGCAACTTCTAAAATGACTTCTGCTTCCGTAGGTAGAACTAATTAATCCTTGTAGGTATGATCAATGTCCTTATACAAACGAACGCCATTAAAAAATTTATGATCCTTGATCAAAACCAGTCGGCCAAAACTGAAACAAGGGAAACCAAAACAAAGCAGGTTGAATTGAATATCAACACGTACATCACAAGCAGGTCAAACTGTTAGTTACTTACGCTTCTGTATAATCGAGCGAATGTTTCTCTTTTATTTCAATAAGCTTTTCATCGATCAATTGCCATTGACAAGTTCTGCGATCCTTTGGGGGATTGGTATAATTGGCAACAGAGGCCAAGCGCTGGATGAAAGAAACATTGTCAACACAGTCATATGGTGCAGACCAAACAAGGAAGTGTAAGTAAAGAGATTTATTACCAGAAAGGCAAATCGCACAACCTGTTGAGGCTTTAATTTTTTGAAGATTGCCCCGGCGCTGAGGTGTTTCTTGCCAGGGTATGTTTTGTGTATCATCTAAAAACGGTTCACAACCAGAGTGTTAAGTTAGAAATCTATCATGACCATAAGGAAATTGTAGAGAAATTTCAATGTACATGGCCAGAGAAATCTCTAAGGTTCGCGACAGGAAGTGAGGCTGATTTTGGCAACACATTTTGAAGGAGCTTGGTGGGATAAAAATTCAATCGATTTAAGGCTGCCCAATACAGAGAGAGTAAGAATTGATATGAGGAAACCAAAGTTACGTACAAGTTTTCTAAAGGTACTTTGTCCATTTCTTTCAAGCTCCTTCAGAGCCGCTGATACAGCAGCAGCCCCCATTGAGCCATCCTCACCTACATAGTCGTTAGGAAGAGTATCTCGGATGTCATTGGCATTTTTGCTGAGAAGATCAGACTGAAACAGATAGATTGTGAGAACAGATGATACAGACAGTTCTAAAAAGTACGTACCAAAACACGGCGCTCAAGGCAGTCATTTTGACCTCTTGGACCATCTGTAAGAAGCGTGGCAAATGACTCTAAAGTGGGATCAATGAACAATTGAGAGCAGGATTTACGAGCGTAGTCCTACACATTGATTGGAAAAGAATAGTTGAGGTATATGCATCAATTAGGACAAGGATCAATTCATATAGAGAGAGATAAGACACAATACCTTGAAACGATCTACAGCAATCCAGTTAGCATCAGCGTTATCTGCTTTTATTTCTGCCTGTTTATTGAATTCTTGTTCTAGTCGACCCATCATGGCAATGGTCACACCAAAATAGTCTTCAGGCTGAGTACACTATGCAACAAGTACGGAGTATTTTTAATCAATCAGTGGTAAACATTTCAGAACAACTGGTTGCTTACACTGATAACCTCGTTCACCATCTCACGAAGGTGATCCTCGAGGTTGAGAATATCCATTACACGCTCAATATGTGGCTTCAAAGTCACATGATTACCAGAAGGAGATGGGATCGAATCTCCAGGGGGTTCAAAGAGTCCACCAGAAGGATCAGGTTCGTTCAAGTTTGATCTATGACCACCATCCTGACCTGGATTGTTGAACAATCCAGCTGAAAGGTAAACAAAAGAGAAAAAAAAAATCTTGAGTAAGTAGAACGAGAAAGTAGAAACAAATGACTTGCTTCCTGTATAAGGTTCTTGTAGTCCACCCATATCATTCATACCTCCATCGTTAGTGATGGGTTGGTTTGGATTTGAACTTGGATACGGTCTAAAGCCATTTTGGCGTGCTTGGAAGGCAGAGGCTGAAGGAAGTGGAATGATATTGAAAGGCAAAGGGGTTGAGGGTTTAGACGAGAGGATAAGATGGAGAAGTTAGTCACACGCTCTTGATGGAGTACTTTAGTTTTTGAACAAGAGAACAAACAGGCAGGAGGCATTGTTGAATTGATGGTGATGGTGATGGTGATGAAGAGATCGCTTGAGTGGGAATCACATTTCCAACCTTTTAATCAGTTCACAGCAATTGAGGCTGTCACAAATGAGGACTTTGGATGTTTCACAGAGCACATGATCAAAACGGCTGTCAGACCTTTGCAATCCTCAAAGAAGATCTTTCATGCCTCATGCATCAAGAGGCCATTGAAACTTCAGCTGCTGAGACAATGAGAACACCACAAATCACATTTGGGAGGTACAAAAACTTGTTATTAAGAAAAGCAACTGATAACGGTTTATTCCTCCAACCTTGCTTTTTTACCGCTCTTCTTCCCTTCAGCTTGCCACACATTCAATCCTTGAGCAATACCTGCCTTCCATTCTTCAGGAGAGACTTCGGTGATACTAATGCCTGCTAAATCACGATGAACCTCAGGCGAATACAAAGAAGCAGAATTGAGAATATACATGTTATCTGCTTTATGAGAAGTCATCGGCAGACCGCTTGAAGTTACTGTCCGTTCAATGATTCTGGGCTTTGACCGGGTGACTTCACATCCTGCTTCAGCACATGCGTGTTGAACATTCAACACACATGAGATTGCCTGTGACAAGATTGAAAGTGTCAGCTTTGTTCGCAGTGTTCTTCATAAACAGAGGAAAAATCTCACTTTACCCTTGACCCAAACTTTCCTGGATTGTTTGATCAATCCTCGCATTCCATAGAATGGTATCAGTTCGTTGGTCAACTCACAGACAGTCAATTCAGTGTAACATTCATGTTGTCCTCCTTTCCGATCACCCAATATACGGGTCACACATCCAATCTTCACTTGTTCATCATGGCTCTCTAACTAAATCAGAATGAAATGAATTTGATATCATTTGAATTTGATGAGTCAGCCAATGGGTGAACTTACAGCCACAAAGCATCCAATCTTTACTTTTTGTTTGTTAGGTAATTGGATCATATTGATTGTTTCCCATTTGACTTGATTGCCCAAATTTCTTAGAACATCAGGTACTGCTGTCAAAGACTCATTCTGAGAGGATTTGGAAACTATTCATAGATGGGAAATTATGATAAGTTAACAAATAAGAATATTTGGAATGCAAGCAGGAATTCAATAAAGAGAATCTGGGTTCAATGATGCTTACAATATGTAGTCAATTCGGGGACTTTATCCCAATCTTTATCCCAACCTAGCATCTGCTGAATGACTGGATTATTCTCAAAAACCTTCAATACTTCAGATCCAGCTCTTCTCATGATGTTACAATTCCTATCCTTGAATTTAGAACCTGAGAGTATCAACCGCAAGAGCCTTAAGTTATTGAATGTGATTGCTATGTCTCTACTTGGACTTTGTCGGTTGGAATGAACTGAAGCCGCTCGAACTGCCCCATTGAAGCTTTCAAATTTCTTGGTTGCACAAAGACTTGAAGGACCAAATCTCCGAATTGATTCAAGAAGATGTAGGAGCATATGGAACTTTGGCTTGTTTGACCATCGAGCATTACTTCGTATCAATTCCAATAAAAACCGGCTGACCATCTTGGCGAGATTCTCTTCATACTTGGCTACATTCGTAATCTTGGTCTGCAGTGCATAAGAACAGAGATGACAAAGCAAAGTCCAGAGCCTTCTCTTCTCTGGAGTAAGAAATTCAAACAAGACAAATGGAGCTGCCTGGACCACAGTGCGTAATTCCTTGCCGACTAAACTTTTGTAATATGTGATCATTGTGTTAGGCTGAATAGGGGGAACACTTAGGCCGTTACAATCAAAAGATTGTCATCTTCCTTTGATTTTTTTGTGTTCAGATTTGGGTATCTCGTCCATAGCTTCACGGTTGAAGTACTTCAAGATGCCAAGGAGTATGACATGGAGCGTCTCAACCGGTGTGTCTGCGTGACCATCAAAACCTATTTTGTTAAAAAGTCAGTGATCCTATTCCAATTATGAAAACAGATCCTATCAATTTGAAAATTTATGAATGTATCAACACACACCATTCAATCTTAAGAAGGGGTTAAATAACCGGTCACCCATTTCTTCCCCTAGTTTCAACCAAACTTTGTAAATCTCTTCAAGAGACGAATCCACGGAATGCATTTCACCTATCCTTTTGATAAACTGAGCATTTAGACTATCCCTAATTCCCCATTCCTTTGCAAGTTGTTGAATTCGAGATTTCTGTCCAAACTTATAAACCAACCTCCATAGTTCCTTTGTCCGTTCTGCAGTCTCCTTCCAATTGCGCATGAGAGGATGAGACTAGTGTATTCATTTCTCCTCAGTAATCATTCTATCCACATTTTATTTGAATATTATCTTATATGAGTTAAATACTAAGAACTTACAGGTTGGCCATGATCGTCCACTCCTACAAAGCCTTTTATAAATTCTTCAGTTTTTTTCTCTTCCATTTCATTGACTTTAAGACTACACACTCGACAAGGGTTCAATGTTATTGTTGGATTTACTGTGTTAGATATCTCAGCATGCATGGGCGAATCACCCAGATGGCACAGTACTACCAACATGACAAGTACTTTGGAGTCGGATTTGAGATCGTAGGCTTCAAAACCCTTGGTGTTTGACTCGCTGAGAATTCGATTTGTTATTTCCTATTTATTCATTTCAATGATTTGAATTGAATAAGGGCTTACTTGATTCTTTCCATCAGATATTCTCCTAATTCCAATGCTGAGGCTGTGTTTGAGGTCGAATTGAAATGCATATTAAATTCTTGGTTCGTAAGTTTGGGAGGCAAACCTGACATTGTGCAGTAGAATGACATGTGCTTATTCCACTTCTTCGACACATTCCCAGACGTATCGTCAGAATATAAGGTTATTGGGACATGTCGTATGGGCTTTCCATCAGCCCTTGTTCGCCAAGGATTTGGGAGATCAACCACTTTATATTCTTCATCTGAAGTCCCTCCTACAAGTTAAAGCATCTTGGTCAGCTCACGATTCCAATGAAATTATAATGATCCAAATGGATTCTTACCACCACTTTTCAAAACACCACAATCTTTCAACCATCTGCCATCACTTAAGACTATCTCCGTATAAGATCTCCTGAACTCCTTCAATTCCACAGTTCTGTATTCATCTGACTCGAATTGTGGTTCATCTATCATCTTCATCATTATATCACCTGTATCTTTATCTTTTGAGCTCTGTATCTTCAAACACTTTGCCATAATTCCTTTCTCATTCTGAAAGAAAAAGATTGGTGCTACAATACATCCATCGTAAAGCTGAGCTGGCTCATAAATATAGTAATGACTTTTATCGGACTCAATCATCTACACTCTAAGACTCTTTGATAATCCCGCTCGCCACTTCCATGATTGTGATAGTCGATCCACAGAACCGGTATCAGCAGACTCAGGAATACACTTCAAGTGTGGTCTTACTAAAGGATTCTCCTGTGATTATGGAAGAATTCAAAGATCAATCAATTGATCTACCTTTAGAATCAAGAACCACATAAAACAATAAAAACCAACCTGGGCCACAATCTCTTGAATATCCAAGCTGAAGCATGGATTACCAAGGGGGCTTGTGGTCTTTACAACATTAAGTCCCAAGCGGTCACGAAGATCCGATCGAATTTTATGAACTGAAGCCCAGTTAGGTATAGTAACCCCAGCTATTTTTATTATCACCCGCACCCTTTCATAATCCACACGAGACATTGTCCTTCTCACCGACCCCATTAATAATAGACCCATAAGATGCTAAGGTAGAAAATGATTCATGGTTGGTTGTTTAGTATTCTTATCAAAAGCGCTCCAATCAAGATGAATTGAGTTCATTACCTCCATCTTTGAAAAAGGATACCATTTGTTCGCTTCAGTATCATCATTGTTTTCCAAAGCCAGAGGTATATCCTCTACTTTGTCGTCTTTGTCTTCACTGTTAATGCTGTCCTGGTCTTCATCATCTGGGTGTTGAAGAAAATGTTGCCAGTTGAATGGTCTGACGTCCTCTTCCTCTGATTCGTTTTTGATTGGACTTGCAGCCTGATCTCGTAAATTCTTAAGCCAAGCTTCCATATCAAATTCATTATCCTCATCAATCTCCATTACTGGTCCTGCATCGGGCATGTGAATTTCTTCCTCAAGCTGATTCCATCCCACATTGTCTCCCACCATCCTACGATCATCAGCAGTCAGACCAGCTACCTGAATATTCTTTTGTTCTTGAGCTTTTTGCGCAGCTGCTACTTTGGATCTATGAAGTTTCCCCATTGCATGCTTAACGGTATCTGTCATACCTCGTCCCTTGCAAAGCCGACAGTGATACTTATTGCTTCCAGGTATTTTATCAAAATCTACGAATACATGACACATAAGCTCTGTCGTGAATTATTTTAAAGAACCAATGACAGCTTACATTGGTTTATGCTTTCTTTTGAAGCCATTCTCAGAGAGCTTGATAGAAAGGACTTATATTTTTTTGGAAACAAAATAGATGTGGTACGTAAGGTTGTTTTGATAGATCGACTCTTTTTGATCTGGGTTGGGACACTTTTTTGTTGAAAATATACTTATATGAGAACAGCATCTGTTGATTGACACAATCTGTACTTGATTAAAGACAGTTTCCTTGAGTTCTCACAAAGGTACGGTTATGGAAACTTTAATTGCCATTCTCACACGTCAACAGAGTGCTCAAACTCTTTTTATTTTGAGATTGCTTTGTGGTAGGGCTAATGATCAAGCTGTTGAGATAGTATTGCTTGAAAGTAATTGTTTAAGTTGATCTGAACAATGAAACAGAACGTACAAATGGAAAGTCATTTGAGTGAATAAAGTGAAAATGAGAAAGATAGGAAAACAAGATGTCTTTGACAATAACATTTCAAGGTACAAATACCAAACTGAGATCATCAATACCATTGTTTGCAGCCAACTTAGCCATTTTCTTGCGCGCCTCCTCAGGATAGCCAGTCAAAAGAGTTCCACGAAAAATGCTCCACTCCTCATCATTCATGTCACCACACATCTCATTGACTTGATTAATTCTATCCACCAAGGTTTGATTGATCTGACAAGCGCAGCCAAATCGAGTAACCTTTCCTCTTGACGGGACAACTCTAACATTTTGAGCATTATACGTTTCCGAATTAGAAGTGTGGTGCTCAATGTGGCTATTCCACAGCATCTCCACCACACCATCACATGCATCATAATCAACCATAACATTGTAGTCGTCCAAAAAGAAGCAAGATCCAACAGCATTGCCTTGAAACTCGTCGTTTTTTAGTGAGTAAAGTTTCCCAGTTTTGCGGTTGATACGTGTAAAGAAACCAAAGGAATATCGAGTGACATCATTGTCGTTGTGAGGTGCATTGACAAATTCATCAAATGTGACTGCAATGTTGGAAGCGAATACTTGTGCATTAGGTGAGGCGTAGAAAGATTGTCCAGCCCAGGAAGGAGCACCAGTGCGTGAAGCAATTTCAGCGTTTGATTCAAAAGCGTAGGAGGATAATCTAGCAAAGCGTTCAGCAAAGAAATCCTCAATTGCAGGAAGATTTCCTTGACAAGTGAGATCTTCCTGCATCCGCCAAAGCTTTGCACCTGTTGTTGCATTGAAAGCATATGAAGCTGTAAACAAATTTTGTCAATTTCAACCCCTCAGTGAAGAAGATTTGTAAAGATAGACTAACCTGCTTTAACTAATGGATCAAAACCAGGCCTGAAGCCAGCAGCGTACATCTTGCCATACTTTTTTCGGATTACCTTGGCTTTCTTTGCAGCACCATTTATCTTGACCAATCCACGTGCTCTAGCATGTTTGTAAACAGTTGGAATAGCATGATTGTATTTTTCAAATAAAGCTCAATTTTCAGAAGTACGCTCAACAAATCGTACAACTGCTAGTAGATCGCAGGTGTCTTCGTCAAGGCATACAACAGTTCCAAAGTAAATTCGAAAAGGCTTTTTCGATTTATCTCCTTTCTTGAAGAACAAGAATGTTGTGTCGGGTGGGAGTCCATAAAGCTCAGTAAGTTCAGCTTTCTTTGCAGCACGGTTGTTGGGTGGTGGGCGATTTTGATTCTTTTTCTCAGCATTCTTTCGTTTGGTACAATTTTTGCAAGAAAGAATGGTACTCGGAGACTTATGCTTTGGTTTTTTAATCACTTCGTCCATTGTTTTGAATCTGCAAATCTTACTCAACCTTAGCTTCAGGGTTATGTGTCGAGATGAGCTCAAGGTTCGAAGCAGGAAGTCAAGCAAGATGTGCAGATTAAAACAATGAATTGGGAGAAAAAATTGCCTAGGATGCTCTGTGCGAATGAGATGTAGAGTGATGGAGAAGTGTTTTAAAAACCAATAATTTTTGATACGAAAGAGGAGAAAGATTCAAAGGCTAGACGTAAAAAATAACAAACGTTGAGGTGAAGATAGAAGCTTAGGCCGGAACAATGTCAGACACAAGATAATGGCGACTCGCGTTGATCCAAAGGATCAATTCTCTTTGAAAGAAAAGAACCAGGCCAGTCAATTTCAAAAGGGACTAGATCACGCGTTAACAAAAGGGTCCCTTCGATCCACCTCTCTGGATCAAGTCTTGATTTTTTTTTTGATTGAATGGGTTAGACGCATTCATTCCCAAATACAACATGAAACACACAGCTTGAAAGTATCCAGATCAACCCCTGCGTTTCCACGCGACGGTTTTGGAATCCACAAGAATTGAATTCACCCATTCAATTCTGAATGGGTCATTTGTCCCACTTGGCCCAAATCGAACAGTTCTGACACGCGCGGTGCCCAGGCAGCGGGCACTGTGGCTACGATGAAATCATCAGGTGACCATACCATGGCCACAGCCGATGTGATGACCACGTGGCGATTCACGTCGCAATTGTGAAACCTTTCGTCAGGGTTTGCGACGTGATGGCAGCGTGGTCTTACTGCTGCCATTTGTGACATCACATCCGTGCGATTCAAACTCACACGGCTTTCAACATCGCTGAGTTTCACCTTTGATTCAAGTCGATCGCTCGGTGAAATTCACGTAGCCCTTGATCGCACTCTGGCAGCCCTTTTTCGCTCAAAGGCTGCCCGGTGGTGTATGACTTGAACATGTGATATGAAAGGTTCTTGTAGCAAATTTCAACTCAAGTCATGAAGAAAAGATGAAACCAATGTCTCAAAACCAGATGCAAAGGATGATGATGTAATCTCTTTTAGGATTGGGAACCTGTAATCTGGTGTTGGAGTTTTTGGCTTTCATTGCTTGGCAGAGCAAGAAAATACAATTGGTATGTTGCAGGTCTGTGACCCAACCCTGACAGATCAAGGCCAGCCTTGGGACTTTGCCCAGTGTTGAGTGGGGATCCAAAAATTGCTTAGGGCCAACCAAGGCACACCCTCTAGGGGCAAAATTGAAACAATTTCAACATATCTTGCCAATTTATATGTTTCAACATTTCAACAGGAACTACATGAGCCTACAATATAACAATTCAAAAGAGCCACAAGTGTCCAAGTCAGAAGTAACAAAACATTCCCAGAGGTATGTTGAGACTCTGATCAAATAGGTTTCATTCTGTCAGGTCACATACTGTCTACTTCTAAGAAAGTATTGAGCAGAGTCAGCCTGTTGGGGTTGGGGTTGGGTCAGACTCACAGTCATATTGTGTTGTGTTCAATCCATATAATGTTTGGCTTCTCCAAGTCCAATCACATTCACAGCAACAGATTACAAGTCACTGGCAAGCCAGGTCATCCAGGGACTTTGCTATGTTTTCAGAATGTTTCAACATGTCATCTGAGTTTGGCCCACAGTAAACCAGAACTACCAAGATTCAAGACAAACAAATCAACCGTCAGTCTTGACTTTGAAGCTCACGGCCTGAGTTAACTACACTCGGATGAATAGCTGTTGATGAGAGGCTCACAAAAACAAACCTAGCCAATTCATAATCTCAACACTTGATTCATCCCACTCGTGCATCTTGGCCGGAACAATCAGAAAGTGTGCTTCATGGGATCTGCCAGCGCCAGCCGGACAAACAGGCGTAATGTATTTGTACAGACAGTTGGGATACCATTTGCAGAGTGATGTTACCTTGACCAACAGTTCCATTGGGTATTAGTCTGGCTTCTGATCACGGGGACACGTGAAATTGGCGCGCCGGAAATGTGATCATGATTTCCGGTCAAGATGGAAACTTTTATCAGTCACTCAAGTAGACTAGTGGACGTGAAAAAGATCCAATTAATACTTGGTCTGTGGAATACTTGATATGTGATGGTACACTGATAATGTGATTGGCTTGATGAATTCAGACTCAAGTGATTTCAATCACCTGCTGAGCTTTTTCAGTTTGTGAGAATAGGTTTGGTGTTGGTGTGATTCAAGCTGAAGCTCACGAGAGGAGTTTAGCATGAATCAGGTCATAGATCCCTATTTGCAATGTAATGATAAAACTATACAGAATAGTTAAGTACATGTGCAAGACTCCAAGGCATCAAAAAAGTTACGCTATGGGGTGGCCTAAGAATAATACAAAAGGGAGAGGTGGGCGGGACACAAAAAATATGTATATATTAAGAGATGAAAGAATATACTACTCAAAAATGGATTTCAAGAATATTTTATGAGGTAAATTATAAGATGTCAATGAATATAAAAGTGGGAAGAAGTAGAGTAATTCACCGTCCACTACTATATATAAGTACATCATGAATGAAGAGTGTCATTCATGGTAAAGAGATCAGTCAGTGATTCTTGGGAATGGTAAAGAGCACAGTGTGCAGATCAATCACGAAGAGAATGATCTCTTCCGTACGATGGACAAGAGAGGAGAGTGGAGGACAAACCTCAAAACCCAAAACACAAACCTGTATTTCACTGTACAGATACTTGATTCTTGAGTAGGTCTGATCAAACGTTGCCAACATAAGAACTCTGGTACAAAGAAGGCTTGATTCCCATTGCGTAATGACTTCCTGTTTTCACACAATATGTAGCATCTGCAATGAGATCCGAGGGACACCGCAAGAGGGACTTTGTTAAGTCAACATCTGATAAATGTTCAGTTTCTTTCTTGTGCAATGTAACCAAATAGGAAAATCTCAAAGTTTGAGCTCAATATGAGAGTTGAAAATTTAACATTGATGTCTAAACAAAGATCAGAAACAGACTCAAAAACAGAAATCCAACCCAAGAGACTAATTGCATTTGAAGTAGTGAATTTCATGCCTTGCTCTCCTGATCTGGTCAAAAGACAAAACTTTTAATGTCTTCGATTATAAACTCAAATCAATTAAACTTGTACTTGATTCCTGGATGTTTGTTGGGTTTTTGCAAAACTTGATGAGTGAGATGTGGTTTGGAATTTCCAATGTATGATTTATTCCTTCATTTTCAACTAGCATGAGATTTTATATCAAAATGCTGTTTGTTTGATAAAAATGATAGTCATTACTTATCACCACAATTTTGAATTGTTTTTGATTATCTGGGGACTTACTTTTTGTTTTAATCCGATGGCTCAACAACATTCTCAATCAGGAGCTGTCTGGCATTGTCTCTGGCATTGTCTGGATTGTTTCTACAACGTTTTGGCAACATTTGATCAGACCTACTCTAAAATTGAGTATCTGTACAGGGCAATACAGGTTTGTGTTTTGGGTTTTGAGGTTTGTCCTCCACCCTCCTCTCTTGTCCATTGTACTTCCGAGTTTGCTGAGGCTCTTTCACAGATTTCAACACATGTACACATGTCACCTATTCTCCTTTCTAGAAGCTCGCTCCCACTTCAAATAATATTTTGTCATCAAAAAGACTACCAAAATTGATCTGCCGTGGCAAGATATGCAAGAGTCCCGTGACGATGCCAAAGACAAAACTCCCATCAGGGACTTTCCGCTCAGAGTCATCATGCAGTCCTTCACGCGGGCCAAAGCAATCAAAAGCTTGACACACTTGTCAGCCTGTGCTTGGTGAAATCCGTCAGCACCAGCTGCACGAACAAATCTAAGGTTTGCTAGAGGGACATCACTTACGTAGTGATGTTGACTCAAATGACAGTTGCATTTGATATCAATCTGGGATGATTTGAAGGTCACCTTGCTGCTGGAGACGCGTAAAAGGGACAAGCCAGGTTTGTTTCATGGTCGTTATTTCTGGTCAAGATGGAAATTTCTAAGCAACTCAAGTGCACTGGTGGACGTGAAAGAAATCCAAGGGCTACTTGGTCAGTTCAATACGTGATCTTTCATGAAACACCTGTGATCTGTTTGATGATTTCAGATTCAAGTGATTTCAGTCAAAATGCTGAGCTTTTTCAGTCTGTGATGTGATCTTGTGATTGAAAAGGCTACCAAAACTATTTGGCCGTGGCACATATGGACAAAGTCCCTTGCCAACAGGCGCACTTCCATCAGGAATGTATTTGCTTCTGTGCCTTGAGGGAGTCTTTCAGCAGACCAGAACACAATCTCAAGCAGAAGACAGGGGATAAATATCTGTTGTTCTCTCAAATTTCTCCTTCTCCTCATCCTCTCTCATTCACGTCTTTTGATAACATTTCCCAACCACTTCTCACTCCGCACTTTGAATCTCCATCATCTGAATCTTTTCAAATCTTCCACATCTGCATCATCACATCACTCTATCTTGTACCATCCAATCCAATCTCAGTGATCTTGATCTTTCTCGACCTTCATCCTTCATCCTTCAATCTCTTCAACCCATCTCATAATCACTCACCTTCCTATAATCAACATGTCTTACCCATCACTTGGCCTTAACTTGCCTGCACAATTTGGCCTTGATCCTTGGTTTGTAATGAAGAGAGCTGTAGCACTTAACAACACCACAGTCACATGTGCATTGTCGGACAACTCACAGCAGGTAAGCTTTTATTTTGTTTCACTAGCATCTGTTAGGCTAGTAGAGTCAATAAAAAGGTTGTAGAAGGTCTAATACCTTCTACCAAAAAAGAATCCAGTTAGTTGACCTTTATACAAAGGCTTTAGCCCAGGTATTTTGGGTTAATTGAGGTCTTTAAAATAATCAAAAATAAGAGCAACTGACGTGCAGTTCTCAATCCCAATTTGATCCTCTTGTTATTCAAAGAAAGGTCAAAGAGTGTGGTGTTAAAGTCTATTATAACACTGGGACCTATACACTCTGACTAATAGATATTCTGGCGTAGATTGAGAGTTTCTCATACCAGATGAATCTCAAATCTGACATAAGCAGTACTCAAGGACTACTTCCTTACAAGTGATTACACCAAATAGATATTACAAGAATTAGTGATTATGGAGTCTCATCAGAAACAATGAACGAGCACACAGAATAAGCAACAAGACACAAGGTTTGAGATTCAAGGTGTGTAGAATTAGGCCTTTGAAGTTTGGTAACTGATAAGCAAAGTTGTGTAGTTGTTGAATGATAATGTGATAATGTGATCCCTCTCAAACTGGGTGTATTTTCAGGTTTATATAGTCTGAACCTTGAAAATCTTTGGACTACAAGTGCACACAAACTGTGGTTCTATGGTTAGGTTAATTACAGTAACACAGTTACTATTGGGTTATAAATGTATTTCACTTGTTGTGTACGTGTTACGGACGTGAAATATACATAGCTTTGGTTTGCATCAAAGATGTTCACACTCTTTGATTGAATTTACACACATGTTACATATGCTAAATCATATGTAACTTGACACCTGAAACTAAGCCTTGAGTTGTAATTGCTATTTTTAAGGTTTTATTATAATATGTTGCTCATTGGTACTCTGGTTTAGTACTCAGGGCTGAAAACAAATGTCAACTTGATACACAATGAAACTGCCAAAAAGCAACTGGGTCAACTGAGTTTTCTTGAAACCAGGTCTATCTTGAGCACCACTACTGGACCACATATCAGCTCTAGCCACCAAAAATGATACCTGAAGCATTGAAATTGCACCAGGATGCACTTAATTAGAAGCAAGGCCCCTGCTGTAGGGGTTTTCAAAGATCGATAAGGATTTTCAAAATTTGAGAAGTGGCCTTGAGAAGTGTCAAGAAGTGTCAAGAAGTGACATCCAGAATTTGCTCCAGAAGTTTCTTGAGTGTTCTTTGTGACTTTGAGAGCCCCATCAAGTGCTGATCCTCATCACATCACAGCCATACCACCTGATCATGCTGCAGGTCTCAGTCCAGCAGCAAGTCATAAGAGGACTCCAAGGAGCAGCACACCATGAACGCACGCAAAGGGTCTACATGGGTTTAGGTTATGGAGTTCAGTAGTCCTTCAGAAGCTCAAGAAACTTCTGGAACATGTCTGACAAACTTCTGGATGTCACTTCTTGACACTTCTTGAGGCCACTTCTTAAATGCTGAATACCCTTAGAAAAAATAATTTCTAATCAATTTGATAGAAATCCTACAAACTTCAAACAAACATTCATGTTACATATGTAACCAAGCAGAAAACCCACCTTATAATCCACCAGGTCTGTTTATCTACAGTGTCTCTCTAAGAGTCAAGAGATCAAGACTCTGTCTCTCTATATCTCTCAACCAAAAAAAAACAAATCACAAATTACCTTTAATTTCTTTCTTTGCACAACATGCAAGCAAACTTTTGATTTTTTGTTTTGCAGGTAAATCAAAAACAAAGAAGTATTTTTCATGGAACAAAAAAAAACCAAGAAAATGAATATATATATATATATCATGAAAGTTAAATGGAAAAAAAGAAATCATCATTACCAAAAACAAAAAACAAAGATAAAATGAACAAGAAAATGTGTGTATGGGGAAAAAAACATAACAAAAAAACAAAATATCTAGTAAGTGAAAAAAACGAGAATATTTGTATTTTTGAAATGTCGATTTTTCATCAAGTGTCTCAACATAAACAAAAATGGATGAGTCACATATTTATAAATAGTTCTCGGTTGAACTTCCAGTTAACACACACACACACACTGAAATATAACACACCTTCTGACTTCTGATCATTTATACCCAAGTCTAATATATATGTATATACACATTTTAACTTTTCTTTCTCACTTTTGCTTCTTTTGTGTATCTAGGAATCTGTGCGAGAAATTCTGTATTGCAGCTCTGACAAATAAATACCATTGTACATAACCACATTAATTCAAACTCGATTATCATTGTCACTATCGCCATTGTCATCATACTTGTAAGCTTGGATTCGATTTGGTTAGAGAAAGATGAAAGTTAGAGAGACAAAGAACAAGAGGACGAAGGTCTCTGAAGCTATGCGTGATCAATCTCGGAGCTAGGTTCGGTATCAGTAGTTGATGAGATTGGGTGAGAAGTAGGTGGGGATGATGGTGACGGTTCGGTTGATGAAGATGGGGGCGGTGTGTCTGGGATAGATGAATTAGGGTTCGCAGGTGGAGGTTCTTGGTCGGGAGTATCCTGGGACGAGTCAAACGCGTTACCAACCCTAGCAAAGGCTTCGATGAGAGTAGAGGGTGTCATGAGCAGATTGCCCAGGATAGATGTGTTACCCACCGAGTTTGGAGCCGATTGTGTCACTTCGTTTGATTCGGGGTCTTCGTTCGACTCATCTCCAGAGGTTTGATAACTAGGTGGACTGGCGATCTCATTATAATTTGATAGCGCGCTATTTAAAGGAAACCCTCTGGAGCCCTGAGCGAATGGGTCAGGGAATGTGGTAGGTGTCTGATGACCTTCGCCGTTCTGTAGTCGATTACAGATCATGTCATACCATTCGCCCTTCGTCTTATCGCCGAGTATAGCAACGATCATGAACGTCATATTGTCGCATCCTACTCCACCCCACTCGCAATCCGGAGCGATTGAGCGATCGATCATGCTCTCGCAGATTTCTTCCAATGATTTGCGTTCCCCAATTAAGCGACGGACGCGATCGACCACCTGCTGATTGGAATAAACATCCCAGATACCTAGTTGAAGTCAAGTTCGTCAGTTAAGCCCAATGTGACACGTAAAAAGGTCTCGTCACAAGGTCACAACGAGGAAGGTCGAGTGAATTGGTAGAAGTGAAGATCAATAGACGCAATTTACCATCGCATGCAAGGATCAAAAACTCGTCCTCAGGACCGATCTGGTGGGTGATGATATCCGGGTCGGCTGTTACCACCTGGTCTTCGGGTCCCAGAGATTTATTTTGCTTGAACTCAAAATCTCCCAGCGCCCTTGAGAGAGCCAGATTACCTGTGATGGATCGATCGGTGATATATAGTGTCAACCTCTGCGCCGAAACAATGCTCACTTCGACAAGACTGACCATTGACGCGTCCAAACTCTACAAAGCCACCAGCAGCGACGATACGACTGTTTTCTGTACGACTCGAAGGCTTGTGATCATATGACATGGGCTTAACCACCCCATTGACGCTCAGAACTGATCTAGAGTCACCCGCGTTGGCCTAAGGGGTTCGGAACGGTTGATGAGTGATGAGAACGAATTCGATCGAGCGAATTTCTGAAAATTCAAGCTCATGAACCCGATTGTCAGATGAAACTTACCACCAATATCCGGCCATCATGCGTGATCAAAGCAGCAACAGCAGTGCAACCCGAAGGATCATTGTTAAATTCGGGATCTATGTATACATACAGTCGTTGTCAGATGGTACGATCGGTGTGTGAAGGAGAAGATTGTGATTAAAATCGATTCAAAGAAAAGAAGAACGCGTACTACTACGAAGATCTTCGTCAGTCGCAAGAAATGCTCGTTTGAGTGCAGCCGGAAAATCCCGCCTCTGGTATTCCTCTGTGGATCTTAATCTATAGTGTACCGTGTCACCCGAGAACCTTGCCACGGAAGATCCTATGAAGTGAGGCGACATCCAGTCAGGATATATTTCAGCGAACAGAATGCAATCTGTGTAAATGAGTTTGGGTCTAAATGATTTCACAAACCGCCATGACCATCATATACAGCAAAGAAGCTGTGCCTTTCTTCAAGTTGCGATTGATCACCAGCGTTATCGGCAGCGACAGGAGGAGCCATGTTCAAGTTGAGAATGGTAGCATGAGCGTCTTCCATTGCTACAGAGAAGGATGGTTTGTGTAGTGGTCAGTGAGCTGTTCATGAGTGCTAACACTGATACATAGATAGATAGTGACGGTTTTGGGTAATGTTGAAGATATCTTTGCTTCTTATCAGGAGTAAAAGGTAATGAAAAGTGGGATGTATGCGGGTAAGAAATAGAATTGAAGTGGTAAAGACGAAATTTTTGACCAACTCAATCTCCATCCTTGCATTTCAGAGACCCCATACGCTAACCGATCATCTTCGCCTGAATCTGTATGTTTTTCAACTACGGGTTCGGAAAGAGTTTGACCCTTTGAGGAATAGATTTTTTTTGGTAAGGGTTGAGGTTTTTCAATGGTTTTCAAGACATTAAAAAGAATCGGGTAAAGCAAACCATGATGAGAGTTTTGGTTGATTGATTGTGATGAAATCAGCTGAGTATGATTTGATGATGGTGATGGTGATGGTGATGAGTTGATAGTGGATAGTTGATTGTATGTGTTGATGATGATGATAATTTTGAGTGGAATTGGGTGAAGTGAAGTTTTTGCTGTGGTGTGTGTGTACTTATTGGTTTTAGTTTAAGTTGTCAAATGGGCGAAATGAAGTTTTGAAAATTGGCAAAAACTGTAAATATCAAATTTTTATTTTGTCGCAAGTTTCCAAACCCTTCAAACTGTGTTCTACGTAAAATTTAATCTTAATCTGATGCAAGGCTGTGCTAAGTGCACGCATGGCATAGCGCATACACCGCCTCGTGCTGTTTTTCCATCATGAATCCCTCCATCTGAACATCTCCTCACCGTCAGTATCACCATACTTCAAGAAATCCGTAGATCAAGAACCATAAACAGAGCTCGTCTGCGAACCAGAAAGACGTAATCACATGATTTGAGAGATTGATTTAAAGACCTTCACTATATACTGTTACATCATGCCATAGGTGCGTGCTCTCGGTCAGCCAGGCGCAGCCTCACAGATCAGATGTGCGCTCGGCGGCTCTCGGCGGGCTTTCTTTGTTCCAACTTTGCATTTGCATTCGCACCGACCAGCACTTGAGGAGTGAAATCAGGCGAGATCCTTATCAAACCAAGCTCCCCAAGGAATCACCAAGCTTTCTGGGGTTGATCTCTCTGACGCTTTGTTGAAGTTGTTTCTTCACCTGCAATTTCCACTTGATATGTGTTTGATTTGATGATTTGGAAGCAATTAAGCAGACTTGGTTCACAGATTGACAAGAATCGGGGTATGTGAAAAGTGTGACTTGTTGAGAAGCTGATCGGTATGTGTAATTTTGGAGTCTCACTCTCTGTTGATCAGGTCCTGAATTTCTTTATTTTTTTTATTTTTTTAAAGGTAAACAGCCCCGACCTTTAAACGCGTCTCAATGAGATTTGACTTTTCCTTTCATCATTTCTTTACAAACTACGCCCAGTCGACTATCAATCTCTTCAAAGTATATCTTTAAATCCATTGATTTGATTATCTCGATTCGATGACAACTCAGTCAACCCATCCTTACTCCCGTCTACCCAAGCAGACTGCTGGATGGGATAGGATTGGAGATGACGACGATGAAATTTATATTCAGAGTGACGATCATCGTCTCTCATCATGGGCTACCACATCAAAATTACCACCACCACCACCACCCCCGTCTCATCATATGGATTACTCCGATCACGAACGGTCCTCTTCACAACAACCACGCAAACGCAAACGTATCGCCGCGCCTCATCAATCTACTTCAAGGGTAAACAAACCTAATGACATACCATCTACATCACAATATCCCTCAAGCTTTCTTGATACCCGTCGCCCAGGTCCTCAACGCTCTAACGCACCTGACGCTTCTCGCCAACCCGAAAGACCCGCCCCAACTAAATCTTGGAAGTATGATGCAGAAGGTTGTGCGAATTGTCGAATACATCAAAGTACATGTTGGTGGAAGAAGAACAGATTGGTCACTAATCTTCATGGGGTAGAATCTTGGGAAGAGGAAAAACTTTGTAATAGTTCGTCTTTCTTCCTTTTTCATACTCTTGTTCTGAATACAACATCTACTTACCCATTCCTACCGCCATAGCTTGTAGTATTCATTGGAACAAAAATGGGTATCATCGTACTGTGCGCTCTAAACCCAACAAACGATCAGACTGCGTACAACTTTCTCAACCAGACACATTTACCCACCCATCGTCTCAACCATCGAATTCTCTTGCACGCATCCCATCCACATCGCGTGGCTCGACTGTTGGTCTCTCAAGCCCGTCTGTATCGCTTGCCAAGCTCCCATCGGCGCCTCCTACCCTTGTTCCACGACGCCGAGCGCGTTCACCGTCACAGTTGACTCGTGCTGCTGAACGTGAAGCACGTATCTTGAAACGTACACTCCCACGCAAGACGGGGCCGACGCGTCTCGACGTACCTGATCGACACGATCCTACTCAAAAATCTTCGAACTCAGCTGCCACTATATTCCATCCTCCTGCCAAGGCGTCTTCCACCAAACAGCATGAGGATCTCTCCTCTCGCAAGTCAAATACCCATTTAGGAGGTTACGAGGTCACCAAACAGATGTTGGATAATCTTCTGGCCCAATCTCTTCCACCTGTTAATTTGAACACGTCTGCAGCGCCTTCAGAGGCAGACCTATTTTCGGAATTTATATTTGATGAACCGACAGAACAATCTCATCAACCTCTGAGTTCTTTAAACTTCAGTGAAGCCTTTGAACCAACCCGACCTCCCTTATCAGATCATCCCGTCAGCAGCAGTTTCGCGCCAAGGTCATCCCCTCCTCGAACTCCTCCTAGTAAAAGAGCAGCTCCTGCAAAATCTTATGACCCACGCCATCATGCTTCGAAGACAGCTCCTTCACCTACAGCCTCACCCTCCTGTGACCTCGACTATCTGCTTTCACCTTCCTTCCTGAACGCTAGTCCAAATTCGCTCCTTAAAAAACTTATTCCCAGCGGATCTGCATCAGACGAAATGAATATTAAGACAGTTGCACCTGGATCAGCAGCCTCACTACCCGTTTCAGACTTATTCGCAAAGTCTGATAAGATCTTCTTATCATCAGTAGCCGGTCAACAAAACTCTGACACGCTTCTTCCTCCTTCACCTGAACCTAGTAAGACTGCATCAAAAGGAAACAAATGGAGAGGATCTGCAAAGAATATATCGACGACTTTTTCTTGGGATTTACATCTTACACCCTCATCTTCTAATTCTAATAAATCTTCCATCTTTCCAGGATCTGAACTTTTATCATTAAATACCAATAAATCTGAAGATCGAATTTCTCCTACTATGAAGAAACTTTTGGATTTAGAAGGACGAGTTGATGAAAGTGAAACTCATCCTCCATCTCCTACTGAACTTGTGACAAGAAAATTACCACCGAAAACACCCAGAAAGACAAAGAAACCGATCGTAATAGAAGATAATCCTACTTGTGCTTCTGTTGCATTAGCCCAACAATTACGTAGTAAATCGACATATCCCAACAAGCCGCGATTTTCTGAAAAATCTTCAACAATGGGATCTATTCGAAATGAAACCGAAAATCGAGTTGGTAGTATTGGAAAATTTAGATCACCAAGACCTTCAAAGAATTTAATGGCTCGTACAATTTGGTCTAGAAGACCATTATCTTCTGGACCATTTTCATCTGAAATTTCTCATGATCATGAACAAGGACATTTTCAAAACCAACTTCGATCATCACCTGCCCAATCAGAACATAAATCTGATCGTATGGCCTGTAGTGGTAGTTCAGGACTTCTTAATGTTCCTGATACTAGACGAACAGGTATGAGTTCAGTGATGCGACATGGTTTACAATTCAACTTTCCAATCGACGCCAACCCTACCTCGGAACGAACTGGAGCCGATAGAAGTAGTCCACCTGTCTTACCACCACCTAGTGATTGCTCAGAAGGAATCGCGTCTCATTCACCTGGATTGTTTAGTGATGAGGATGATGAATTACCAGAGGAGACGGAAGAGACTGAAAATATAAATAAAAAGCTCCAAAGGCGTCAAGTTTCTGGGACTTCTACTTCACTGCTTTCAATACCTGGCATGCATGCAAGTGGGAGCGAATCGATGAGGAAATTGATGATCAAATCTGATCTTTCAACACCATCAAGAGCTCAAAATGAAGAACGCGGTATAGGAGGTGGATCAGGAGGTGGACTAGCATTGAAGGATATTACAAGAAGTTTAAATGAACCAGAAGGGCCTCATCAATTACATCAAAATCAATCTTTAACAGAACAAGCTTCTACCAAAAGAAATGAAGGACATCTTCAAGGACTCTCACCTGAGATTGTGTCTGCTTTTAGGGAAGCTATTAAGGCTGGATGGACACCTGAAGATTTGGCTAGAGCTTTGAAAACTTTTGAAGCCCCTGGATCTAGACAGACTGGTGAGAATGGAATTGAGAAGGATGGATGATTTGTTTGTATGTTTTTGTTTGGGTAAAGAAAGAGATTGGATTGATGAGAATTGGTTTTTTTTGGATTTGTTTCTGTTTTGGAGAGTAAGAGAGGGGAAGATTTGTTGAAAGTGTGAGAGAGAGAGAGGAGTAGAAGTTTAATTTTCTTATTTAATTAATATTTTTAGTAACCTATTTTTATATTGTGGTGATGATCAAATTTTAAGATTAGATGATTTGAGATCAAGATTTGTGCGGGTTTGTTTGTTTGATTCTGTTGATACCTTAATTTGTAATTTGATTTTTTTCAAAAGTCTTGGTTCTTTTTTTCATACATTCTCTTATTGATTTTGTTGAGAATAAGTGGTACTTTGGGACAAGATCTTTTAGTTTATGGTTATATTATTGGGTTATGATTTGGTTTGAGGCTTTTTCTTTGTGTTATCAGCAATTTTATTGAGAAGTTGATTGCTTGTTGAAAAGATGATGAAGGATTTGTACCACACTTGTCATTGCTCAGAGGGAACTATCCAAGGCCTTTTCAGATTGAAGAAAAGTGTGGGTTCTGCACTGCTAACATGATACCTAACCCTTGGTCAGAATCAGATGTTGTCCAAGGAGTTTCTCAGAGGTATACAATACATCAAAAATTCCTCTCATAAGCCTAAAAATGATTCTTTCCATGACCTGGGATCTGAGAACAATCCCGAATTCTTCAATCAAACATAAATATGTTAGCAATGCTTGGACACCCTAGTCTTGTTCAATGTCAGGTCACCGTAGGCGCCATTCTTCGAGAATCCTTATCCTATGCGGTTCACGGTGACTTATTTTCATAAGTAGCTGTCCTCCAATGAACTGTCATGAATCGTTCTTTTTGCACAGGTCTGTTATCAAACTTCAATCTGATTCTAGTAACCATAGAGGGAATCATTCAAAATATATGTGGCACGGATGTAGAAAGATATGAGCTGAGTTGAACTCAGCAATGAACCGGTCACTCGGCGAAAAGAAAGATGGGAAACATATTTCAAAAGCTCATCCTTGGACTCTTGGAATGCTGCCAGTGAATTTATAGAGCTTAAGGACTGGCTTTAGGCTCATGATGTTCACTGGTATTCATCATCAAGAAATTTTTGAACGTAAGACTTCTTGAGCCTCAAAATGTACCACGTTATGACCACAGCTTCATCAGACAGCCAGTCGTTCACACATCAGGTTATGTAGTAGTTCGAGAGCTCAGTGAACAAGTTAATCAGGTCAGCTTTGAGAACTGATATCGAGTTTCCAGACCCAGAAAATTTGAACCTTTGACAAGGAACAGAGTCTCGCAAACACCAAATGTAGCCTTAAAAAAATGTCAGAGAAAGGTACCCTTCAGTTGTATTGAAGCAATTGCGATCAATCAACCAAGTCAGGGTTTTGATCAAGTGCAAGTAATTATTTTCATATAAGTGCTTCATTTGATTTTATTCACCTCGTACATTGCTATAGAGTTGTTCAACTCATCAACATATGCGGCTCAATGAAGTTTTATCAACATATCTTATCTTGGAACCCAAAGGAGACTCTTGGGCTATGCTAAATCAACAAAGAGATTACTGATAGCATGAAATGAGAAGACCACTCAGATACTGATGATATTGTAAATTCTTCTGATGTCGAAATCGTGATCCAAAACAAAAGGATGAGTTTAAGAGTTTGAACTACAGTCAAAGCCTTAGAAACACTACTGGAATAGTAAGGTTTTTCATAAATTGTTCATACAACAAAGGGACTTTTACGATAAGACCCAAGTATCAATCAACTTAAACCATTTACACTAGTTTGAACAATTTATCGCCTGGTGGCTTTCTCGAGAACTATTGATCAAATTTGAAACAAATTTGGTTAGAGAGAATTTGAGACTAAGACAGGTAAACAGTGATTTTGAGGAAGGTTTAAAAGAAGGAATCAATGAAAAAACGGACCACTTTCAAAGGAGACTTCACTCAAGTCTGTACCTTGTATTTCTACCCCGATACCCACTAAGGAGCGACGAAGAGCATCCTTTGATGAAGCGTATAACATCTTATTCTTGATAGGTGCATTATCAGGAGACCTTGCGAAATGAACCAAGAAATACAAATCATTAGTTCTCTAACTTTTAAGTTGGAATTAGAATGATTGAGATTTCGAAAAAAGGTATATCACTCACCATGCATAAAAGCATAACTTGTTCCTTTTGCCTTCACCTGATTCAAATTCGAAATCATAAACTGCATAACGACAAGCTTCTCCAGGTAAATCGCCTAAGAAATCATCATAATCTTGACTCTCTGAAGTTTTTTCTACTTGGATTTCAGTTTTATTATCAGAGAGAGTGAAGACAATGTATTTCGTCTCTGTAAATGATAAAGAATCGCTTTGGATGTGTTAATGACTACAATCCAAACCAAGAGACATGGTTAAAAGTCGGGTTTCTTTGAACATCTTGCTTACTCTTTTTAAGTTTCAAGTTCATGAACTCTTCAATGCATGCTTGGTTAACTCCAACACCTGTAAGAACAGAAATTGAAAGAATATGATTAACCATTGAATGATTGAGTAAGTAGAATGATCGTCTTTACCTGATGCCTAATAAAGGGACAAAAGTAAGAAAGAATCAAATCAGTTAACTAGACCAACTTGAGAAGATAGATAAATGAAGTTTACCATGATTAAGTGTGATTTATTTTGATATTCTGATGGAATTGAAAGTAGACAAAAGTGTTTGATTGGTTTGTGATGGTGATGATGATGATGATGAATTGATTGATAGTGACTTACTTTGATAGTCACGTCACTTCTAAACCCCGGTCGATCGGTAATCTAACTTCATTCAGTAACAGAAAGGCTTTACATATCACATTGTATGTGTACACAGCATCTCTACATATCACAATGCTTATACACAGCAATGAATATCACTATAAGCTGATTTCCAATATTACACAACTTGGACTGTATGCGGTCGAACTTGTATATATGCTCTCCAAGTTGGTCCAACTCAAAATTAATTTCCACTAACCAATCACTCAAACCACTCAACATCCATTCTCAATCAAATATCCTATCAATCAAAATGTTCGGAAACGTAAGAGAAATCTTCAAACATACTCCAGTCATCTATCGAAACTACGAACAAACTTAATCATGAATCTCTTCCTTTGACAGTATATTCGATCAATGCCCACTTTAAATGGATCAGAATCAAAGAACAAAAATAAATCCGTTTCAAAAAATAATACACATGTAATGCCAAAACATAGTAAAGGTGAAAGTGGTGCTGGTAAAGCTACGTCTGGTACTAGATGTCAAAAATGTGAAAAGTTTGGGTAAGTTCTCCAAAACAAAAACGAAATAATTTGCCAAGTTGATGAAAGATTTAACTGATTATTAATATCATGATGTTGTTGTTCACTTCAATTATAGTCATTTCACTTACAACGTCAGTTTTCTTTCTGTGAAACGTTTCATATTCCTCTCCATATCTCATAATACTGACTTGAAACTAATTATTCGATTTAGTGTCCAGTAACTAATGCACCTTACAAATCAAGACCAACAAGAACCCAACAATTAATGAATCCAAAAGCCAAGAGAGAACAACCCACGATAGAAGTGCCAGAAGAGTTTATAAGTAAGAAAGGAATTGCAGATAAGATATTAGAAAAGAAAGAAAAAGAACGCAAAGAAATCGAAAATGTAAACGCTAATGGATCCGTAGCATTGAAGAAAGATCAAAAGAAACTTAAAGATCGGAATGGGTATGTGATTTTATTATCAGTTTGATTTTTGATTAAAGTAGGTTGATTGATGTTTATTTTTGGGTAATTAGGTCTACTTCCGACTCTTCAACTTCAAGTAGTAGTTCAGATTCAGATTCAGATTCCGACTCAGATTCCGTTTCAGATTCCGGTTCAGATTCAGGCTCAGATTCAAGTTCTTCAGGATTCTCAAGCGATTCAGAACCAAGTAAAAGATCACGAGTGAAAACCAAAGAACGTTCAACAAGATATCCATCACCATCACCAGTCAGAAGAAGACGTGGTTCGATCTCTGATCAATCTGATCATCCTAGATCTAAATCTCGTCTTACTAAACGTCATAGGTCTAGGAGTAGGTCGTCTAGTAGAATTGAAGATAGAGATTCCGAAAGAAGAGCTGGGATTCGAGAAGGGAAACGGAGAGAGACGCGTAGGGATGATTGATGAGTGTATTTGTTGGAGTTAGAACCACTCCCATGATTATGTTTTATAGTATTTTTCATCTCTTTCATGGTCATTGTTGCGTTGGAAGATAAGACAGATAATGATGTTTGAACAAGCAATGAATGTGAATGGATTGAACCATTGGTCAAAAATGAGCAAAGTGTTAGAAATTAATCTTTAGATTTTTGTCCTTGGAAGATAAGAAAGAAGAAACGCTTCAACATTGTCAAAGTCAAGTAGGGTCTGAGGATATTAGTATACCCACAATGTGCGCAAAAATAGACATTGAGTTAAACAAAGCAACATAAGCTTTCAACACTGTCGAAGTCAAGTAGGGTCTGAGGATATTAGTATACCCCCAATGTGTGCAAAAATAGACATTGAGTTAAACAAAGCTACATATCCACAGACTCAGTTATTGCACTTGAAGTTTGATCTATGTTAGGCCTTGATCTTGTACAGTAGTTTTGAGAATAAATGTTGCCTGCTTGTTTTTATTTGGTAGTGTTCTGGAGCCTGCGGTTGTACACTGAGGTCCATTACAGAGGGAGAGAGTAGTGACAGGTGTAGTGAAGAATCACAAGAGTGACAGGACAGCTTGAGAAATGTGGTTTCTGCACTCTCGCAATTTTAGAAGAAATAGAAGACGAGATAGAAATTTTTTCTCTCTCTCTCTCTTCCATCTCTTCACTTCTCATCTTCACCACACTGGCAACTCCTCAGCAAGCTATTGAATTTCTGGCATACCTCTAAAGAAATTCTTTTTAAAAAAAAAAAAAAGAGAAAAACAGATCATAGGTCTTACTATTCTCTGGAAATCGCTATAGATCAATTCCAACCTTCTCAAAAAAAAAAAAAAGTTTTCCTTTATCATCTCTCATTTACCGCTCAACTTTCGATTATCTGGACTCATATACCTAAGGTGGATGTGGAGGCAGTTAAAAAGAAAATCAATAACTACGCCTAAGTACCAGTCGAAGAGCATGATAGATTCAATATTACAAGAAGAGGAAAAGAAGAAAGCTCACTCGTTGAAACTGAAGGAGCAAGCGGAAGGCAGATCGAGGAGGGCACATTCTCGAGCCCCACCACTAGGTGAACCCAATCTACCGGGATCGGAAACAGGCTCGATGCCAGGTTTGCAACCTCTTATCGACGATCCTTTGGGAACGACCTCCACGGCCCAAGCGACAAACAGTACAGCTGCCGGGGCAGATCGAGACCCTGGACAAGAAGGGGAGAACGTAACAGGTGTTGGTGTGGAAGAGAGTAAGATGGACCTAGATGGAGGAGATGAAGGCGACAGCGAATCCTCGGAGGTAGATGAACTAGGGAGTGAAGGAGGAAAGAATCGGAGGAAGAAGAAGAGAAAAGCCCTAAAGAAGAAGAAGGACATTAAGGAAAAGAAGGGGAAAGAAAAGGCGGTTAGGATCGAGAGCTCATCATCTGATAGCAAGAGTTCGGTGGATTTGAACAAATCTTACAAGTACTTGATAAAAGAGGACCTCTGTAAGCCTCACTCCCTCACTCGAGAATCTTCACCCCCCCCCACCATTCCTTCTTTCCCACGACGCCCTAGCGAAGAGTCCAAGACGACTCCTTCGAATGGGATGTTATGAAGGGGGACCGTTGCAGCCCACTTATGGGCTCCAGTCCTGGAGGGTTGTAGCTTCTTTAGCTCCCAATAGTCTCGTAGCTCCTGAAGGACTTCAGTTGTAGCTTACGCCAGTAGCGAGGATCGAATGGACGGCCTTCGGGCCACCTTCCTACGTTGATCCTCCCCTGAAGGGGGGGGAGAGTAGTTTGATGTCTACGAGAGAGAGAATTGTTGTACCAGACATTCAGCCCTGTCTTTGGGGATATCTCTAATTCATCCTTGAACTGAAGGAAACGAGACATACTCTAAATCGCCCTTGGCACACTGAGTGTCCGCACTGGCTAATTCGAAACAACTTGCTTTGTTTTGCCTGCTCGATCCTTCTTCCTTTCAAAATGTGCGACATTATTCCTTCTAGCCGATCCTACCCAATCACCAGAGAAGAATAAGTTGAGAAGGTCTAAGCATACCACCGCTGAAGGGAAGCCGGGTAGCTCAAGACCTTTGATGGAAAGATTGCTATACGCAATTGACCACGAAGACTTATCTTCAATCAAAGACTTACAGTCGGAAATACAGGAGGTGGAGGCGAAGAAACTGAGGAAGGAAGCGAAGGCGATGAGAGCGGCAAAAGAAACCAAGGAGGCTAGGAAGAGAGAGAAGAAAGTGAGGAAGGCAAAGGAGAAGGAAGAGGAGGCGAAGAAGGAGGCTAAGAAGGCACAAAAGAAACGAAGGAGAAGGGAGAAGAAGAAAAAGAAGTCTCATAAGAGAAAACGGAAAGACTCATCCTCGAGTTCCGACTCAAGTTCCTCAGCTTCTAGCTCGAAAGATTCTAAAGGATCTTTCTCCTCCTCATCGTGCTCAGACTCATCTTCGGATGAAGAAAAGTTAACAAAGATTGAGGATTCGTCTGACACTTCTGATTCCTCTGACTTGTCCAACTCGTCCGACTCTTTGGATTCATCCTCAGATTCCTCTGATTCTGATAACGGGAAAAGCTCCAAGAAGAAGAAGAAGTCCGACTTCGGAGTCAACACAGCTTCGGGCCTTGATCTACCTGACCTGCCGGACGAGTGGGATAAAGCTTTCAAACGTTTCAAGAAATACGTCCCCTTGTCAGTTTTCCGTAGATCCTATATTGCAGCCTTCCATTCTGCGGTGAATGACGGTACGAAGAAGTGGAAGACAGGTGTGATTGCCTCCATCTCTGAGCGAGATCAGGAAAAGCAAATGATGTACGGTGACTTCGCCATGGCATGCGACCTCGAGGCGAGATACGCAGCGGAGGTTTACGATCACGACGCGTACGCCAAATTCATTGTCGAGCATAAAAAGGTAGTGAGCTCCTTGATGGTGAAGTATAAGTGCTGGATGGTGGGTTTGAGATATCATCTAGCGATTCGCACAGCTCTCTTCAGGAAAAGGTCCAAGATCATGTTTGAGGTTAAAGGAAATGGAAAGAGGGGGAAGAAGAGAAAGGTAGTGGTCTTACCTCCAGACATGATTAAGTTGGCTAGGCGGCAGGCTCGGTGGGACTGCCATACAGCGGGTGATTTGCAGTTTGAAGGCAATCCCTATGCCCCCGGTCAAGAGAAGTTCGGGTATGATTTCTTCACCAGCCAACCTCATGCTTCACACCCCCCGATCCCGAGTTCTTCAAAAAGTCACGCGGAGAACCATTCTAAGGAAAGAGATGGGAAGTACCAGAAGAAGAAACAAGCGGGAAATAGGGGACGTACCAACAATTATGGACAGTCCGGCCACTACCAGAACCAGAAGTCCCAACCCTTGGGACAGGCGAGTTCGACCGGCCTAGATTGGGTGGCACTGGGACAACAGCATGCGAATAAGCATTCCGTAGCCCAGAAGGGAGGGAAGGTGCAAAAAGGAGGTGATAATGGGGCTTGGTAAGCTTCAACCGACCGCCGTTTTCTAAATGAGTGGATTAGAGACTGACTTCTGTCCTGCCCCGGTTCTTCCTTGATCATGTGTCCGATTGATCTAGCTCATGGTGCCCTCCTCTTTTCGATTGTACTATTGACGAATGTGATGCTGAATTTGTCTCGATTCGATGTTGCTTTGCCCTCCCCTTGCCTGTGTTACCTTGTGTGTGTGTTCGGCACGACCCCCCTTTTTGTTCGTTAAAAGATTTTTCTCCCATCCCTTTTTCTCTTGTCTGGGTAGCGGCCTGGCTGTTGGGATTAGATAGAGAGGCGGAATTAACCCCGATGTGGTTGGGAACAAGAAATTGAATGCAAATGATTGAGACGAATTCTTACCTGCGCCTATTCCCCTTTTGCCCAGGTCTAGCCTGAACAACACCATGATTGAGACGAATTCTTCTAGCCTGAACAACACCTCCTGGGTGGAGATTGAGGCGAGAACAGTGGATTCTGAGCATGAAGAAACCGGAGAAACTCAGTCCGACGGACAACTAGGACCCAACTCTGAGAGTGAGGGTTTGGACAATTTATCGGAAGACTCCACAGCTGTAGAGTTTAAGAAGATCCTACCTTTAAAGGATAGGGAAACGTTTAAAGTCAAAGGGGTCGGGTTGTGGCCGGCACCAGTAAAGACAGAGATGGTCTTGGAAGAATGGAAGGTGTTGATGGAGGAAACGGGTCTGGAAGAAGATATTCCATACATCTTAGACGGGTTTCGGGAAGGTTTTTGCCTGGGTATTCCTCAACATACCTTGGGTGATCGACCTTGGTACACGCCAGAAAACCATTCATCGGCACGAGAAGTAGAGGAAGAGATTGAGAAGACCTTGGAGAGGGAGCTGAGGGCCGGAAGGATAGCGGGACCCTTCACTCATGAGGAGGTCTTCGCCAGGTACGGCTTCTTTAGGTCCAACCCCATGGGCAGCGCCGTTAATGGCGATGGAACTCTTCGTCTTATTAACGACCTTTCTTATCCTAAGAGAGATCCGGACATCCCCTCTGTCAATTCATTCGTCGACAAGAAGAACTACAAAACTAGAT